AATAGCAGCAGCAGGCCAAAGCGGCTTTCCAGGTCTGGGGACACAGGTGGGACACCGTTTCAAAGGGGCCGTGTCCCCAACAAGTCTGGGGACATGGCCTTAAAGGGGCAGTGTCCCAATCTTCCTGATGTCCCAAAAAAGGTGTTTAAAGGGCCAGCACCAGTCACATAAAGAGTCCATAAGCCCCAACATGCCCACCGACAGTCTTAAAGGGCCATACACACCAAATAAAAGTGCATACATTTTCACAATCTCCCAGGGGCCATAGTCATGCGGGAGGAGGCTGGCAAGTAGGCTTCTCCACAACCCAGGGAAGCAGGGCAATTTGCCATTTAAAGGGCCCGTTACAAATAGCAGTTTGTAACAAGGTGTCAATCCATATCTGCCAAGTGACCCGATGTAGGGGGACCAGTCCCTATTCTGCTCTGTGTCAGTGTGTATCAGGGAACCTTAGGACAGGTGTCAATCCATATCTGCCAAGTGACCCGATGTAGGGGGAACAGTACCTATTCTGCTCTGTGTCAGTGTGTATCAGGGATCCTTAGGACAGGTGTCAATCCATATCTGCCAAGTGACCCTATGTAGGGGGACCAGTCTCTATTCTGCTCTGTGTCCGTGTGCATCAGGGGCTCTGAGGACAGGTGTCAATCCATATGTCAAGGTGTCAATATGTCATATGTCAGGTGTCAATCCATATTCATTGTGATTTAGGAATGTTAGGTGATTTCTGCCCTTTATGGATTAAAACCAGACTCTGTATCAACTGTGTAATTTTCCATGGGAGTTTTGCCATGGATCCCCCTCCGGCATGCCACAGTCCAGGTGTTAGTCCCTTGAAACAACTTTTCCATCCCTATTGTGGCCAGAAAGAGTCCCTGTGTGTTTTAAAATTCGCCTCCCCATTGAAGTCAATGGCGTTTCGGGCGGTTCGCGAACATTTGCGGAAGTTCGCGTTCGCGAACCGAAAATTTCGGGTTCGCGACATCACTATCAATGATGCATTAGTATTGAGATTACTCTGCAGTGCCCTCTGCTGATTGAATAGAAATGTGTATATTTACATAACATTTACTAAAGCAACCAAATAAGTAGTTGAATGTATACATTGTTACTTTTTACAAAAGATATTTGTATTATATATTTCATGTATAAAATTAGAATTGCTTGCTCTCACATGTGTTCTGTATATTTGTATTTAAAATGTTTTTCACCATATGTTTAAGGACAATTCACCAAAGACTAGTCCTTGTCCAAAAAAAAAAAAAAATAATAATAAAAAAAAAAATAATGTGTTTTCTATTGGGAACTGTATGTCCAGTCTGGTTTGTTCAGGAAATCCAGTAGTAGAGTTTTTGGATCTGCTTGCTGGCTGCATTATTCTCTGGTTCCGGGGATGATTCAAGAAAAAGCTAGGCAACAGCCACAAATGCCTTTGTAAAAGCAGTTGAAAGCATTACAGGCAAAGTGGTTGATACCTGCCTGAGAGACGGAGCATGGACACAGGGGTCAAAACTTGCCTTTGAGAAGTTGGATGGGCAAAGGTGATGATACCTGCCTGGGAGGACAATACCCAGCCTCGGTAATGGCCTTCACTGTTAGACCTACATCCCCAGTGGTGTTCCACACTGCCCATTTTATCCCCTCAGAAACCCTATCTTGGCAGCTAGGAGGTAAGATGTTAATGGAAAGGAAAACTTGATCTTGGCACTGAAACAGAGGTAGATTTATGTTTTTTGTTTTGTTCTAAGTTTGACAAGAGGATCAGGATAGGAAGGATTTATCTAACCAAAACCAGTGTAATGACTAAGTGCATATAAACAGACAAGTATATACATACACACTAATCAGCCACAACATTAATACCACCTGCCTAATATTGTGTACAACCCCCTCATGCTGCCAAAACAGCTCTGATGTTTTGAGGCATGAACTCCACAAGACGTCTGAACTAACCTGTGGTATTTGGCACAGTTATTAGCAAGTAATTTATTAGCAAGTCATTTGCAGCAGATCCTTTCAGTCCTGCAAGTTGTGATGTGGGGACTCCATGGATCAGATTTATTGTTCCAGAACATCCCTTAGATCAGGGATGGTGAACCTGTGGCACGCCGAGCCCTCTCTGTGGACACCCGGCCATAGGTCGCTAGGGGGGAGCTGCTGGCACAGTCGGCAGCAATGCAGGGTATGCACCAAAACGCGTGTTGGGAGGTCCAGGAGGCAGGGGTAGGGATCTGGGAAGCAGATCTCCTGTCCACCCGCATGCAGGCTGTGTAGAGTGTTGCTGCACATTCCCATGGCAATGCTCCACTCACAATTGCACAGGATGACAGGAAAGCTGCAGCCAGGCACATACTTACCACCACCGGACCACCAGAGCTGGCTGTGTCCCCCCTCCTTCACCAAAAGTAAGAAGGGAGGGGGAGGGATTAAAATTTTATGTATCTTTTATGTATCATTATCCCCCCCCCCACACACACACAGCACCCCTACACCCCACACAGCGTTTAGCTATTTTCACCTTGAATTTTAAATTCACTTTGAATTAATCTTGAATTCAGAGTTATTCTTTAACACAGAATGGATTCTAACTAAAATAGAAATGGCAATATTTCGGGTAAAATAGCTGACCTGGCTAGCTCACCTATAGTCACAGATTATCTTGACCTCAATTTTTGAATTCCAATTTGAAGTTTCCACGTCAAAGCAATCTAGTGACTAACTCATTTGAAATTATAGGCTATAATAGTCTAGTTGTAGCTACAGTGAAATTGGAGAATCAACTATTTTAGCCTACATTTTGCAAATCGAAGATCAACTCCCTGCATTTTCGAGTTTAGTAAATAAACTACTGAGCTACACGTTTGTGTGCTTTGAGTCTAGAGACACATGAGGCTTGCACAGTGATACTACTAGGAGTCAGGAAAGCGAAACTCTATTCCCTAAAGAGAAAGGAACAAGGAGACATAACTGGACCCAAGGTGTGCGTGAGAGACGTCCAAAGACACGACAGGAGCATGATTAAGCCCACTCTCCCGCTCACTTGTCGATACTTCTAGCTGACTTTACACGCCCCTACGACCTGCAGTAAACACTTCACGCTCTTTAGTGCTCTGACTTTCCATGGGCACATTTTCTTACCTCCTTAACCATTCCTGACCCTCACATTTACCTCAGCCAGACCACCCCCTCCCTCTTCTCTTCCATTGCATTGCTCCACTTATTCTTTTCTCCAAAAAGTCTCCTCTCTTCCTCCCCCATCCCACTTGTGTGTCAGCTTATTTCCTCCTCTCCTCTTGGCCATACCTTCCCCTGGGCTCTCAGGGGCCCCGCCTTTGCTGAGTAAAGCTGTGGACTCGGCCCAGCCTCTCCTTATATGGCAGAGTACTGACGGCAGCAGACTGGAGGCTGGTCCTAGTGGAGGAAAGCCCACCTAGTATTGTTACTATCCCTTGCTTGGAATGTGATGTCTGAGCCCTGCACTGCAGGGAAGGGAAGTGAAGGGGGGGAGAGAGGGAGAGGATCTGCTGGAAAGGAAAGCACTTCTACAAGGGACTTTACACGCTCACTGTACGGTTATTGAATTGCTAATCGAAGTATGTCAAGGTAAGGGATCCATTAGCATAACTGTGGCTTTATCCCATGTGGCTTCTACCAGAGCCCTACGTTTTATTCAAGTTTTCTGAGTAGATCGCACTGGGAATGCTTTACACTCTCTGGGTTACTGTAACATCCATTTACTTTTTCCCTGGTGGATGAATTTCCTGCTCTTGTGGATTCCGGCTTTTCTATAGTTTGATCCCTTCGCCCTGTTGGCGTCTTTGCGGGTGATTTTTTCGGCTAGATCGCGTGGTTTCTGCGCCTTGATGCCGCAGTGCTACGCCGAGACCCAGTTTTGCCGCAAGATTACTTTTTGCTGCATTCTAATGCGAGGATTGCTGGCACGCTGAGACGGCATGCTTTGCTCTGATCTTCCCATTGAACGGGGTCATTCGCCCGAGTTCTATGCTCGAATGCGGTGTATTTCTGTGATTCTACTAGTTTGGGAGAGGGCATTTTGTGCGGAATCCCAGTAGAGGTTAGTTAGGGGAAAATGACTGCAGTAACCTCATCTGCAGTGGCGGGAGATCAGGTGGCTGCTAACAGCTGCCTAAGATCCCTTTAGCTGTAGATCTGCGGGGAGACCTCATTGAATATGGAGGAATTTCAGGCATTTGATTTAGGATTTCCAAGCAAGGCCATACCTTAAGCAATTAACCATTCACTTACAAAACAACCTTGAAGTCCCAACTCCCCCCATTCTCATCTGCTGACAAAAGGGGGCTAACTAAACCAGGCCTGGTTAACATTAAACATTATGCTGTGTTGTATAAAACGGCTTCCTTATTCATTTACTTAGTCAGCAGTGTGCTAGTTTTCATAATTTTGAAAAAAAAAAATTTATTTTTTTTATGAGAAATTACCTGTGTTGTTTAATGACAAATGTATGTGTGGGGGGAGGGGGGAGAGAAGAGTATGTATGAATTGTTTTTAAGTACAAAACTTTTTTTTCAATTAAAGATTTTATTTTAGAACATTTTTTTCAGAAAATAGCAAAGACAAAGTAGATTAAGTTAGACATTCCAAGTTTCAATGACTTCAAAAGTCCCCAGATGAGGTTTAGACAGAAGCTGTGGAACTAAAAGATCCAGGGAGCAACAACAAGGAGAAGGCAGCAGAGGTTGAGGTGGTAGGATATGGAAAGTTAAGAAATTAAAAAGAATCCTGTTTTGCAGTCATAGTTGCCCAGTTCCTCACACATCATGTATCCCATGAGGTCCTCCTGGGATTAATCCTAGACCAGTAAGTCTCCAGCTTTGTTGCCTCTTTAGCTACCGTATCAGACGCGTTTTCAGAATATATGTTCGTACTAGGCATAGCATTCCCTAGTATTAACATATATTCAGTAAATAAGTCTATTAGCTAAAGAGGTGAGGTCACACTGGGAGGTAGTCTGTTCAAAAGGGCTGACCATAGGATAGGGTTCGTTAAAGGTTATAATTTTTTTGGACAATGTCTCCAAAGGGTTTAAACTGTTGAGGCAGAATTCTTCCAATCCACAACCCCTAAAACACACAAAACAAAGTGGGCATGATTTGGATAATGTGTCACAACCTGGATGGCACTAAACGTCAGCAAGACGCTGTTTTTATAGCCGTTATGGTGCTTGGAGCTCCTTGGCACTGTACCCTAGTATGGTGTCAAATTGTTTCCGAACAGTTTGACACTTACCTGGTGCACTCCCTACATGTGATTTCCTCCTTCCTTTAAAGCAGAAGTTTGGAAGAGGTTCTTGAAAGTTTTTAGATCATTCATTGGCTGAGAGTGTCAGCTGACACATAGCTAATGATTGACTGGAAAAGTTGCACAAACTTGACATATAGCTAAAGCAAAATGAAAACTTCTGCTTCAGCTAAATGGATAAGTGTAGGATCGAATGGGTAATAGGGGAGGTAATTACTTTGACCCCTATCTCCTAGCACTGTAACCATTACAGTGGGATATAGTGCTTATAATGCTTAGTGACCCAATAAAGAGACAATGCAATGGTAGTTGGTTAAACCCTGGGCTTTCTTATGCAGAACACATTGGGGTTTAGTCACTAAATTGGGAACTTGTAAAGAATTTAAAATATAATTGCAGTTAGGGCATTCACTTATTATTGTATAATAAAATAACTTATAGTTCCAAAACCATTTATTCCAGCTTAAATAGTATACTAAGGAAACCGTTGAGGAATGATTTTGTCTTGCAATTACCTATCAGTTCTATAGAATTCCTGGTTTACTGAATGAACCTTGTTAGGGTAAAAATAGATTTTAGTGTCATCCAAACGCAAGGTCAAAGTGCAAAAAGACGTCAAGGGTAGCTTTACAAAAAAACTATTCATGCAAGTCATTTGTTTTGAAAAACTTCTATTTACAGAAAGATCATAGTTTTAATTGTTGTAATAACCATCACTATTCTTTGCTTTTATTCAATTTCCAACTGGTAAACTTGTATTTATTTACTCAACAGATGTGTTTAGTGTTAACATTGCTGCTGTACTTGCATATTTTGTATAAAAGGGATTTTGATGGGAAGAATATGTAGGTGGTACATTCATTAACCTGTAGTGAACTGATAGCCAATCTATGACTTTATCGGAGCTGGAGGATGATTCTAACTTTTGCTGTCTGTCGTTAAATTATGCAGTTCAGGTTTCTACATTTCCGTGTCTTGTAAAAAAACAAAGCCCTTAGACGTTTCTCTTATTTTCAATTATGCTAGAGTTCAAGATGGTTATGGCCACTTGTTATATCTGTTAATCAACAAATTGGATTGTAAGGGTTGACTTTGTTTTAATGCCGATGTACCAACGGAAGACTTATGGTAGTGGTTTTTGTGCCAGGAGGACCCCTGGCACCCTTCCAGCACGAATCATCGAACTGTTGGCAAACAGTTTGATATCTTACCTGGGGAATGCTTAGCACCCATCACACCTTCCGGGGGAAATGACCTGGAAGGCTGTGCTTGGATGACCTCGTTGTCAAACCATTCATAAGGGGTTTGCCTACTTGTTGTGGGAGGGCACCAAGGCACCCCTGGAACCATAACCATAGAGGGCCATAGTGGTTATGGTGTTTGGAGTGTTCCTTTCCCAAAAGTGAATAGGTGATATATATTTAAAAAAATTTTTTTATATATATAATTTTTTTTCTTAATCATGTTTTAATGAGTATCACATATTGGTCTGTTTTCAGTTAATGGCTGTATCCTAGCAGAAACACTTTGTTAATTGCCAGTGTTGGACTTAATAACTCAATGGCTTTTGACTCAGATCTTGTTGCTTAATCAACTTTTTTTTTTTTTAAATCTATCCGTTTTGAATAAGTGTAAAATGGAAGGAATACTGGTATGTTTGTGCATTGCTAGACCTCTATCGGAGCCTCAAACGCTTGCGCATTTTTCCCAAAACCTCATGGCCCAGCAACAGTCCAGTTTTTTTTCAGTATGTCCATTGGAATAGAAAAGGGAAATGCATTAATCCTGGACTGTTGCTGGGCAATGAGAATTAGTTAGGAAACCACTGCTTTAGTGCATAAACTACATTAATACACATGGCCATTGATTTCAGTTGCGATGTATTGTGTATGAATGAGGACAATTACTAATTTTAATTTGTGAATTAGCAGTTATTGTGGTTTTTGTTATTTTTACTTGCTGTCTTCACATATCTTGTTTACTCTTGTGCAAACTAGTCCTGGAATACTCATTCCACGTTTTTTTTTTTTTTTTGTTTGTTTTTTTCACTTTGCAAGCTTGTTCCCCCAAAAAGGAAGTGATTATTGCACATCTTTTATAAACTATTGTATTTTGTTGGGTCCTTCAGTCAGTCCTGTAAACCAAAGACAGAAAATCAGTAGGCAAACGCAAAGAGAATGTGTAGTGACTCAATATGACACAACTAAATTTTCCACATATAGAAAAAAAAATTCTCATACAAATTCATAGTTGCAGCACCTTCAATTATTTAATGATACTGAATTTGGTTTTAATGAAATTATACCCATACATTAGTTTTATAAAACAAGTCTGAAAACTTATTTGTGAAGGGGTCTTGGCACTGTATTTTCCAAGTTAGTTTAAAGGGACACTATAGTCACCAGAACAACTACAGCTTATTGAATTTGTTCTGGTGAGTAGAATCATTACCTTCAGGCTTTTTGCTGTAAACACTGTATTTACAGAGAAAGGCCGTGTTTACAACTTGGGGATACCTCCACCGGCCACTCCTTAGATGGCTACTGGAGATGCTTCCTGGGGCAGTCACGGCCTTTCAGTGTCTCTACCCTCTCTGCATGGAGACACTGAACTCATAGAGATGAATTGTTAGTGTGGCTTGAAGTTTAGTTACAAAAAACAAGCAGTGGTTTTGTGATTTCACTTATAAATCTTTACTGTACAAACAAGTGCTTTTACTGTTATACTAATATTTATGCTAAATTTTGACAAGTTGAAGTAACTTGTAGTAAAGCAAGGTAACCAATTACTTTAGACATTTTCCAATGCATGTACTACGGAAGACCTTTTTTTGTTATTTAGAAAAAAAAAAAAAATCTACCAATCTACTAAATTAGTCCCCTATAGTTAAATGCATTAGAGTTAAGGCTTAAAGAAACACTCCAGGCACCAAAACAACTTCATCTAAATTAAGTGCGGCTACATATCACCGGTAACCTTACATCCAGGAAGTGGCTTTGATTGTGCAGGGGATTATGAGACGTGTATTCCGTCATGGACTGGCCACTCTGTAGTAGATATAGGGAGGAAGGGAATTGCATAGTACAAACACCCACAATATAAATCTATATATTGTGTGTAATATGCAATTTCCACCCCCCACACCATTCTGAAATAACAAATGACGAGATCTGCTGTGCATGTGTGCCTCATCTGTATAATTTAGCATCTTGAGTTAGATTGTGAACAGCCGTCAAATGGAGTTAAGTTATTCAATTTGTTTTTGGAGGTTTGCTTTGTAAAACCCATTTGACTATTCACAGAAATCCTATTCCTTCGTCTCTAGACATATTTGTTCTGCTAATTAGGGACCAACCGATTATCGGTCTGGCCAATATTAGCGGCCAATAGTCTGTATTTTCAGCAATATCTGTATCGCCAATAAAGATACCGATATTGCAGACCAGGGCTGCCATCAGGGTCCTGGGGGGGCACAGCACACTCTTACTTACCTTCCCAGCTCCCTTCAGCTACCCTGTCTAAATCTCGTTTATTTCATTCATTTCCCTGATACAAATCAGTGGAATGAGCAAAAGATTCCATAACCCTAAATTAAGCTAGAAATAGCCTAACCACTAGTTACCTGAATCACCACACCACACAAACAACTACCATATTCTTAACTTTTAGTGCTCTTCTGTTTTTTGTATACTACCTCTGAACTATATTCAAACTAATGAAATGCTGGTATTAAATTCATTTGAAAATAGCTTGCCTTTTGGGATATATATATATATATATATATATTTTTTTTTTTTCTTCAGTTCTGTTTATATTGAATATTGTGAACCTGCGAATGTAAGTGGCAGAATATGATATAGCATATTTGAAATTCAATGTAGTGTGTGTGTGTGTGTGTGTGTGTGTATATATAATGAAATTCAATGAATAGGACCTCTTTCTCACAATCACATTTAAATACTTTATTGCAACTTTAGGTATCTAGGATGAATATCAGTGTGTGTTTGTTGGAACTAATTACTTGATTCCTTATTGCCTGACCATAAATAATATACCATATTTTTCCGTAAATAAGATGTATAAGACTACCCCTATTTTTTGAGCCCAAAATTAAGAAATCAATGTTTTAAGCATCAAATAGAACAGCTTTGATATTTTAGAGGTGCCATCTGCGGAGAACATCAGACTTCTGATCTTCATGCCTCCCCTGTGCTACAGTACTCTGTGAAGCTAATGGCTCTGTAGTGTATGCTGGATACTACAACTCCCACAATACAGCAGTTGATGTGAGGGTATGCTGGAGGTGGAGCAATCCTTAATATGGCTGCTCCTTTTATTGTGTGGCATGTCTCTGGAGCTCCGTTGGTAAATGCTGCCGCTGCCACTCCCACGTATATAGGGACCTCTTCCACAGCATTCAGAAGTCAGTATGAGGCAGGACAGGTATGTGTGTGAGCCGAGGCACATTGAAATGCGTCAAGCGCCATCTTAAGTTAGGCCCACGCACAAGTGGGTTTTTTTGTTTTGTTTTTTTAACCCCTGCAGTGACATTCAGTGTTTAAGATGACCCCCAATTTTAGACTAAAAAAAGTAGAAAAAAAAGTCTTATACATGGAAAAATACTGTACATTTATTTTTTGGTTTCCTCTGAGATGTATGGTGTAAACTAATTTGTAAGTGCAAGAGGATTTTTAGATCTGGTTCAGCAGGAAGAATTCTTATTTGTTATTCAGTATATGTTGAAGGTAGGTATAAATGGCCTTAATTAAATTAAACACTTAACCCTTTGCATGTCTCTTCTGTGTTTTTTTTTGGAATGAAAACCTTGTCAAACCTGTTCTCCTGATGACGTGAAAGGTCAGTTTTGCACAGCGTGATCCTAATTACCGGTTTCTCACTGTTCAGACATGCTTAACAATGGCTTATCAGCCATTCAGCCTGTAATAGCTGTTGGTACATATTTAGAATTTGCCATACCCATTTAAAATGTAGAAGGTATACTCTATATAAAATGGTGCTGAAGCCTCTTAACAAACTCTCTCTATCTAATAGGGGCAAGTGGCTATCAATATAGGACTAGAGATTTCTGTAAATGCCAACTGAGTTATTAAAGTGGAACAAACAGCAGGAGCAGTTGGTTTCCACAGTGATTGCTCCACTTTTAGAACCGTGCTCTAGAATCAATATTTATTCATTATCTCTACTGATTCACCTGGGGTTATGCAATTTTGATTTAGATTCCATTGTTCAGATCTGTAGGCATCTGGTTTCAATATGGTGTGTGTATCTATCTTGAAGAGTTTCTTAGATCATCATTAGCTCTACAGGCAATGGTGTGCGTCCTCCCTGGGTCACGCTGCACACCAAAGCTGGGAACCGAGAATATGGAACTCCTGGGAACAGAAATGACATTAGCCACCCCAAAACTCTTGTTCTGAGCTGCTAATGATGCTGCCGGAAGTTTAGTTAAAGGACCACTCTAGGCACCCAGCCCACTTCAGCTTAATGAAGTGGTCTGGGTGCCAGGTCCAGCTAGGGTTAACCCATTTTTTTAATAGACATAGCAGTTTCAGAGAAACTGCTATGTTTATGAATGGGTTAAGCCTTCCCCCAAATCCTCTAGTGGCTGTCTCATTGACAGCCGCTAGAGGTGCTTGCGTGAGCACGCAAGCGTCCATAGGAAAGCATTGTAAATGCTTTCCTATGCGACCGGCTGAATGCGCGCGCATTCAGCCGACTGGGAGGAACAGAGGAGGATCGGAGGCAGAGAGCTCCCCGCCCAGCACTGGAAAAAGGTAAGTTTTACCCCTTTTCCCCTTTCCAGAGCTGGGCGGGAGGGGGTCCCTGAGGGTGGGGGCACCCTCAGGGCACTATAGTGCCAGGAAAACGAGTGTTTTCCTGGCACTATAGTGGTCCTTTAATACAAGGCAGCTAGCCTAAATATCTCAGTATGTCCAGAGTTTCATACTGAATCACAGCGTATACAGGGTCCATGCACGATGACCACTTCAGTGTTTTCAAGTGAAGTTTTCATGATGTTCGAAGTAACCCTTTAATTGCCAATCCCTATAGCCATCTGGCTAAAAAGTTGGCATACCACAAGAGGGCATGATTTAGGGAATATACAACAAAAAATTTGTTTTATTTACTTATTTATGATAGATAAAAGTAGGGTCCTCACTTCTGCTTGTTTCTGTTAGACTTGTTTTGGTGAACTTCTTTGCATGTTTTGTACAGCATTTGTATGGAGATGTAGAATCTCCATAAACTGCCATATCCCAGGAGTATTTCCATTTATTGAGTATGTAGTCTTAGAAATTTAATTCCTGCTATTCAGAAGGTGAATATTTTTGTATATTACGATTATTAATATTTATTTATATTTTTTGTGAGCTAGTGTGTATCTGAAGTGTTGGTGGTGTATTTGCTACATTATTGGATTCCTTGTGCTTCTACCCAACATTCTGTACAGGTGATGTGATACACCTAAAACAAACATGAGTATAGCACTGTATTACACGAAAGGTCTCCTGGAGAATATAGCAATCAGAACAAAATAGTGTTGTAATTGACTTCTCTTTGATGGCCTCTTTCTTCCTAATGGTCTTGGTACGTAACTACAGCAAATGCCATATAGGACTTGTTTGGCAAATTGAAGCAACAGAACAAGTGTACCATCTCCATTGTGCTCTAGTTTTTAAGAATTTTAAACAAGAAAACGTTTGCCTTGTCCAAATTAATTTAGGTTTCCATTCCTTTACCACCTTCTTATGTATTTTGTTTGAAGTCTCAGTTTTCTAAATGAATCTCCATTGTGCAGTGTGAGTATTGCAGACTGTTTAATAAGCTAGTTCATGTGATGTAATATGTTAGGGCTATCATTTGGATCATTGTAGATTCACATGTTCTCTAAAAATGCAAGCAAGAGATTAGTGAAGGTGTATTGTAGACCTCTCACAATTTTACTTTTGGCATTTAGGTTTAGGCATAAATATACATTAACATTTTGTAAATGAGATGATGTTGTTTCACATGGAATTCACTGATTAATCTCTCATACTGTTCAAGTACAAGGACAAGCAGTCCATAGGGGAGGTCACCTCTGCAATACTATGTAACCTGGCACTCAGAGAATGCTGTATTTCCAGAGGTGTAGTGTTCGTGTTGACTGGTCCAGTTGATTTACAGGTTACTGTAAAAAGCTAACCTTGAATTGTCTGTATTGCTTCTTAACCAGGCAAATACTGCTGTAAATACATTATAAAAGAATCTCTGGGCCTATGGCAATAGCGAGGACAAAGAAACTACGGAAAATACCATCCCAGGTTCGAGTAAAAAGGACATAAAAATTAAAAGTATCTGTGGCTTTTTTTTTTTTTTTTTTTTTAGACCATATGTGTACATAATTCTCGTGCAGAGTTTTAAAAGAAAAATTGCACCAAAACCCCCCTCAATGAGATGTGGTGCCTAGTGTATTTATTTATTTATTTTGTGTGTTTTCTGCACTAAACCATTTGCTGTATACATGAAGAATCCGTTTAGCTTTTTAAATAGCCGAAGTGAGTTTCCAGTCCCTCATATTTTTATTTTTGTATATGGATTTCTGTAACCTTTTAGAACATCTGTACTCAAAACCAAAAAAAGAGAAAATTTGAAGCATTGGAGTATATGGTTCTTTATAACATGACTCACAACTTTAAGTCCACCTCTACTAGCCACATCTGAAATTTATTTGCACTCCAAATTCCGACTGCTGGAAACGGATACTGCATCATGCCCACCCGGCTACCCGAACAGGGAGATTTATCAAGACACAACAGGTGATATTCTTGGTGCATAGTGCTAAATGTTCAGAGACAGTCTATTGGTTTCTGAGTTGATTGCTCCTTATTTAGCACTTTGCCCCAAAACAGTAACTGTTTCTGCTGATGACCTGACATAAAAGGCAAAAAATTAGTCAAAATAAAACCACATTGCATGTAAGCTATATATTTTTTAACTAGTTTGGCAAGCACACTATACATTAATAATGTAGTTTATTACTATAGCTGTGGTGGTGCTGGTGACTATAGTGTCCCTTTTAAAGATGGTGTTTTTTTGATTGTACTAAGGATTCTTGCAAGTAGTGATTTTTTTTTCTTTTTTTTTTCTATTGCGTGCCAGGCAGGGCTAAAAATTTCCACTTACCAATGGCTCGTGGATGAATTGAAATATTTCTGCTTCCTTACTAGATAAGTGTTTTAATAGCTTGGGCCTTTTATATTCCTGTGTGTTTGTGTTAATGCACTTTGAGGTTACTCACAAGCCATAATTGATATTAGTTCTGTAACACCCGTGTATTTCCATACCCCAATACCATTTTGCGTGTTAACAATTTTGAATTGCTGTTAACTGTATAGGAACATAGCTGAACAGGTCAGATCTGTAAATATATGTATTGCATTAAATCACTAGTAGATATACTAGTGTAATATTTTGAAAATTGTTAAATACACAGTTCTGTATTTAGCTACAGGGTTTTTGGTCACACACAGTATGTGACTCTGGAAGTTTGTGTAAGTACATATTGTATTAGGTTTGTAATATTTTCCCACAGCTCGAGTAAAGTTGTGAATTTTTATTTTACTTTTTTTTAAATTTTTTATGAAGTAGGGTAGGTGAGCATGAAAAACAATTGTCTATGGAAGAATCTGCAAATGAGATACTGTATTTTTTTTTTATTGGGTTTTTCTATGTAAACTGCAGAAAAGATTACGAGATAAGCAATTAGAGTGGACCTGTACAATTTTGCTCTGACGGTTTTGGTAACATGTAGGCATGTGTTGAAAAGGACAATAACTACTGAATTGCTTAGTTTTTACCATTTTATATTCTGTATATGTCAAATAAATCCATTGAAGGAGTACAAGGTTATCTGTACTGTGTTGGTGTTTTATTGCTATTGCTGGGATCCACTGGATTAGTTGGCACAAAATATCTTGCAGGTGTGTTGGTTATCCAGCAGATTAACCAGATCAAATTCATTCAGTGGAATGCGTAAAAGAAAAAAACATTACCTATGCACAGAGCAATTCATCCATAATTACCAAGTTTTTTTTTGCAAAACAGTCACAGAAAAACCGCAGATAAGATTCTTGTGGTTCCAAAGGCCACGTACTTTCCCTCTGGGCAGATACTCTCTGGGTTTCTTTTAAGATGACTCAGTGGAATGTCTCAATTTATATGAAGTTGAAAACCTGTCATTTAGGTTATGTTCTTGGTGTAAGCATAAATGAATGCAGTCTATCCATTTAATTGATGGGAAAACCTTTTGAGACAAAGCTCCGTGTCAAGAGCAAGTATCTAATGAGTGTGTTGCCTTCGGTAATCTGTTGTGGTTGTGTTCTAAAAGTGGACTGTTTACCATGGAAACCAATTAACGGTTATTGCTGATTGCTCTATTTGAAGAATTTTTCCTCAGAAAAGTGTGTAGTATTTTTGAGGAAATTGAAGTTGATCGGAGAAACACTCTGAGCATTATAATCAATAGACTTGTGCACAAATCAAATATTTTTTTATTTATTTATTTTAACTTCAATCTTCGATGAGCAGATCAAATTCCTGTTAATTTATGCCCAGACGAAAAAATTCAGCCAGGATTCACATAATCGATGATCAAATTGCATGGGTCTAGATTAACAGGAATTTAATTATTTCATCACAAGTGAAAAGGATTTGTGTAAAATTCTAATATCCAATACTGCAAAATATAATTGCTACAGTATATTCAATCCTGCTGATTTCAAATTGAGGAATTTTCACCACACAAAGTGCACACTCTCATTTTAAGATGAGAGAGTTTCATCTTCATTATTATGGAACCAAATATATAGAATTTGACATTAACCATTTGGCACCACAGGCTACTGGGAAAAAAGTTTCATTAGGATGATAGGTGTCCATTAACATAATTTGTAATAATACAAAAAAAATATTTAGAAATAAGGGAAAAACTATTTTCTCTTATCCTCTTAGATATGGCTTCTTCCCAGTTTTTTTGTGTTCTCTGCTAGAAGATGGGGTGAGGGGGAAGGCTGGACGGGAGGGGTCAATACAGGCTTACCAAAATGGAAACAATGATGTATGTACTTATCACAAGCGATAAGGTAAAGATTGTAAAATTGCTGGGAAGCATGTGGTTACTATGGAGACATTCAAAGTTTTCATAACATGTACACATTTTCTTCTTAATAAATAAGGTTCACAAATCACTTTTGTGAATGTTTTACTTTTGAACTGGTACTGATCCCTTTAAAAACCCCGTAAGAGCCAAACTTCTGGAATAAAAGGGAATCCTGACATGTCACACATGTCATGTGTCCTTAAGGGGTTAAAGGAAAGCTAATAATTATGAGCTTGTGAAGCAGATGCCGTGTTTTTTTTTTTTTTTTTTTTTCTCTAACCCACACCATTGTCATTTTCTTTATTTTTACTTGACTTTTTTTTTTTTTTTTATATATAGCAACTGGAGTACCATTTGTTTTTTGTTTTTTTTTCCCCCCACCATTCCAACTACTGTGGAATGGAGTTTTAGAATGGTGCGTGCAAAACATACATTATTGGCACTCCCACTTTACTTCCAGGGCTGCCGACATTCATTTTGTTCCTTTTGCATTGCACTTATACCAGGATAGGGGCTGGTTATAGAGAAAAGAGTAATGAGAGAGGGACAGAATTAATGGATGCTGTGAAATCATTATTGCTGTGTTTGGTTTTGTTTGTGTTATACAATGCAGAGTCCTGTATAAAGCGGAATTTGAAACCTCATTAAACTAGCAAGTCACTCCTACTTGTTAATATATCACTTGTGTCTTAAAGGAACACTATATAAGTTATAAATACAGGTTTGTATTCCTAACGCTGTAGGGTCCCTGCCCTTAGTGGTATTAAGGTTCCCCATTTACTATAAAATAAATAGTATACTTACCTTTTTCCAGCACCTAGGATGCCTCTTCTCTGCTCTCCTTTAAGCCTCCTGTGACGCTGTCGAGAAGTCATGGCCTCCTCAGGCATGGTCCAAGCCAGTGCTCCTCATAGAGCAGCATTGGGAACCAAATATGCATGCACAATGTGCACATTTGAATCAATGCTTTCCTATATGGCCTTCCGTTTCACGTGACTGAGTATTACTCTCAGTGCAGCAGAAACGCCTCTAGTGACTGTCAAGAGACACTATAGTTATCCAGACCACTTCATCTCAGTGAAGTGGTCTGGGTGCAGTGTCCCTGACCTTTAAACCCTGCAATGTAAAACCCTGCCGGTTAGTAGAAATTGCAGTATTACAGCCAGTAGAGGCGCTTCTGCTGCTCTGACGGCGTAATATTCTGTCACGTGATACAGAGGGCCCCTTAGGAAAGCATTGATCGGCGACGTATGCATGTGTGGCGCTCGCTTATACACCTCTATGAAGAGCATTGAATTGGACATTGGCACATGGAGGCTATGCCTCCTCTGTGATATTTTGGGAGGCAGACAGGTAAGCGGCACCAAGGGAGCCTTGACGCTGTGCCAATTGTAATCTTTCCTTTACCTTGACACTAGATTAAACGAATGGATGTGGTCCTTCTATGTATGTAAGCTAACTTATTTATATATATATATATAGATTTGGGATTTCTGTGGGAAAAGCAAGTCTTATGGCTTGACTGGTGTGCAGATTTTTGTTTAGCATTGTATTAACTATCCACATACTTCAGGTGGAAGGGGTTTTCAATCACAATTTTTCCCCACCATAATCTATTTGGATCTTGCTTCACAAGCACTACCAAGCCTCCTTAAGCAAACCAGTAACCAACCTCATGCTGAAGAGTTGCATTAACAACGAAACAGCTGTCCATGAGTGGTTCACTGGTTTTGCATCTTATCCTAAATTGTGTTCCAAGCAGTTGTATACTGCAAACACAAATTATAAGGAATCCATGTTTAAAATGGAATGAGGCAAAAATGTGATTCTTTGTTAAACTAATTTGCATATGCCCACCCAGAATCCTTTGCGGTTGTAACATCACTGCTGATTTGGGATTTCTGTGGGAAAAGCAAGTCTTATGGCTTGACTGGTGTACAGATTTTTGTTTAGCATTGTATTATATATATATATATATATATATATATATATATATATATATATATATATATATATATATATATATATATATATATATATATATATATATATATATATATATATATATATATATAAAAATCTCCTTTTTTTTTTTAATGCAGGGATGGGGGATGGGTTGGCATGAAAACAAGTAGGGACAGGAACACTATAGCGTAACTGTATTCTTACGCTATAGTGTTCCTTTAACCCTGCAATGTAATCTTTGCAGTTTTACACTGCATGGTTAAAAGGAGACCAGATCACTTGAGTAAAATATTGTCCCTTTAAGTTGAAAATGTAAAATTTCATTATATTCAATATTGCGGACCAGAAGAAAAAGGTAAAGTCTCGAACAATGGCATTTTAAATATCTATTATTTTACATATAAATATACACACAAAATAAAAAGTTGAAGTGAAACTACTTTTGAGGTTTATGAAAAAAAAATGTTGGGGTGGTGAAGGGGGGAAGGTATTTATGTAGGGGTTCTGTGGACACGAAGATAAGCTTTTCTGTATGTTTGAAAAATATGGGCACTTGTTTTATGTATCAAATGAGAAGCTTTAATCCTCCATATGTTTAGCACAGATGCTGCTTGATTTGAACCACACATACCTAGAAGTTTTTATACCATGGCTTTTTTTTTGATGTACATGTGCTCTGAGTTTGCAGAGAAAAATTCCACAGAACATTTAAAAATTATTTATTTTCAAATAAATTCTCTCTCTCCTCCTCCCCCCCCGCCCCCCCCAAAGAAAAAAAAAATCTGTGCAGTTTGTAACTATTTGTATACCTTTTTAAATATGTAGCAAGCCCTCTGTGATATTGATTGTGCATATTGCAATATTTTTCATTTACCGTTTTTCAGTCTGGTAGTGAGTCATCTGATGCATATCAGATACATGCAGCTGCACCCAATAAATTGAGATTTTAAATATCTTTAAAATCGGTTATGTTCGAACCCATTTGGAAGATTACTGTAGTATCAGGTAAAAGACGATGCTTTTGACAAGAGTATTGAAGTGCTGGCCTTTTGTAAATTAATTATTTTATGATTATATGTAATGTGATATCATGCCCTGCTACTTTCCCCCTTGCCTTCCTGCTTTTCTTTAGGACATTGAATGCAAGGTCCGAGACTCGTTCCTATAATGCAGTCTGCATTCTGATCACTTTTTTTTTTATTTTTTAAGCACCAGTAGATCTTAAAGGTGCTAACTGTTAGTCAATGGTTCATGTATATTAATGCATTCATACTGTTCAAAGAATCCTCTGCATACATGATGACTTCCCTTCTAGCTTTCCATTAAATCATAAGGACGTGTTTTGACAAGTTTGTTACCTAAATATAACATGACATGTTATGTGTAATTTACATGATTTGGTCAATGATTTTTTTTTTTTTTGGTTTTAAAGTCTTTATTGCCATAAACGCGTATTACAGAAATAGATAATAGCTATTTAAACGAGAATTACAAGGTGTTTAAATGAAACAGGAAGGGTTACACGGGTTAGGCATAGGTCTATTCTGTGAAGTCATAAGTGGTTGAACAATGTGACTACATAGAAAAAGCGTGGTGGGGGAGGGAACGGTCGTCTAGCCCCGTTGAGTCTTGTCATATTTTGTGTATCTGTCACTTTTCACTTTTCAGAGTGTATTTCCAGTCATCATAAAGCCAGTATATCATGCCCACATTGTGGGTTATGAGTGTCTAATTGTAGTGATGGGTAGTCTCTTACTTAGGCCGTGTGTTTATGGCATAGTGTGAGGCGTGTCTAGTTGGCTCGTGGTTGAAGTGTTGTACGGTTTTGTCACCCATATTTGTCGGTGTGTGTGGTGACTTTCCGGATCGGAGTGTGGACATGGCCTCCAGTCCTATGAACTCGTTAAGTGTAGGCTACTGGGCTACTCTGCATGTTTTCAGTAAGAGTTGTGATACGTGGAGGTGGCAGCTGATGACCCGCTTAGACCGTGGGCGTGCATCTCTTGAGCATCTCATCCTAGTACAGTCGTCAAATGCGGTTGATGCCTTGGGTGAAGGCTAAAAAGGAAGGGGGTGGTTAGAACTGAAGGGACGAAGGGAGGGGGGTTTTGGGCTGACCGGTGCTGAATCTAGACAGTATCGTTGTATGTGAGGTGGTTGACAGTCCCAGGCGTGACCTTTAAGTGTGAGTGTGATTCGTGGGGTCTGGTTTGGTCATGAATTTCACCCAGGGACTCCACACCTCACGAAAGAGTGGGTATGTGTGTGTTATGGAAGCGTGAATTTCTTCCAAGTCTTTAATCCCATCTACCTTTGTTATCCATTCTCTGATTGTGGGGGTCTCAGGGTTTTTCCATTTTGCGGGAATGAGGGCATTGGCCGCTATGAGCAATTGCACTACTAGCATACGCAATGGCTTCGGTAGGCGTGTGTTCAAGTAAAAACAGTAGGGATTGGGGTGTTGTGGGGAGTTTCAGCCCCGTCACTATTCTGATCATTGACAATATGTGGTTCCAATATATGTATGTTAGGGCATTGCCACCATATGTGCGCTAAAGTCGCCCCCTGTTGGTGGCATTTCCAACACGTTCCTGGTGTCTGTGGGAAGAGGTTGTGTAATTTCACCAGCGAGTAGTGCCAGCGAGATATTCTCTTGTATCCACTTTCTTGTAACCTGTTGCAAATGGAGGTTTTGTGGATTTGTGTAAATATAGTTTTCCACTGGAGATCTGTGAGAGTTATGTTAAGGTCCTTCTCCCACGACTCCGTGAACCTGGGTGCAGGTTTGTTATGATTGTCTTGAATAAGTTTGTAAAACGTCGATAGGTGTTTGGTTTTGATGTTGTGTGTTGTACAATGTATTTCGTAGTCTGTGAGTGTGCGGGAACCCGTTTTTAGTATTGGGTTGGACTCTATGAAGTGGGTCAATTGTACATAATGGAAAGTTGTCAGTGTGGTCGGTTTGTCTTGCTTTGTCAGTTCGGTGAGAAGCCGGATAGAGTTGTTGTCTGACACTCTCCCTAGTGTGAGATAAAGCGCATCAGCTGAGTCCTGTAAATTTTGGTAGGTGGCCATATGTAGGCCTGGCGGGAAGAGTGGGTTATGTGTAATTGGGTATAAAGGGGACGGGTGTGGGGAGATGTTCGGGAGTTCTCTTATGTGTGACCAAATCTTGAGTGTAGGGTGGATAGTGGGGTGGGAGGCATGTTGGGTAAGTAGCACGACCATGTTTGTTCTTTGCCATGGGATTGTGTAGAGGGGTACCGTAAATACAGCGCTCTCGAGTTTTCCCCATTGCCTCGTCGGTGGACTAGTGGTCCAATCATATATCCTGGATAAAATGGTGACTTGGTAGTATCTTTCCATGTGTGGTAAGCCTAGGCCTCCACTTGCTTTGTGTTTGGTTAGGACTTCGTAGGGGATTCTAGGACGTTTTATGTGCCCAGATGAAGGTAGTGAAAAGTTGTGTTAATTTGGTGAAGTATGATTTGGGTATAGTGATGGGCAGGGTTTTGGTCAATGATATTGGCTTTTAAAGTGGAATTAACACAGATTGTGAAGTCATTTTACTTTAACTCACAAAATGGTCATCAGATCTAATTAGCAAAAAAGGTACATATTTCATTAATAAAAATAAAATTGCTACACCCAAAACCATAGTATAATTATAAATATTTCAAGAAGATATAAAAGCATCTATCTCTCTGTATCTGTATATGAGGATTGTTGGGCCATATGCCACACCTATGCCTGCTACTAGGAGTAATGCCTCCGTATTGGCGTGAAATTTGATATGCCTATCACTATGCCAGTGTTGGTGGTTTTTTATTTTTTTTAAATTCTTATGCTTTCTATGTTGTCAATCCAGGTGTTGTATTCTGGGTGTTTACTTTTGGCATATTTCATTAATGCACCTATAAAAAAAATCATGGTCTTATGATTTTGATGAGGTTGCATATTACAACCATTTGGTACCTTTATGTAAATTGCTAAACATATTCTTGGGAGTGTTCCATTAATGTAAACCTTGTTTCTATTTATGGTCATGATTTGCTTTAAAGGTTTATTCCTTCCAAAACAGTTTTTTGGGGTTGTGGTTTTTTTTTTTTTTTGGTCGAGTAACCTTTTCTGACCTTCCCTCTCTAACGGGGAAAAAATAATTATAAAAAAAATAAATCCCGTGCCAAGGCAAACTGTTCCCCGCAGCTTGATCCTCCTCTAGTGATGTCACTCCCACTTGCTGTTAGTTATGGCTGCGGCGAGGAACAAGTCACCACTTGATTTTGAATCCGCCCATATCACGTTCTTTCAAGATCTTACAAGAAGCACATTGCAGTGGCGCAGGTCAGTGGGCTTGATCACCAACCACCTCCGAACAGCCGGCATGGAATACCAATGGGGCATGCCCAGGACTTTAACGGTGATAAAAAATGGGGTCACACACAAACTTAGCTCCCTGAATGATGGACTGGCAGCGGCCTCAATGGAGTCCCCCAAACAACATGTATGGGACCCCTCGAGAACTGTCCCGTTCACACCACGAGATGGAGCGAGGCTGGGAGCTCCTACCTGAACCATGCTTCGACGGAGTGGACTCTCCAGTATCACATAGCCCTCTCAGATGACTGCTCCTGCTCATATTATGATACAATTAAGATAGTTCTTTATTCTGCATTGTTGAAGCTTGGTTCATGACTGCTTTTAGTTTTTGCTTACATATGCTTATCTTTCTTTCATTTAGCCACGCTTAACAGTATTTATCACAGCACACGGTAAAGCGAACACGCGAAAATACACTAGCCCTCCCCGCTCCAGAAAGCGGGATGATAGCCCCCCGTGGCTTCCCTAGGTCAGGGACCGTCTGTCACGAATAAGTAAGCACGGACCCTGGGCTCAGATACCATACACATAGTTTACCCAGTTGGCCCATTTTGCCTACTCCTACATTTTACATATCATAGTGACTGGGCACACTACAGCAAAGACAATCAGCACCTACGGGGCCGAATAAGAATAAAAATAAGTCTGGCAACTATCCCCATCGTGTAACCTTGATATAAAGGACACCTCCGCACCCTAGCCCCTCACCCCTTAGATCTGAGCGTCAAATCGCATTCACCAAGTAGGGTTGCTTACTACTCACGCTTCTCTTAATAAATTCGGCTTGTTTATTATAATTTTTAAAAATGAGGCTGTCCATTATGGGAGTCCTAGCAACTGAATATGCTATTGCACCCACATTGTGTATTAACATGGTTTTTACTCCCTTTTTTAATTTCTGTAACCCTTTTATCATTGCCCCAATAAAAGAAAGAATTATTATAAAAATAAAATACACCTACCATTAAAATTTAATTGACGTAAATCATAAAAATTACCTCCCCCCCAAAAAAATAAATAAAAACAAACAATTTTATAAAAAGTTTGTATAACCTGCTATCAATTCCATAACAACTAGAGAATAATTTATTCCAGAATACATGCCATGATAGCATGAGCAACCCTGACTGGTGAAGGTTACCCTAAATATGTGTTCCTATTCAATGAAGTTCCCTACTCACTAAGGGTATAAACTGAAACACTGAATAAGATAGTTCCAGGAAAAATGTATACGGGAAGATTCAGAATGTGTGGGTGTGTATATATCTGTGGGTGTGTGTGTGTGTGTGTATATATGTATGTGTGTGTGTGTGTGTGTGTGTGTGTGTATTCTCTCGCCTTTGAAATGAGGAAAACATTCTGATGTTGCTCCTCAAATGAATCCGTAAGAAAACTCCTTTTAGTGGGGTTACTACGTTGAATGTATGAAATGGCTAATTTTATACAAGCTCACGGTATTCCTCTTAGCCACATTAAACGAACGATCATTTTAAATATGATGATCCTACCATCCAATTACTACTTCTCTAGGCAGGCAGACTGTGTTATTCTATTGGATCAGTATTTATGACGCTGTAAATGTCAGAGGCTGAAGGGCGATCAAGTAAATAATTTATTTGTCTGAACTCTGAATCTTGCCATAAAACTGGTAAACGCCCTGCCAGAGTAGCAATAGTACAGACAGACTGCGCATATAGAAATGGAATATGACTTAAGTACAGTATACGGCTTTGTATTCGTGTTCTATGGGATTTAGCTAAATAGTTTTGTGAAGAAATAAGCAAATTTATTTTCATATTGCCAATTTGGGAATAAAAGATCAATTGCAGATTTTTTTTGATTCACTATTTGTCGAATAAGCTCTCAATTTGAAAATGACGATATTGTGTGTGTATATGTTTTCACTTTACATAAATCTTGTGGCCTCCTTTCCTATGTATCAGCTCAGTAATAGTTCTAGTTCATTCAATTCTTCCAAGTCTAAGTCTCTGTTCAGTTTCATAAAATCTTCATGTATGGGCTCCTTCTGTGTGATGCTGGGTAAACTGATTCAGCCGCAGAATAGTTTTATATACGGTAGATACCTGTTCACTTTGTAACTTTAGAATTCAAGGGAGTAAATATCCATTTCTTATTAAAGGAACACTGTAGTGTCAAAAACACTATTTAGAATTATTTAAATTCCCTCTTCTGAATCTGTCCGTATACATTTTTCCTGGAATTCAATTTACTATCTTATTCAGTGTTTCAGTTTATACCCCTAGTGAGTACGGAACTTAATTGAATAGGAACACATATTTAGGGTAACCTTCACCAGTCAGGGTTGCTCATGCTATCATGGGATGTATTATGGAATAAATTATTCCCTTGTTGTTATGGAATTGATAGCAGGTTATACAAACTTTTTATAAAATTGTTTTGGTTTTTTTGTGGGGGAGGTCATTTTTATGATTTACTTCAATTAAAATAATTAAATAATTTGGTATGTTTGCTACTGTTTGCATTAACGTGTGCTAATTGCCATTTGCTTTTGTCAGTTGTATTTGGCTTGTGCCATTAAATGTAGTCAATTTTATGGGTGGTCTTTGTGATCTTACACAGGCAACGCATTGTGAGTGTGATCAGTTTATACAATCGCTCAATGCTAAAGATATCTTACCACAATTAGGTTATACATAGATTAGATCATGTGCCCTTCTGAACTTGAATTTGCTCTTTAGATTGTTTTTATCAGCCAAATAACTGCTTATTCTCTAGTTTTAGACAAAGATTTCAACTGACACCAAGATATTGTATGTACTTGTCTGTCTTGTTCACTGGGCAAGCCCTGCTTATATGCACTATGCAGTGCGTGTACAGGAGCACCTGTTTTAGGGTAACACAAAGATGAAGCCATCTGTGCAGAGCTATTTACCTAGCTTGTACCTATATCTGGCATGTTTATAATGCCTAATTTCCAGTGATCCACTAATGAAGGTGGAGATCTTGTTATGAAAGGTATTGTATGCAGCTGTCAGGAGCAGTGAAATTTTATTTTAATTGTTCTCACACCTACTGAAGCTTATAAATGTCTTTCATTGCCATTTAAGAAATGCAAGTCATTTTTGTTATTTTCCTACTGAGTACTTGGTCTGTTCTCCTAGACAAAATAAACAAATTGAGGACAAAACCTCATTCTAAGAACAAAGATTGGCAAACGTCTCTAGAGCTTAGCAGACAGGCCTATTTTTCTGGCTTGTGGTTTTATTTTTTTTATTTTTTTGCTTATAGACTGCCATGGAAGAGATCCAGCTATTGGGTTCTGTCTAATCTACCTATTTAGCAGCAAGCAGTAACCTTTTTATTAGCTGTGACTCCTTGGATCCTGCATTTGACAACCTTTTAATATTCATTATCAGAAACGTGCTGCAAGTAGTGTAGAGTATTCTGGGTATTTGTATTTCTAAGCTAAAGTGATGACTCATGCTATTGTATATTGATCCGAAACAAAACAAAAAACTCAAGTCATGCAATAGGGCTTGAAAAGTACCCGGTTGTTGTGAATTATATAAATTGGCAGTTCTCCTGAGTGATTTGCTTGAGGTAGAAGCACCAAGTATGTATATGCTGGCTTATCAATCGAATTTTGAAACTAGAGACACCTGGTTATTTGCATTTAGGCAGTGTTTTGTAATCCGGCTATGCCTGTGTACATGACACCATGTTTGGATCTGTACATGATTGACCAGTAGATGATTTGTTGATGAATATATGTGAGAAGTTGATGCCACGTGGCTAAATGATGAGCCCTGTGTGTGGTCTGTGTACAGTGTTTTGTTACTCATGTTGTGTGAATTTGGCAAACTGTGATGTAAATGCTACTAAAATAATGGGAGGGTTTGGGTGATCTAATAGTCTTCAGAAGCCACAAATTCATGTGTGGAGCCCTGTGGATGAGTGGAGGGCTCTAGATGGTGTGTGTGTCCATGGGAATATATAGATGTAATGTGGCAGGTACATGTGCAGGAAATTACTCCTTTGTAATTAAATCTGGCTCTTAACTTAGTTTGCTGATTCACCTCCTGATCTTGGCTCAATCAAAAAAAGGGAATGGCAGGAAACGTAGACATTTTGAGGTGTGTGTGTGTGTGTGTGTGTATATATATGTATGTATGTATATGTATGTGTATATATATATATATATATACAGTTTTGTGACCAACAATTGTGAAATATGCTATGCCTCGTGGATAAGTCGAGGGTAAAACTTGGGGCTATGAAATTCTGTGATTTTTATAATTATATACACACACACTCATACAAACACACACTCTGCATTATATACACACACTCTGTGTATATAATGCAGAGTGTGTATATAATGCAGAGTGTGTGTTTGTGTAGTGTGTGTGAACTGGGTGGGGGGAGGGCATTTTTATTATTTTAATTTTTTATTATTTTAATTTTTTTTTGTCCCCCCCTCCCTGCTTGTTAACTGGTCAGGGAGGGGGGCTATCTTAATCCCTGGTGGTCCAGTGGCATGGGCTGTGCAGTGGGGGGGCCGGCAGGAAGCATTTACTTACCTTTCCTGCAGCTCCTGTCAGCTCCCTTCTCCTCCGTTCCGGTCAGCTCCACTGTAAGTCTTGCGGTCTGGTTGCCGCGCGGATCGTTGCCATGGCTCTGACAGCCGCGGCTCTCTAAGTTGCCATAATACAGACAGTGACTCGAGTATAAGTCGAGTGGGGGTTTTTAAGCACAAAAAATGTGCTGAAAAACTAGACTTATACTCGAGTATATACTGTATGTATGTATATATGTGTCATACATACATACATACATACATACATACATACATACATACCAGGGCTCCAAACATCCTAATGGCTGTAATAGAAGGCTGCACTCACGGATTCCATAAAATATAATGTGTGGGTATACACACACACATATTATATTTTATGGAATCCGTGAGTGCAGCCTTCTATTACAGCCATTAGGATGTTTGGAGCCCTGGTAGTGCACCCGGTCTGGGGAGTTGAAGTCTGAGTACAAGGTACAGTTAATATATAATATATATATAATATATATATAATATATGTGTATGTATGTACTTACTATACATTATATGTTCCAGGCAGTAGATTCCTTTTGAATTTAAATGATCTGGGCAATAGTTATGTACATAGCATTGTGAGTGAAAGTCATTTTTTTTTTTTTATGTATTGTTGGCAAGGAATATACCTGCAACCTTTGCTTCTGAAGGGAGAGCTTGACAAATAACAGATGCAATTACATTTTTGTGTATTTTTCAGACATTCTAGTAACCTCTTCAATGACTCCTAATAACAAACAACCCACCCAAAACCAAGCTGATCTCTAGAGATAATATTTAGTTTATGGTAAAGTTAGGATTCAGAAAGAAATGATGATTTGTAGTATAAGGTGTAAATTTGGAGGAACACACTGGATTATACATGTCAGGGTTACTCACTATTTATTTTCCATATCATATCGACTGTAAAGGATTCTTGTTTTCTTTTTCAAATCGGCTATAAGCTAACTACGAATAGTCATTGTTTAGTGTGTGTGTTTTGCTTGTTTTCTGAGTTTTGTTATTGGCTCTTTTTTTGTGTGTGGATCTGTTGCTAGATCCTTTGTTACTTTGTTGGAAGTAAGATCATGTCTTGCATCATATCGTTTACTGCCCATCAAAAAAGGTAATTTATGCTGAAAATTAAGAGTTATGGATGGTCCAATACAAATTGGTCTTTTTTAAATAATCCTTTGCTTCCCTTTTATTTTATTTTAAAGTGCCCAAACCTTGTACTTTAACAAGTAAATGTTTATGTGGGGTCCCTTCCTTGACTAAGAAGCTGTACCATTCCATAGACAGTCATTCTGATTTATGGGTTTGTTCTTGTGATTATTAAATTTTTTATTTTCTTCTCCTTTTTTAATTCCATAAATCTCTGCCTAGCATTAAATGGGATATGGAGAATACAGCTACAGTTCAATTTATGGCCTAATATGACTTGAACTGCTCAGTAACCTGATTGCTGCCATACAGAGGTTAATCATTTATTCACAGCTCACTTTTGTTAACTGGGCTATACAGTGATACCATGTACTTATTGCTGCTGTTTGGGTTCTTTGTGGAGACTAGAAGGGGAGGTATGTCCAGCAATGTTGTGAATGCGGACTGTGCACTCCACACGTGCAGGTTGAACAGTAAAGGAAAAGTAAAAAAGTTTTTCTGCACCATCACTTTTGGCAATATATATAAATATATATTGTAGCATGTCCATTAACTGTAACATTTAAAACATTATTAAATTTCTGTGCTCATTCTTCTAGTACAGTATTTTATTACATTGACGAACCAAGACATGCCTGAACTGCGTGTGAATCGATCCAACCTTCATAGCTATGCTAGATTGGGAGTTATGTAGGCAAGGGAGCTCACTACTCTCACCCTGCCTTTGCTGTCTAACAAATTGACCATCTTAATGTGTAGGGTACATTCCAGATTATCTAAGTGATTTGTCTCTCCCTGGTTCTCACATTCTATTATTGACACCCAGAGTGCTCCCTATAATTCAAACTACTCCTAAACTGTTTGGCAAAAAAAAAAAAAAGAGCTGCCCTGGTTTTAGAGTGGCCTTTTAAACATTTATAATTGTAGTCTGGTTTACAGAGGTAATCTACCGGTATGTCTTTATTAACACCTCCACAGACTAGATAGAATTAAAGATATGCTTTTATGAAGCTGGGATTTTTTTTCTTCGACATGCCGAGTGTCTATACATGTGAAGAAATGTAAAACCTGCGGCCTACACATGAATGGCTCCTGTATGAAATCTGACACTGAAATTTTGTATGGTTCTGATATTGCAACTTACCGGTTATGTATTTTTGTACGTATGGAAGCTTTGCATTTTTCAGACTGAGTAAAATTTGAGTTGTTTTGAAAATTTCTTTTTATTTTTTTCCACCCATTTATTGTAAAGCTGTAATTTAAAAATATCAATGATTTCAGATTTAAAGGGACTACTTAAGTGGTTAATTCAAGCATCATACAGCCCATTAGCCTGGTTCCTCTGTAATGGGGCAAAACATTTAGCAAAGGTTTGCCCCCTTATCTGGGTCACTGCCAGGTCCCAATGCTCACAGAGCTGTAAAAAGCCACAACCACAGCACATCAGCTGACTGCTCACGGTCAATTAAGGCAATGAAAGTTGCACAGAATTGACAGCACTCTAATTCCGAGCAGCCTGATGACACCCCTATGACTCTGCCACAGGTGGAGTTAAACCTTAGGAAACAGAGGCATAAACTTCTGTATGGGCAGCATTTCACGATGAATTGCTGCACATACAGAATCCAGCCACCATGACCACTTCAGGTCCCGGAAGAGGTCATGGTGCTTGGAGTTATGCTCTAATAGTGCAGAAGAATTGCATTATATCTTAAATCCAGCTTGTTCCTATAATGTGATTTTAATATTTTTTTTTTCTTTAGATGAAGCCCTGAGGTAACTTATTTTGTCGTCACATGTTGTAGTCTTATAAAAAGTTTGATTACGATTAAGTCTTAATACATGTGTTAAGGTGAAATATATTGATATCTGATCCACTGTTTGTGTGTGGTATTCTCCTGGGCGTTGTACTTTCTGTCTATGTGATTTCACTCCTGTTTAGTGCTTGCCATGTGGAAATGGCACAGTAATACTGCATGTAGACCTTCTCCTGCTAGCAAATATGTACTTATAGGTATAATTGGTTGCTCTTCCTCAATATTGATCTGAGTTTTAAATAATTGCATTGCTGTTTTGCTGTGTCTGTGTGTCACAACTGAACTACTTTATATAGTTTCCTCTGTATGTTAAAGGAACACTTCTTCAATATAACTGTGTATATATGTAAATGTGTTTTTTAAAACACTCGGCCCACCATAACTGAAGTGGACTGAAGTTCTTATGGTGCTGGGTGTTTGCTGGTGCCTACTTACCTTAAAGTGTTAAACTGTTTTAATTCCAAAGTCTTCTGTTTGGCTCTCTTCAGCTCTGCACCCTCAACATCCATTTTGAATCCGAGGCTTGAAACAAAAAGCCTTGGCATCAACTGGTGCTCTCAGCCTATCCGTAACTCCCAATTTACAAAACTGCCTAGGAAATATTTTCATTATTTAAAACTTTATATTTTGCAATATCTAGGTCTACAAGTTACAAGTTTTAAACAGTATATGGTTTCTCAGACATGGCAATGTTTTGTTTTCAAGGCTGCAGGCACAGCATCTGCAACGCCAAATCACTATATTAAGTGATCTTAGAATGTACACTATTCCTTTAAATAATCACCTTTAGATATAGAGTTATAAATCTTTTTATTTTATTTTTTTAATAATTTTTAAAAAAAAAATTATTTATTTGGGATGTTCAAGTTTTTGCAAACAAGTGCGCAGTGCCACCACAACTGATGCCCGCAATTCAGGTATTGACAGATTATAATATTTGTTTGGCATGTGTAACATTTGCATTTTTTTTTTTTTTTTTTTATATAAAATGCAATAAAAGAGAAGCTTTTAGATTCATGGCATGGCATTCATGCTATTACTTTGAGCAAGAAAGATGTATAACTAAAAGAATCAAGGTGAAACATACTATAAAAATAAAGAGATTGAAAACCACTGGTATGTGGTATCAGGGTGTAAACTGAGGAGCAAATGGATGCTGTTTAGAGGTAGTCATCTAACCCCAGTGTTTGGGCTCAGCCTATGCCATCCAATGGGGGCACATTACTGCGAAAGGGTTCCAGCTGGTTTCCCCAGCCATCCCTATGATCCGATGCACCTTGTTCACAGCACCAGCTGAACCCAGCAGGAATCTCCATAAGTTACTAAGTTTTAAATTTGGTGTGATCACACAATATATATATTTACAGAGGTAATCTACCGGTATGTCTTTATTAACACCTCCACAGACTAGATAGAATGAAAAATATGCTTTTATGAAGTTGGGATTTTTTTTCTTCGACATGCCGAGTGTCCATACATGTGAAGAAATGTAAAACCTGCGGCCTACACATGAATGGCTCCTGTATGAAATCTGACACTGAAATTTTGTATGGTTCTGATATTGCAACTTACCGGTTATGTATTTTTGTACGTATGGAAGCTTTTATTTATTTATATATATATATATATATATATATATATATATATATATATATATATATATATATATATATATATATATATATATATATATATATATATATTGTTAATTTCAGTGCGCCACACTCTTTTTCACTGTTTTGTTCTATATATCACGGTTGACGGAGCTAGCCGGTGTGTGAGTGCTGTTGGGCTAAACACTAATATCTGTCTGTTCTCCGGACCCTCTTCCTGGGAGTTGCCTCACGTGCAGGTTGTGGGCATTGCAGGGGGTGCTGAATCCCGTCGGGTTGTGAGCCAGGTGTGTGGTGAGGGAGCCGGTCATCCGACGGCAGAGCTTCCTTCTCAATCTCCTCCGTAGCTTTCATCTGGGCACTGGATCAGGATTGCTCCTCCGAATAGGCTGGAAACGGTTAGGGCGGCATTCTTGTCGTGTCTGGGTCGGAGCTGATCCCAGCCCTCATTGGCTTATTGTTGCCCAAAGGTGATCTAGAGCCTGTGGGAGGCTTGTAGCAGAGAATATCTGCATTTCGTGGGCAGAGGAAGGCTGAAGTCTCTGAGCGGTGGCCATCTTGGATGTTGGGCCTTGGGTTGTCCGCTTCTCTAGAGGCGAGTAACACACTACAGAGCACTGTGTTGTTTACCATGGGGACCGAGATATCTCCCACCGGTGCAGGAGGGGAGGGGCTGGAGGAAGAACAGGGCACAAAAATAGACAAACAGTTCAGGCTGGAGGATCGGCTGCCTCCTCACTCCCAAGTGCTCCTGCAGGCCGCCGAAGCAGTCAACCTGTGTACTTATAATAAATCAATCGATCTGCAATGTGTTCCCCAAAGTATATATCTGTGTTTCAGGTGTGGATTTCTCATGGTGCCGGTTAAAATATGCAAAATCAGGTTGTCTCCGGAAAGCACAAGTTATGTGCATCTGCACTGGTCAGCAGCTTGGCCCCACCCCCAGCTAAAAAAATTTTAAATACAATTTGATACAAATTGTCAAAAAATAATTGGTTATAAACTTCTGGTTATAAATCTTATCTAATGAGCTATGCTGTAACAATCTGGCTCATTTCAAGATCTATAAAGTACATGTTTAGCGCTTTGCTTTTAGAAGTGGAAAGTGTAATTGTTAACATCTTTTTGTTAGCTGTGACAAAGCCCTTCACATGTAAACAGATTGAGTTACCCAGGAATGTTGGAAAGGAATCTAAAGGGACATCTGTACGTCTGTGATTTGTTTTTACAGGCTTCCATTCTACAAGCTGGTGTTATACTGGCGTGTCCACACTTTCTGTCTTAATCATACGCAGTACTTCTGGTTTTGGTCCCCTCACATACACTTTTTTTTTTTTTTTTTAATGTTTATTTTTCACTCTTCTATATATATTTTTTTTCTTTCAAAAATTGTACTGTTTCAACTAGCTGACTTAATTCTTACGTTTCCCTAATAACTTTACTTTGTTTTATTATTTTTATTTATAAAGCGCCAACAAGTTCTGCAGCACTGTACAATAGGTGGACTAACAGACAAGTATTTGCAACCAGAATCGTTGGACACGCAGGATGAGAGGGGATTGAGTGCCCTGCTCAAACGATATTACATTCTAGATTTCTTATCAAAATTAGAATTGCTAAAGGAACTTTATTAACATTAGGAAAACAAACCTTTGCAGAGTCATGTGTGGGCTATCTATATTATTAAGCCCCCTATAAATGGTGAAATAAAACATTACTTTAGTCCCCTGGCAAGCTAGTCTTCCCATGACAGCTGCTCCTCCCCTATCTGAGATTATAATCACTGATGCTTAGCCAATCTAATGCTTCCTCATAGGGAAGCATTTGGAGACTAGTGCACATGCACAGCAATCTGCATCTCCTCATAGAGATGCAATGATTAACTAGAGGTGGCAATAGGCGCAATGGAAACACTGCCTTCTCTCAAAAAATGGGGTTACCACAGAAGCAATTAATTTAAGCTGTAGTGGCTTAAAATGTGCCTTTAAAGGAGAACATGCAGCATTTCTCTAATGACATGATCTTGTCAATGTAAATTACCTTTGCTATGCACGTCTTCTACTGTAAAGTAATGTAACACGTAACACAATTTATTCTACAACATACATTTGTCTCCTCTGTTTCAGAGGGGTCTGCATTGAACTAAAGCTGCAGATAAACTGTGCGTGTATATGATTTATGTTTTTATTTAATAAATATTTCCTGTTGTATTTAACGTGATATGTAGCTCATCATTAGAATGTGGGTTGCTGTTGGAACATGTTAACCCTCCTATAGTGAAATGTTACAACCCTGTGTTTTCTTTCCGCATGTGAAATTTAATGCCTGTCTCCTCAGCTGAAAAAGGTGGGGATATCTTCTTTTTGTAAAAAACCATAAATGAAAATAGGTCTTTGTCTTCATTGGTAGTAGTGACGAGACTTGAACCTCTGTAATTGAACTGCATTCTAATTTACTTTCAGCTTTGAAATATGTCAATTGATAGTCTAATCAATAGGGACAAGAACAGACTAGTGTATTGTGGTTTTTATACCTGTGCTCTAAATGGTTTTTAGTTTTTTCTTTTCTTTAATACAGCTAAAGAGAAGTGATTTTGTATAAAATAGTACAAAACAGTGCCATTACTGTATTTGTTTATTTCGATAAACTTACTTTGTGTTTTCATAGTTTTGTACTGTCTGTGAGGTCCTGAATTCTCTGCAAGATGCGAACGAAACTTAAAACAATTTTAAACACGTGGCAGCATGTTCATACATGGATATAACTTTTTTTTTTTTTTTTTAAACTCTGTACTGGAGTAAATATATACTCCTGTGTGTGTGTGTGTGTGTATGTATGTATGTATATATATATATATATATATATATATATATATATATATATATATATATATATATATATATATATATATGTGTGTTATAATTTGACACAAATGCCAGTTTATTTTGTAGATATTGCTATCAAAATAGTATATACTTTCAGCACAGCACAATGTTGTTAGTCTATAGAGCAACACCACACAAGTCTCGCTTACATGGGGTGAACAAAAGGTGTTTAAATTCCTTCTTGAAAAAATTGACATTGCCAGCATACTATAGGATTTAAATAGATGGGTTCATTGCATAACTAGAAAACCATGATGTTTTGCCACATTTAGCCAACACCACCTACTTTTCAAAAGCTGCTCCTTATGAAAAACATGGTGGAAAAATTAATTTTAAGTGGCAAAACAAATTCATAAAATTTCATGCTTTTTAGAATGTAACTAGCACCTGTGGCTGCTCATTCTCACACCTATTTCACCACCATTACTCATGCCTTAGGAATCATCATAAAGATCTTCCAGTCAATAAGCAGTTTCCGCTAATCTGTTACAATGCCAAGTAAAAACGAGTGACCTCACCCATTCTTTGTGTGTGACTTTTTTTTAAAAATTTTTTATTTCATATTTTTCAGGTGTGTAGAAAGCAATGAGTAATTTCTGCTCAACGCAATGGGTTGTGCCACAGAAGCTTAATATAGGAAGTTATGCTTTAAAGGGTCACTGTAAACCGCATAGCAACATTGACATCATTGCAAAAATTTTGAATATCGTGATAAGTTCATGTCTCCATGTCCAAAGTGGCTTTTAACTTTCTAACTGCATTGATTTGAAGAAGGGGGGGAGAGAGACTTACTGCAGCTATAAGGCTACTGAAGGAGTGAATTAAATGAAGATATATTTCCTCCATTGCTGTCCAAGTTCCATCCTGTTTGTGCGTGTTGAATGGGCTTGTTGGTGGAGACTTCTATCTCCTCCTCTCTACAGTTTCGTTAAGGGGTTACTATAACCTTTTGAGGCGGTGTGCAGGCTTCCCTGTGTAAAATACCCTCTTGCGTACTGTAGAGAATTTGAAGAAAAGATTTGCAGGAAAAAAAAAACTACTCACCTGGAATCCAGCACTGGGCAAAGACCCCAGCAGTGACTCCTACTAACGCCTATCACAATGACCACTTCAAATCATTTCACTTCAGATCATTGAAGTGGCTATAATGGCTGGAGCAACCCTTTAAACCGAAGAGGGGGAGGGGAGGGAATGGCACCTATATAGAACTATGGACATGAGTACTATAAATACTTTTTGTATTCCTAATGCTATAGTGTTCCTTTAAGACAAAGTACCAAATGAAGGCAATCACCATGGAAACAATAGAATGTCTTTTACCACATTCCTCCAAAATAGCACCTATTTTGCCTCGATAATTCCCTCTATATGTACTCTTTGGCATAGGAAGGAGAACGCAAGGTAAGAGTTTTTTTTTTTTTTGTTTTTTTTCTCCTCTCTCTTCCAATGCTGACAGGTTACCAATATAAAACTTGTAGACAATCAGCAGGCTGCATCTTGTGTTTGTTCTGCTTAGAAAATGTCTGAGTTTGTTTGCTTATCTCTCCTTGTGCCTGCCCCACGTCACTCCACAATGCATAAGTATCCCTGTTTAGTAAACACGCTGGGTGGACATGTATCATTCAGTTTAATTTACCTGGTGACTCTTTCCCCTCTCTCTTCCAGATCTAAAAATAGTTCTCTTAGTGATTTATTATTGATAAGGGAAGTGGGATCAGAATTCTAGTTCCTACCTGGCTGTTTCTTAGGAGGGGGAAGGTCTCTGCTGAATTGACAGCTTTAGTGACCCGCAGCTTGATGATCATCATAAGCAGTTTACCTGATCGAGCTTGTCAGAGAAGAAAAACCTAATCATCCACTTTATTTTTTAATTTCTGTGTTTTTTTTAAATTTTTCTCCACAGTCTTAAATCTGTTTTTAACAAGTAATTATGATCGTGGACGTTTTTATTACTTAAAGCACGCAGCACAGGAATCTTGTGGATTTTTTATTTTCCTTTTTCTAAAACTGCTTTGTCTCTTTCTGGGGCCAACATCTGTGCTGTATTCTCTCGTGTGAGCAAGAGTACAACGCTGATGTCATACATAAAGGATACCATAGGAGCCTCCACTGTGTGTGTGTGTGTGTGTGTGTACAGGTATAGCATCAAAAATTGCTGACGTTTCGACCCATTCGGGTCTTTCTCAAGGTCAATGTACCTGACTAAAAAAGTTAAAATATATATTAATATGAAATAAAGATATGTACTCACCAATCGTGAAGAAACCCCTGAGTCCCTTCACGATTAGTGAGTACATATCTTTATTTCTTATATGTAACTTTTTTAGTCAGGTACATTGACCTTGAGAAAGACCCAAATGGATCGAAACATCAGCAATTTTTGATGGTATACCTGTTGGAATAAACTACCTTTTTTTTTTTTTTTTTCATTGATTAAGCCCTAAGAGTTCCTCTCTTTATTTTACACCCAATAACATTCCTAATGCAGTAAATGAAGTTGTCAAAACAAGTTGGGGTTTTTTTTTTTTTTATTTTTTTTTTACACTCTGTTGGAATTATGAGAAATCTTGATATTTAACATGAATTAAAGGTGAGGACAAAACATTGACTTCAATTAGAATTAGACTTATGTGTGTATTATAATTCATTTTATGTGCCTCCTAACCCTTTGTTATGACAAGCTGTCTAGGTTAAAGCAAAACAAAAAGTGATGTGGTTGCAATAACATGTTCAAGTATTAGTCTTTTTAAACCGCCAACCACTTCTTCACAGAGGAAAATAACCTCAAAATTGAATATGTAAATTTGTATTAAATAGACCAGTTGACATTTTAAAGTGGGAGGAGTCCTGACACTACAACAACTACAGCTTATTGTAGAGATGATTGGGGGTTATGCCTGTACAGGGAGTATTCCCTATTTTCTGTCAAACTGTTTTTTTAAGAGTGGCCTGACAAAAAAAACTAAACAAAACACTATTATTATTGGAATTACTTTCTTGGTGGCACGTTAACTATGCTGCAGCAGAGCGGACAGTTTAAGGGTGCTGGGAAGACACACAAAAACGTATAGTGCAAAAACCACTAGTGTTGTGTGTTTTGGTATTTTTGTTTGTTTTTGAGGTTCGGGGGTTCCTCTCTGAATTCCCTACAGGCTTTTAGGTTTAAGCCCGGTCATTCTTAGCACTTCCTCTATTACTTTTCCTTATCTCTAATCAAGCTTTAAACCAGAACATGTGCAAATTGTCAATTGCTTCTTAACTTTCCACGTCACCTTCATCATATATAAATCCACATTGTTTGGCAACAAGAACTTTGGAGCCTTGAATATAGGGAACATCACAGTGCGATACCCCAAATAAATGTCATGAAAGAGGTTTTTTAACCTCTCACAACATGCAAGTTGCCTGTGACATTATCACTTATGGTGCGGGCACCTCTGTCCTCTCTCTTTGTGCAGTACGAGGAATTCATAACCGAATGGCCACTGAGAATGTCAGCTGTCATTCTCAGCAATAAGTGGGCACCCATTGGAGAAAATTGTATGTATTGCTTTTCTCAATGAATTTTGGCACCCATTTTAAAGACTGAGTGACCCTCTCAGCCTGTCAGCAACCTCCTAGCTACCCCTTTCTTGATGCAGGAGTGCCTATGCCATAGCCCCAACTTTGGGGTTAATTTGGTGTCAAACGGTTTAACCTCTGAAAGTAAGGAGATGCGTGAACATTCAAGCCTCCATATCTGCTTAAAAAAGCTTAACATGTTTTAGGTGAAGGAGTGTATCTTTAAAGGATTTATACAGAAGCAAAGGGTACATTACATGATGGTCTATTCTCCCTCAGCCTTTCTATATACGTTCAATTTTGCATAACCCGGTTATTCTAGAAAGTAGCTTTTAAAAAAAAAAAAAGGGGGGGGGGGGGTTTCTCTGAAATACTAAGAAGAAGTAGTAGTTCAGATTTGAACAGTGTTTTAACATGTATTGTCTAACTTCCGTCCATTATCTAATTGCTTATGTTAATGTTGTTTTTCTTTTGAGATGATCTAAGCTGGATAAAAATGTTCACCTTTTTTAGAGAACATAGACTAAGCTCGGGGTGGGGTGGAGAATAGTAGAGAAAGGTTGCGTTTCCTGCTTGACAAATCCTGTCCCAGCTTGCCTTGTCGACTCACTGTTTCTCTGTCACAGTTTGATTTACGGTCTGTCTTTTTCTATGTGTAAATTTAAAAGATGGGCTATTATAGATCTATTTTATGTATTGCATGATTCAACAGAGTATGGGACAAGAGCGTGACTGGGAGAGGATGGGAGGTGTGAATCTAAGCATTTATAATCTAAAGTTGGAGTTTAATTGGGGCAGTTCTTTATTGCGTTGTATAAAACTAGTAATGCACTGTGCATATTGGCATGTACACCTGGCAGAGCATCTTGGGGGGGATGTAGTCCACAGCATCTGGTATGGCAGAGGCTCATCTCATATGCTGTAAAAATTTAGGAGAATCATAGGTTGATTTCCAACTTGTTGCATTTCATGTGTTTAATTTTTTGTTTTGTGTTTACTTTGAATGCTTATGTGGAGTCACATATACTGAATTGCTACAACATATCCTTTAACCTAAACATAAAATTGGAAAACTTTATTTAGGAAATGTAAATAGGCGGAGTAATTTCCACCACCTACACATAGTAGGTTGCTAAATACAGACCTTTATTACCACTTCAATTTTTAATAGCCTAATCGATAAAATGGAGATTAAAAAATGAATTTGGTGGAAATTGCCCAGCACCAGGCTTTGTTACAAGCTGTGCTGTAATGTTTGATAAATGATCATATTTGCACAATGCAGCATAGTTTGTGTTGTTTTTAGTACATGCGCTAACCAGACTGTGTTTGAAACCTGCTTTATATGAATAAGTATGGTCTTTACCTTAATTCATTAACAAATATTGCTGAAGTGTATATTTTATCAGTGATAAAATTGTGGAGGCGCACTGCAACGGTCTTTTAGGAGCAGTAGAATATGGTCAGAAATAAAATGTCATTTTTGTGTGTTTGTTTTTTGTTTAAGCTGCCTAAAGTACATGTGTGCCTCTATCTTTTCATATGTGAAGAAGAAAGAATAACTCTTTTTAATAAAAAAATACAATTTCATACTGCAATACACTGTTTTTGGTATCCTTTTTACTGGACTAATACAGCTAATTCCATGTAATATACATTGCACCTTCATATATATATATATATATATATATATATATATATATATATATATATATATATATATATATATATATATATATATATATATATATATATATATTTTTTTTTTATTTTTTTTTATTTTTTTATTTATTTATTTATTTTTTTCTGTGATGGAGGGGAGTTTTACCTTCCTTCACAAATCTGTTGCTTCAAGTGTATAATTACTTTGACTTTTTTTTTCATATTTTTTTTAAATACTTTCTTTCTACTTTTTTTGATGTGGTTTATTTAAAAAAAAAAAAAAAAAAATTCTACTAACAATTGTTAGTTTTTGTCCTTGGCTGTTGCATAGCAGCTGATTGCAATATCCATTCATAATGAGCAAAGGTAGGAAGGAATAAACAGCAGCTGAGGGAGAGATTATTTTGATGTGTTACAGAAAAGGTTCAGGGAAAATAGGCAGCAATCTATAGAGGGTAGATGAACAGTTTTATCCATAAGAAAATGGATCATGTGTGCAAGACCGGAGAATTTGTGAAAGAGAAAACTCCTTCATGTAGTTGTTTTTTTCTGTCCTTAATCTATTTTAACGCAGATGTGACTCTTCCATCTTGGTTGCTGCCTAGCCTTTCATGGAGTCAGAAAACCAGACCAGACTTAATTATTGAATTTAGCTGTGTGCATCATAATTGGATAAAAACAAGTTCTCAAGCAAATGATCTCTAAATTTAAAAAGGGTCTGTATTTTGTCTGGCTGTGCCCAAACATTCACTGTGTGTTTTGCTTTTGATAAATTGTTCTATTTCAGTCTGTGGAAAAGGAAATGCTTTCATTTAGTCTCGAGTCCTGAGTGCAGACTAAAATGCTTAAAGGGACACTCCCGACATAATTTACATGAGAATGCAAACTATAGTTGATGATCTTGGCACGCATTTCAAATATTTGTTTGCCTGCTGGTAAAAGTAGAAATGAAAGTGGAAAATGCAGTGGTGTGTTTTTTTTTTTGTGTTTTTTTTTTTAACTGTAGCGCAAGTACAGCTGTATGCACACTGCTGAGGCGTGCATTGCTCCTCATGCAGGATTAAGGAGTGGCAATATGGAGATGAATATAGTGCAGAGGCTTTCAAAAGGAAGTTTTATCTTTAACCCCTTAAGGACACATGACTTGTGACATTTCATGATTCCCTTTTAATCCAGAAGTTTGGTCCTTAAGGGGTTAAAATAATAATAATAAAAATATATATATATATATATATATATATATATATATATATATATATGTGTGTGTGTGTGGATTTTATCTTGAAAGCTGAAGCAGGAGGCCCTGTTGAAGTGGAGGCTACAAACTCACACTGGAGTGCTGGTAGGGGACACATGAAGGAAAAAAGCCACTTGGGCTTATCATAAGGGACTCAATGGGACGAAGATGCCAGTAAAGTTGATGGAATTTGAAAAGAGAGGACAATAGACATTGACTGGTCAATGACCCAGATTTCAAGTATTCTATTGGGTCACCACTCTTTTTGGTGGCTGTCATAATTGTTTGCCTAAGATAATTTGGTAAGCTGGAAATGTCCTGCTTCAAACAGTACTGCTTTAGTTTTTCGAACGATAACATTTGTAGGCTTTAAGAGGAACTGTCCCTCTTCAGGAATTTACACAATTGAATGAAATATTAATAAAGGTTCATGTCAGCTCCTTAGCGGTCACAGAAAACTTCTACACTGACAGTGGTGAAAACATGGTGCACAAAATGGAACAGGAATAACAGAGGGGTGCAGTTAGGAATATTTTAATGCATTTTAGGAAATGAAGGGGGGGTGAGAAAAGTGATAGAACAGCCCAAAAAGGTGAAATCAACTCTTGTTGTTTTTATGACTGCAGTGATTGCAAATATTCAGTGCCTGACCGAGGATACAAATATTTTATTGTATAAGTAAAATGACTGTAGAAGTGTATATCCTTATTTTGCCAGTAAATGTGTCACAGGCAAAAATCTTGAATGAAGTCAGGATTCTGATGTATCAATACATGTTTCAATGCATCCCTTAGCTTGCTGAGTCACTGTTCCTCTTCCACCCGAACTCCTGCTAGCTGGAGATTAAGCTTTAACATTGTCATATATAGAGACTAATTTCAGAGGGAGAGGATACTAAGTACAGAAGTTAATAACTGCTAATGGCCTCACCATAAAATACTAGATAACGAGAAAACTGTAGTTTAGGTTTGCCATCTGGCATAATTTCATGAACCCGTTTGTATTGTACAGTACATAATAGGTGACTGTCACAAACTGAAACTGTTAAGTTACATGCATTTTGCAAATATGTCTTTATTTTATATTTTTGTTTCTTATAATTTTGACTTCCTAGGTCTATAGTTGGCTAGTAACATTTACACTTACGTTTTTGTTTTGCTCACCGAGGAAGCTCAATTGAAATCAAAGGAGTATATTTGCAGTCAAATCTAAAACTTGAATTGGCTAATTTTCTTCCCTCTGTATTACTGTGAGACATTAATACATCTTAAAGTTTAAATCCTATCACCGAACTAAAAACAGATTATTTTTTTTTGTGTGTAAATATATTCTTCTCTATTAACCCCAGCTGTCCATAATCTCTTAATATGAGAATGGGGGAGGGAGAAGACACATCACCCAGACCACTTGGCATCCAGGTTGAGATGAAGTGGTCTGGGTGTCTATAGTGTCCCTTTAATTTTAGGAGTGTGAGCAAGGGTGGAGATGTTCTGTGAAATTTTAGGTGACTTACTAATAACAATTTATGCAACGTAAATGTAATTTAGAACAAGAATAATGAATACTATTTACACAGACTGATTTCTGAACACATTGTAGATTAAAGATGCATTACTTTGAGTATTGTTGTGTAACTCTCTTACACATTCTGACAGACCAACAATATGGAGTTCTTACAAAAAATTGATATTTTGTATTAAAAAAAACAAACAAAAAGAGAGGGATTTAGTCCAAAATAGGGACAAGCCCTCCTAAATATGAACACCTGGGAAGTATGCTATTTCACTAATGTTGAAGAGCAAAATGTCAATAATTGACAGTTGCATTTTTGTTCAAGAAACATTGAACATAAACTGGATTTGTATCTATCGGTCCGTTTTAGAGTGATTATTAGATAATGGTTTCTATAAAGCCTGTATAACAGGTTATAATCTATTTACATACCAAAATATTTTTATAGGTATCAACTGGGAGCCAGTTATCATTTGATTTTTACATGGTTGATTGTATAATCTTATTGAAAGCAATTCTGTGTTTTATTACATACTGTACAGATGTAGGTTTTTCTTCAGTTTGCTTTTGGAGATCCATTTTTCAATCTCAATACATATAGGCACATATGTATTTGTGCAGACCGTGAGTTGTGTGAATGAGCTCATGAATGGAACGCTGAGATATTCCACTATTGACATCCATTTTAATATATGATGCCCATCCATGCGGTATGTTAATATGAAACCATTAAAAATAATTACATATAACTGAAACTTTGAGCTTGCCTAAAATAGTAATTGCTGTCAAAAGAGAGTGGACACTGTTCCTTATAAGGTGTGTGTGTGTGCGTGCGCATAACAAAACTGTATGTGTGCTCAGGTTGTAGGCTACATATATGAATCAGGAGGAGGGCCAGTGTTGCCTTATGCATGCCATGCGGCTCTGTGAATCTTTACTGTGCTCCGCTAGATGTCAATATATCCCTCAGGAGCGCAGCCGAAGATCACAAAGCCACGTTGCACGTGTTTGGGAGGACAGCACAAACTCATCAGCAGCCTGCATAGCCAAGGTAATGCAGGCAAAGAGAAACCGATGTGGGCATAATGCAATGTTGGTAAAGTGGTATGGATAGGGGCATAATGTGATAGGTGCAGGTAGGCAATGTGGCATGGATAAAATGGATGCAACCTGAAATATGTGGCATGTGGGCATACCAATACAGTCATGGGAAAAGAAAGTACACCCTCTGTGAATTGTAAGGTTTTACATATCAGGATAGTTTGATAGGCAGCAACATTTTTTTTATATAAGACCATTGCTGATGTCTTTCCTTCATTCTGGTTGGGCAGGACAAACAGATCTAGTCAGAAGTTTATGGTTTGAGGAGTGTGTGTGTGTGTGTGTGTGTGTGTGTGTGTGTTGTTTTTGTTTTATTTTTTTCCTTGACCGTGAGAAGATTGAATGTATTAAGGTATTTGCTTTGAACAATGAAAAGATTTTACCAGTGTTTTTGACCAGCCATTTTTACGATCTGTGAGAGATTTTATTATTTTGGCTGGCTATTATTATTATTATTATTGGCATTTACATAGTGCCAACTTATTCTAAAGGGCTTTACAATGTTGTCAAAGGGGGTTATTTAAACAATAAATGACAGTTGTAAAATGTTAATGGAACAGGAGTTTCGATGAGGACCCTACTCAACGGAGCTTACAGTGCAGAGGAGGTGGTGTATAAAAACACCATAGGAAGGGCATAGGTGAGAATGGCAACCAAACAACAAGGTGGGAAAGTAGCAGAACTGGAAGGTGAGAGTGGAGTTTGGCCCTTTAAGAGAGAGCAAGAGACAGGTTTGTGAAATAGAAGCTACTCTGGGAGGTCATGAACCTTTCTGAAAAGATGGGTTTTAAAGGACTTCTTAAATGATTGAGTCTGGTGGGGGTACACGGGCTGTTCCAACCGAGAGAAGTCCTGCATGCGCGAATTAACAGAGGGTATAAGCCAAATTGAAGAGGGTCAAGGAGAGAGTTGGAATTGAGAAAGCAAGCCAAACTGTTAAAGACCAGACGTTCTAGAAGCATTGAGGAAAAAGGGAGCGGGGATATGGGACGGTAGTTGGAAAGGGTAAACTGGTCAAAAGATGGCTTTTTTTAGGATGGGTAGGACAGTAGCATATTTAAGGGGAGTGTGGACAATGCCAGAAGTTGAGAGCAATTGAAGATATGTTGTAAGGACGACACAAGACAAGGGGAAAGACATCTGAAGGTGAGATGGGATCAATCAGACAAGTGATGGGCCAAGCGAAAAGGAGAAACGCAGCCACTTCCTGATTAGTTGCCGGGAAGAAGACCTGAAGGGTGTAAGATAGGAGTTAAGGGTGAGAATTCTTTCTTTAACTGTTTTAATCTTGTACGCAAAATAGCATACAAAGCTATCGGCTAAAAGGTTAGAGTGTTGAAGGTATAAAAAAAAAAAGAAAGATGCCTGGTATTGTGTGAGTATTTCCTTGCGAGAGCGGAAAAGTATGATTGTTTAGCAAGGGTGACTGCTGCGCTGTACGAATGCAAGATTATTTTATAATGGAGAGAGCCTGGACTTCCTCCAGCAGCGTTCAGTTGAATGGTAGCATCTCTGCAGGTATATTAAATTCCTAAATTCTCCTTCTTTTTTTTTTCCCCTTTAAGCCCTCCCTTAAGTATGAGTTGAATTCTCTTCTGAGACTGGTGTTGGCATTTGCATTTAAAGGGACACTATAGTCCCTAAACAAGTTAATGAAGCGTGTTTTTTTGTTTTTTTTAGGTTTTTTTTTTTTTTTATAGATCATGCCTCTGAAGATTCACTGCTCAATTCCCTGCCATTTAGGAGTTTAATCACTTTTGTTTCGGTTTATGCAGCACTTGCCACACCTACAAATATGATCATTACAGCCAAACCCAGCTTAGGTGCGTTCATGTAAATATTTTTGATTAATACATTTTAGTGAGTGATTCCTCTATTAATTGTGGCTTGCCTGGTTACAAAAAATGTAATATTAATTTAAGGTATAATAAATGTGTACTTCTGGCAGTAATGAGGGTTAAATTTTATGTTTAGATGTAGAATTCTATAAAGTTTCACTTAGGCACCATAACCACATAAAGTGATTCTGATGCTAGGATACTTTCCCATCTTTATGACAATGCAGTGATTTGTCTTTTGAACTTGTAACTTCACCTCAACCCCTGTCAAGTAGAGCCCAGAATTATTGTTCCTGGCAATCTTTCCAATAAGTTGGTATGTCAGCACTGACTTGAGAGGGACTTGCAAGTATTGTTCTCTGGTCGGGAGAACTTGCAAGTCCAAGGAGTTATCTTGTCTATGTAATAATTTATACTGCACATGCACAGGATCACACGCAACACCAATCATCACAGTCTGCTTCATTCTTTAAACCTAATGCCCCTCTGATGAGAACACTATATATCTTTTTTAGCTTTGGTGATGGCAAATTCTGTGCAGTCCTGTCTAGCGTCAGATTTCTGGTTTGACCTATTTGGTACATATATATTTTTTGTTGTTGTTCGTTAGGACAAATGTGTCCACTTTCCTTGTTCCTCTAACAATGTGTTTTTATAATGTTGTTATAGGTGTCTCATACATATATATATTTTATCTGTATAGTAAGAAAATGTTCTGTAAAATGCAAGTACACAAGTGTTTGTGTCCCCCCCCCCCCCGCCCCCAAGGTATTGCATGATTAATGGTGGGCTAAAAGCCAAAACCTTGTTTTTTTTTTTTTCTTTGGAAAGCACATCAAGACTTGCAGGGGGTATGGTAATCACTAACAGCCACATATTTCTTAGCATGCCATTTTACTCAAAGGAATGTTGTACATAACAGAGGAGTTTTTTGTTGTTTTTTTTTTTTATTTAAATAATTATGTTTTAGGATTTATATATAACTGAATTATGTGGGTATATGTACTGTGTGTGCATACGTTAATTTAAATTCTTGCTAATATGAAATAAAACTGAAAACTAGTTACTGCCACTTTAAGAAACCTTGTTAAGTTCCCCTGAACAGTCTCTCCTTTTTCTCTCGCTTTCCTTTTTCTTTCTGCTTTCCTTTTTCACTCTGCTTTCCTTTTTCACTCTGCTTTCCTTTCTCTCTCTGCTTTCCTTTCTCTCTCTCTGCTTTCCTTTCTCTCTCTCTCTGCTTTCCTTTCTCTCTCTCTCTGCTTTCCTTTCTCTCTCTGCTTTCCTTTCTCTCTCTGCTTTCCTTTCTCTCTCTGCTTTCCTTTCTCTCTCTGCGTTCCTTTCTCTCTCTCTCTGCGTTCCTTTCTCTCTCTCTCTGCGTTCCTTTCTCTCTCTGCGTTCCTTTCTCTCTCTGCGTTCCTTTCTCTCTTCTCTCTCTTCTCTCTCTTCTCTCTCTCCTCTCTCTTCTCTCTCTCCTCTCTCTCTCTCTCTCTCTCTCTTCTCTCTCTCTCTCTTCTCTCTCTCTCTCTCTCTCTCTCTCTTCTCTCTCTCTTCTCTCTCTCTCTCTCTCTTCTCTCTCTCTCTTCTCTCTCTCTCTCCCTCTCTCTCTCTCTCTCTCTCTCTCTCTCTCTCTCTCTCTCTCTCTCTCCTCTCTCTCCCTCTCCCTTTTTCTCTCGCGCTTTCCTTTTCTTGCGCTCTCCTTTTTTTTTTCTCTTTCTCTTTCTCGCTCTCTGTCTCTCTCTCTCTCTCTCTTTTTTTCCTTCCCTATATTGGATATGGCAATTCTGCCCACTCTATGGAGTAACTCTTTATTTAAATTTACTGGTTTTTGAAGGATCTATTTCTGCATGCTAGGTTGCTGAGCTTGCACAGACAGTGTTAATAAAATGTGAGTACATTTTTAAAGGAAATTAATCACTTCTAGAACAAAGCTTAGTAGCTGGAAAAATATGCAGACAAATGGTTCAGACCAGACCTCAAAACTTCCTGCCCTGCCAAGTCTTTTCTTAGATATTTAAATAGCCTGAGACATGTGTGAATATATATGACCATTACTTATCTAAAGTATTGAGCTATCCATGTGTAACCACATTGGCTCTCATCATGGATATTTTTTTAGATCTCTTTTCATTGCTATGCTAGCTAGTGTTGTCACCTCTTAGATAGTTATGGTTTCCCTTAAACTTTAATATTCTACCTATTAGGTTCTGTATCCAGCCTCTTTTTGAGATGGAGCAGTTGTCAAAATATTAGTATGTGTGTCTCATTTTCTTGTCCCTGGGTCCTAAAAACACCAGACAATCATAACATAAGACAATCAAACGGTTGGAAAAAAGACTTCTATTGATCAGCTTTTTAAGTGTCTGGTATTTACCTCAAGTGGGTATAAACATCCCAGGGAGCTCTCACTTGCAATCTGGTGCTTCTCAGTGATTCAGAGAGTGGCTGTGGGTTACAATTGCAAGGCTGTTACTCACTGGCAGAGTGCCGGACCAAAGTGAGAGGCAGAAGGGGTCTGTAACCATAGAAGGTGCGAACTACAAGATCCACCAGGCACTAATGAAAGATAATGCACCCCTCTCTGGCCTAAAGTAGGAAAGAAGGAGGGGTGTAAAAATAACTTTGTTTTGGAATTATTTAAACAACTTTTTGTTTTTTAAACCCATACACATGCAACACCACACACCATCCCCACCACCGAGGAGATGAGGAGTTAGAACTAAAAGGTAGACACATTTACCTCTATATTCTGCACTAATAAAGGAAATGTGAAAATTTGACTGCAAGTCCTGTCGAGTTCACTCTTTTTAGGGTTTATCTGTCTATATCTATCGATATCTATCGATCTATATCTCTCTTCACCAGGATACCTTTGTATAATTGCATTTGAAATAAATGAGCAGCAGTTATTACCCCCTCGATGGTGGCTCTGCCCACAACACACAAATGCTACAAGCAACTCATAAACACACTTATCACAGACCGCACACACAGAACACCACAGATAACTCATACATACATATACTTATGTTAAAAAAAGCATTTTTCAGCAGTGTCGCTACCATAAAGAGTAAACTCTTTTTCTACAAAAAAAAACAGAATAAGTTACAGAGCACACTCAAAAATAGTTTTACATTTTACAAGTCCATGTAAAATCCTATTCGCCACAAAAAAATATAGGGATTCAATTACACCATATGGCAATACAGCCACCACCACCATGTCACAGTACCCCAATATCGGTGGATCTTACACTAATCTTAACATGGGAGATAACTAATTATGACACTTACTGCTTAAATTGTTGCAAGAGACTCTCCTCAATGTTTGCTTTCCTGTGGTCACCTCCGAAGGGGCACTTATAGTGAAGGGGTGGTTGTCACAGCACTGTATTTTGATTTTCATGTGTTTTTTTTTTTTTTTTAAATGTTTTACATTAATTTTGCATGATATATATTCACAAAGCTCTTACAACAGATTAATTAAATACACTTTAGTTTGACATATTAATTTAACACTAGCACTATTTAAAGGACCACTATAGTGCCAGGAAAACATACTAGTTTTCCTGGCACTATAGTGCCCTGAGGGTGCCCCTGCCCTCAAGGCCCCCCTCCCGCCGGGCTCTGGGGAGAGGAAAGGGGTTAAAACTTACCTTTCTCCAGCGCCGCGCGGGGAGCTCTCCTCCTCCTCTCCGCCTCAGATCCTCCCTTTCGGCTGAATGCGCACACGCGGCAAGAGCTGCGCGCGCATTCAGCCGGTCTCATAGGAAAGCATTTACAATGCTTTCCTATGGACGCTTGCGTCTTCTCACTGTGATTTTCACAGTGAGAATCATGCAACCGCCTCTAGCGGCTGTCAATGAGACACTAGAGGATTTGAGGGCTGGATTAACCCATTTATAAACATAGCAGTTTCTCTGAAACTGCTATGTTTATAAAAAAAAAATGGGTTAACCCTAGCTGGACCAGGCACCCAGACCACTTCATTAAGCTGAAGTGGTCTGCGTGCCTAGAGTGGTCCTTTAAGTTTGGCTTAATGTAGGACCCACGTCTGATATTAGGTAACACACACAATACTAGACACTCTCATAACACCACAGACATCCTGCACACACATACAATGCATATGGCCCACAGACAAGCACACACATTCAGTATCTCAAAGCATTTACCACATCTGCCCATACATTACACAAGCAGAATTCTTCCACATAAATGTTCATTTAAAAAAAAAAAAAAAACTAATGCCAGCACTCTTAAGTTTTACTTTGGTACGGCACAGCGCTTTTCAGCATGTTGCATACAAGAAAAGTAAATCTCAGTCTTGTGAAGTGTGCATGCATGACTGGGAATGAGGATATGATATCTTCCTGTGACTCACTTTTTACACGTCATAGAGTTGGTCAGCTCCACCCGCTTATTCAATGTTGGACATTGTGTCACAAAGTGATGAAACATAGGAGGTAAAGCAATAATGTAACCGTTAATAAAAGTGCTATAAATCTATAATTTACTGCAAATCCAAATGGTTAGTTTCTCTAATATCTTCTGTTTAGTTTACTTGGCTGTAAAATGTGGATTGAGTTAATCATGTCTTTCCAGTCTATTGCACTTTATAGTATTTTAATATATGAAACTGGATTAATTTACCCATATTCTCCATGCTTGTCTACAAATTGGTTTTTGGTCGTTTTTTTTTTTGGGGGGGGGGAGGGGCAAGAGCACTGCTAGGCACAGCAGTTTCTCCCCTCTTGATTCATGTTGATGTTAAAGGACCACTATAGGCACCCAGACCACTTCAGCTTAATGAAGTGGTCTGGGTGCCTGGTCCAGCTAGGGTTAACCCCCTTTTTAATTTTTTTACTAAACATAGCAGTTTCAGAGAAACTGCTATGTTTACACTGAGGGTTAATCCAGCCTCTAGAGTCTCTAGTGGCTGTCTCGTTGACAGCTGCTAGAGGCGCTTGCTTGCTTCTCACTGTGAAAATCACAGTGAGAAGACGCCAGCGTCTATAGGAAAGCATTGTAAATGCTTTCCTATGAACTGGCTGAATGCGCGTGGCTCCTGCTGTGCATGCGCATTCAGCCAATGACGTCGCTAGGAAGGAGGAGAGGAGGAGGAAAGCTCCCCGCCCGGCGCTGGAGAAAGGTAAGATTTTAACCCCTTCCTCTCTCCAGACCCCGGCGGGCACCCTCAGGGCACTATAGTGCCAGGAAATCGAGTATGTTTTCCTGGCACTATAGTGGGCCTTTAAGTTTATTGACCGTGATTTGAAGTGCTAGAATCGTATCTTTTTTTTCTAACAAAATAGATGAATTTTCAGGGGACACTAGTTGATTTTGTGTTTGTTAGAGAAAGTGAGCCTCAATTCATCTGCCTTAGATCCTGGAATCCTGCACGTTAATTTATACAGATAATAGATTGAATCTCTTATTTATAAAACATCAAAATAACTGCTGGTCTGTAAGACTGTTTATTTCTCCTTTTCCATTTGACTGTTAATGGAAGGTCAGTGAGAGCAAAGACGTCTGTGCCTCTGTAATATAATGTAACCGTTATTAGTTTAGTAGCAGAAGGAATGTTTTATGACGAAAAACATGCATGATGCTTCTATAATTAGCTAACTTTTGTTGCAGGTTTTATAATAATCTGTCCTATCCACAGACATTAGGAACAAAGTTCAGTTTGGAATGGGAAGTAAACTGATCAAGTAGTTTTATCTGCTTTATTTTTCTAATAACTATAATTGTATGGGTTTTTATTTATTTTTTATTGAATTTTATTGACTTTGCAATAGTCTAAAACTCTCCAGTATACTCAAGTTTGTTGGTTTATACTGTGAAATAGTGTTATTAGGAGCACCAGAAACCACTTGTATCTGAAAAGGGAAGCGTCCAAGAGATATTATTTAGGTCCACTACTGAAAAGGTGGCACCAATATATAAAGGTGGGAGCAACTGTTTTATTCATAAATAGTGGGTATGCACAAAACCAGATTTGTAAACGTGAACATGATGGTGCTATTTTGGGTGAAAAGTGCTTAATGTTGACAAACATTTTGTTACCGTAGTGATTGCTTCTTTTTTAGCTCTGTCTCCAAATTACACTTGTTTTTAACACTATAGGATCAGGAATGCATGTTTGTATTCCTGAATGTAATGTATAGTGTTCCTTTAAGCAAATTTCTCTCTCCAGCTGTTTCGGACCATTTGATTTCCTTTGACACTTTTATAGGCATGAGTTTGCACTGCGACTTCAACACTCTGCGACTTCAAGTGTTTTGTATGTAAACGTGTAACGTGTAAAATTTGCACTTACTGTTACAAAGTTTGGACTAATCCTGTCTGTTTATTCAAAATACGTATGAGCTGATGGTAACCGGCATTAAAACCCTTAAATTTTGTCCTGGTACCTGGGATTTGTGAGCCAGTTCCCTCAGTGGCAGACAGGTGGTTGCACGTACTGTAGGTGGGCGTCATGGGGATTGTAATCTTCCTGCTCAGCTCCCTTGCCCACCACTTATTGGTGCAGGGAGCCGGAATATGGCGTCACTCCGGCCCCAGCATCTCTAAGTGGTGTGCAAGGAAGCCGAGCAGGAAGATTATAGCTCCCTTGCCGCATGCCTACAATACGCGTAGTCTGCCACCCGCCTCCACTTTCCCCCAGCCGGCCACTGGACCACAGGGAAAGGGACCACACTCCTGCTCTCCCAATTGTGAGGTTGGGTGGAATAAAATTTAAATAAAACATATATCATTTTTGAGTGTGACTGTCAGTCATGGAGTGTGTGTTCTTAGGTAACCAGCCCGCCTCTATTCGCATGAGTGGTGTTCCTACTACCCTTTTTTCCCATGCCTTGCAGGTGTTCCTGCACATGGCCCTGCCTCTGTCTGAAATAATCATGATGAGAGAAAAAGCCAATCCAATGCAATTCTACATGAAAGCATTGAAAACGATTGCAGTGATGCTATACGCTGCGCCAATCCACATCTCTAATATAGATGCATTGAATCTATGAATCTGTATGGGGAACATTCAGCGCCTCCATGCAAAGCATGGAGACGCTGATTGTAGGTGCAGCACTGAGATAGGAAGCACTTTAATGGCAGTCTGAGTGACTGCTAGTAGAGGTGTCACTAGGCAGCAATGTAAACCCTGCCCTTTTCTCTAAAAAGGCAGTATTTACATTGAAAAGCTTGCAGGGACAGACTATAGATACCAGAACCACTACATTAAGGTGTAGTGGTCCTGATGATTATAGTGTCCCTTTTAAGAATTGTGTTTTTGTTAAAATGTTGTTAAAAAAAATAAATTACAAAAAAAGCATGGCTCCTAACTCTTTTTAGCTGGCTCTTAGATTCAAAGCAAACGTACTCTGAGCTGATGGGAGAGAATGTGGCTTTAAATATTAAAGAATGATGACTGTAGTGGGGGCCTGGAGAGATCACAGCTGGAAGGGAACATACAAGCTGATTACATTTACCAGGGCACTGACTACAAATTACATTTTTGCACAGAAATATTAGGCAGCCCAGGACAGAGTTCCAGGCTGTCGAAGTAATGTTTGCCAGGGTTCCAACTAGCCTTGTTCAAGCAAAAACGCTGCACATACAGATTACCTGCTCCATGACCACTTCTAAAGCAGAAGTGGTCATGGAGGCTGGAGTAACCCTTTAAGGCTGATCTCGTTGACCATTAAAATAAAAAAAAAAATGAATATAACATTTAATGGCAGCTGGGTTCTGCTCAGTAAGCAATCTTATTTAGATATGGTAAAGAATTCAGTATAATACTGCCTAGTCAAGTGCATAAGACCATATTGCCAGAGTTTTTTAGGACTTGTAGACTTTTTAGGCAATAAATGAATTAACCTGGCATTATGTGCAATCAAGTGGACATATTCTAATTATGTTCCTGCTCAAACAATGAAATCCCTCATTTGGCCTTGATTATTTGTTAATATTCTGGGTTTTTAAACTTGACCTCTTGGCAGTTCCTTAAGACTTGTTTCAATGTAGAAATTAGACAATTAGCCATAAAGTACTTTGATATGCCGGCTTTTTTTTTTTTTTTTTTTTGAGACTAGATGTGAAATGAATTCTTGAATTCTCCCTGTTTTGTCCTCAATTCCTTATCCTATTTTGCAATGCTTTACAGGAAGAACATCTCTTCAGTACTAGAGGATGGCAGGATGTGTTATTAAAGAGAGAGAAAAAACATTTATTTCCCATCATTTAACTCCTTTCCTGCCCTGGGGGATGTGATGCAGACATTTATAAAGCGCAACAGGGCAACTTTAAAAAAAAAAACAAAAAAAAAAAAACACAACTTTTTTTTTTTTCAAACTTGGATATTAGAGACTTTTTTTTTTTTTTTTTTTTAAAGCTGTATAACAGTGCAGGGATTACCTTAACTAGTTAATACAGACTGAATTTTGGTCCTAGTCTTCCTGTCCAACCTGTTCCATAATTTTGGAAGGTTCATTTGTTAAAGGAGCTCTCTAGTAATACAAACATGTATTTCTAATGTTAGGCACTTCTTTACTTTTTTGGTTTAGGACACGCCTAATGCCAACCATTGGTCCTGCAGAAATTGCAGCACAATAATAGGAAGCCTTTCTGATGGCTGATGAGTGAGAGCTACTAGAACTGTCCTTTGTGAAAAATTTAAACTCTGCCTTTTCACGGGTGTGCAGAGACAGGTTTTTTTTTTTACCAAAACCACTACATTAAGCTGTGATGTATCTGGTGCTTAAGGTTTCTCTTTTCATAACTACATAATTTTTTATTTTTTATTTTGTATATCTCCTAAAGTATTTGTAATCTACTTTCCTTAACTTACCCACAGTTGTCTTACAAATATCTGAGCATATTTGAGCTGTTTTCCTAATTCATCTTACATTATCCTGTATATGTATGTTGGTGAAAGTAAATGACTCCCTAATTATTTTTTTTATAAACTATAAAACAGGCTTGATTTTGGCCCCCAAATTTTATTGTAAAACTGAAACCTCAATCGAATAAAAGTCAAGTTTTAGATTTTCGTATATGGCCTAGAGTGCTATTCATTTTATTTTATTTTTCTTTTGTTTTTTTAAACTGTTTGATCTAAGCACCAGCCTTATGATTTTTCTCCGATAACATTTCCAAAAGACGTGCATCTATGGACTTTTTTTTTTTTTATATTATTATTTATTGTTTGGAATGACAGGTACAGAGTAAGCACTAAATACTATTTTGAGATTATAGGGTAAATATATTTTTAAGTGGGAACTGTACAATAATTCAACATACATCTTTATCATTCTTGACCTTTGTCTCAGAGGTTTAGCTTTTTTCCTTCCCAACCCACACTAGATAGAGTTTGAAGTTTAAAAGCAACCTCTCAATACTAGCTAAACAAAAGCAGGTAGTATTGTTATAAGTGGCTGATTGTCCTGCCATTTAAATAGAAGTATAGGTTTCAGAAATAACAGCCGAACATGAAGTCACCAGATATGGATCACTGAATCTCTCTTTTGTAAGTGTGCCATAAATATAGCTGACATTGTTTCTTGTGCAGAGTGTAGGCCGCCCAATAGACTGGTTGGGTACATGTAGTGATGATCAAGTACCATTGTGAATGACTTGGCTTGATCACTAAATTGTGAATTGATAACCCTCTTTCTAAATTTAGGCTAAAAATAAGAAATGGATTTAAAAAAAAAAAAATTTCATTTTCATTGGATGTTCTCTTGTTCTTCTGATTTGGCACACATCTAAGCATATTGCTTGTCAGCTCACCACAACTCGCGGTTTAATGTATAAAAACAAAGTGAAATATATACTTCCCAAGTGTCCTATTTAGGTGGGGCAGTCCCTATTTTTGGCCCTAATTGGCCTATTTTTGGCCCTAATCCCTCTGTTCTATCCTAATGTCGGACTTTTCTGGGAGCTTCATATTGTTGGTGTGTTTCAGTGTAGAGCAGAGCTCTGCAGCAATAATACTCACAGTAATGTCTATGAACTAAAATAAATGTGTTTAGAAATCGGTATGTGTAAATAAGCTACATTGTTCTTGTTTGAAATTACATTATAGTTTTAAAAATGGTGGTTAGTAAGTCACCTAAAATGTCTCAGAACAGCCCTGGCTACATCGACACCCCTAAAGTTAATGTCCCTCTTCGTCCATTTGACATGTTGGGAGGTATGGAAATGTAAGTGTCTGGGGCAGGCAGGTTGTGTGCCATGAGGTGGGAAATGGGGGAAAATCCCCCTCCCGCCGGGCTCTAGGGTGAGGAAGGGGTTAAACTTACCTCTTTCTCCAGCGCCGGGCGGGGTGCTCTCCTTCTCTTCGGCTGAATGCGCATGCGCGGCAAGAGCCGCGCGCATTCAGCCAGTCTCATAGGAAAGCATTCACAATGCTTTCCTATGGACGCTGGCGTCTTCTAACTTTGAAAATCACAGTGAGAAGCACGCAAGCGCCTCTAGCGGCTGTCAATGAGACAGCCACTAGTGGCTGGATTAACCCTAATGTAAACATAGCAGTTTCTCTGAAACTGCTATGTTTATAGAACAAAGGGTTAACCCTAGATGGACCTGGCACGCAGACCACTTCATTAAGCTGAAGTGGTCTGGGTGCCTATAGTGGTCCTTTAAGTTTGCGATTCTCTCTTCAGTCTGTCACATTTCCTGGTTTGGTGAATAATTCCAACAGTATTTACATAAATGCATAACATACGGTGATAGTAGAGAAGTGACTAGAATTGGACCACACAGTAAGCAAGCACATTGCTCAGGGTGAAACTGGGTGGACAGTTAAACAGGCTAGACTTCTTAGTAAGTGAATTGTCAGGGATTTTTTAGGATTGGAGACTAAGCGAACCTTTTATGGGATGGGGAAAGTTATTACATAATAATTGGATAGCCGAAAAAGCACATGGTATGGATGACAAAATAAGAACTGCTATAATGTTGCCTGTTTTCTATTTTTATATCTTAACAAATCTATTGCTTTTCTGGAAGCACATGTGCACGCAGACATCCCAACGGTGTTGTATACGACGTCTTCAGTATGTTATGTAAAGGAGGAGGGCTGAAATGGAAGCTTCTGACTATTTTTTAATAAAATTAAAAGCGGAACCCATAGCTAACTCTTATTTAGCTGTAGTTAGGAACCTCATTAGTGCCTGTACGGCTTTAATTGCTTCCATTTGGAATAAGACACAGCCTTTGCATTGCATAAACACTTAATGACCTGGAGCACATGAAGATTGTATTGTTCATGTTTCTTCCTGTATTTTTTTCTTTTAAGCAATTTGGATAACAATCAGACAACATATTTTGCATTCCTTTCTTTTCTTCTGCTTCCCTTTTAGTAGAGGGTATTTTGTTTTTGTGGGTTTTTAAATGTTATTATAGGATTAGGATCATGTGTTTTTGTTAGTATTTGCATAAGCCAAATTGCTATCAAATGGTTTATAGGATTGCTTAAATGGGACGATTACAGATCTTTATTTAAAGAGAGTCTACCATGATTTCAGTCCTGTAATGTTAAATAAGGCAGGACTTAATGTTTCTACACTTAACAGATGCATTAAAAAATATATATATATATATGTGTGTGTGTGTGTGTGTGTGTGTGTGTGTGTGTGTGTGTGTGTGTGTGTGTATATATAATTCTACACGGTGGGTTGTAATCTAATATACATCCCCCCTCCCCCTTTTTTTAAATACATGCTTCACCTAAATATACAGAACTGTTTTCTCTTAATCCAGCACATTCTTACCTGAAACAATATTTGTTACTCTGTTGCATTGGGTCCTCTGTTGTGTGCCTTATTGATGGACAAAATATAAATAAAGATCAATCATTAGCTTGGTGGCTCGTTCAGTTGTAAAATACTCCGGTGACCCATTCTTCAAATGTAATATCATCCTATACTAAAACGAATTCAAATAACGTTCATTAGCCCTTTCCTAGTGTCAGAGGGGTCGCCATTTATTGTAGTTGGTGGTCTTTTGGCCTAAAAATATAGTATCTGACCTAGGGGTTTAGAACCAGTGCTAAATCGCAATGCAGTTCATTTGTTTGCAAAAATAAATACATGTTTATATAAGCTATTGTTAAAAGTTCAACTCTATGCCCACCTTGCGATAATTTACAGATACAAAAAATACATGTAAAATTTGAAGGGGAATATAACCAAGAGACACATTCTTGGCCAATTAAAGGAACACTATATAGTTTCAGGAATACAAACCTGTATTCCTGACACTATAGCTCTAAATGCACCTTGTCCCCACCTCCCTCACCCCCCTTAAAAAGGTGTTTTACTCACATTTTACAAGTGCCGCGCGGGCCTTCTCACGACTGGCTCCACCACTTTGGCTGATATTTTAAAACTTGATGATCTTAGCTAATCCAATGCTTTACAAATACACATCTCCTCGTAGAGATTAATTGAATCAATTGAGGAATCAATTGATGTTCTGCACTGAGTGTGTAGACTCTGAACTTCTGTGCTGCACATTGAGTTGCCCTCTGTGTGACAGCCACTAGAGGTGGTCCTAGGCAGTAATGTAAAACCAGCATTTTCTCTGAAAAGGCAGTGTTTGCATTTAAAAAGTCAGCAGGGACAGGCTATAGACACCAGAACTACGCTAAGCTGTAGTTCTGGTGACTCTAGTGTGCCTTTAAAAATAAACAACCTGTATACTCCCTATATTTGTCAGGGTTTTTTTTTTTTCATATCCTATATCTTGCCCCACTGATTGCATCTATACCATTATTTTTGCAGGAATCCGTGTTAACCTCATTGTCCACTGGAGCGACTTGTCACAGATGCTTCCGAAGCAAGTTGGAATGTAGTGGCTTGGAAGGTATGTAAAGACTAGCTATAGTGTACAAGGACTATTAAACCAGGCAGTTTAAACTTCTGTTTCTAATAAAGATCTGTACTTGCATGCATAAGCAGTTACATTTAGCCGATTGACTACTCCAAATTTCTATTATTTCTGGTTCTTCTAAATAAAATATATGCATTCTACCTCAATAGTTTGTCTATGAAATTATATGTGGATTGATTCAGGTTGACTGTGAATGTAACGTTATTTTATCCCATTGTGTATATATATTGTGTACTTTTCAATAAAATATACCGTATATGTATGATCTTATTGTTCTTGCTGAATTGCCAATAATTGTATTTGTAGTTCTATTAAAGAGGTATTATCATTACCCAAGATGAATACTATGTTTACTTAACAAATCTGTATTTGAGGTGTGAAATATAAAATTTAAAAAAACGGAATCAGCACCTCTCTATCTTGCAACTGGGCACCTCCATCTTGGCTCCTGTTAGTCATTGTTATAAACTGTCTCTTGCACTTGGCATTTAACAGAGAGCGCATTTAATGAGTGGAAATTATAATTATTATAATATAAAATGTTTTCATTTCAACTATTGCTTTTATAATGTATGCCCAAAAAATGTTTTTGATGTTATATTTTAAAGATTTAATTTATTTTAATTAAGATAAAGAGAGAGAATCATGTGATAAGTTAACAAAATGTTATAAATCATTTTCAGTGTTTTATCCAATTGTGTAAATTCCAGAAGAGTGACAAAAATGCATTGTGTTGGTCCACATAATGTATGGCTAACATTCTTTATGCATTATCTGCTCATTGGCGTTTAGGTAGTTTTTGAAAAACCACAACATGCTTATATAACTTTCAAAAGATACATTTAAAGGTCATGTTACAAACACATGGCTTTATTTTATTGTGGGCATTAAATTATTTAATTTGGAGCCTGCCCACAGCAATTGAAACTTTAAATTAAACTAGGAATTAAGCCACAGATTTCATGGATGTGGGAAGTTCTTAATTCCTCATCTCTTATTCAGTGTGCTTTTGCTTGTGATTTCTTCTAACTACCCCTGTGTTATTCTGTATTTTTAATGTTCTTCATGCTACCCAACAATCATATGGACACTACCAGTGCCAACAAAATATAGCACACATTACTTCCAATCCAGCGATTGGTACCTAAAATGACAAGACCAGGGGAATTAATAATTCCAATTTTAAGTTATCGGACATGATATGGCTATTGTAGGTATCTAATATTTAATTAGTGTTATTGAGAAGGTTGTAGTGTGGGTTGTGAGCATGTTCTATGTGATACAGATGCTCGATGTGATGTGGTTGCTATAGATGCTGTATGTGTTGATTTGAAAGATCAGTGTTGCATGTGATGCATGTTCCACAGTAGAGATGTTGCGAACATCTCGCGAACGGTTCGCCGCGAGCTGTTCGCGGCGAACTCCGGTCAGCTGACACGTCCCGGCCAATCTCCAGCAGACCCTGCCTCCCAGAACCTCCTACTTCCTGGACAGCATCCATGTTGAAACATGTTTTTTTTTTTTGTGTACCTATCTTGAGTACACAAACGTGTGCTCTAAAGAGAGTAAAATAACAGCTATCTACATTGTACTAGCACAAATGTATATATTTTATGAAAACGCTGTGCAACAACATGGTTCAACTCCTAACCTGTCAATCAATTCATCAACACAGGGGTTTCTCGAGATTTAACTTTTAGTGGAGAGCAGGAGAACACTCATACAAAAAGATATCTTGCTGTCATCACAGCAACTACAGTTCAAGCAATATAGTTGCTTTTATTAGTAAGTAGGTGTAACGGAATCGCTTGCACCCCGACCGGGTACCTTCCCTTGATGGATGCTCCTAGTGCCTCCCGAGGACTCCAAGCACTCCACCAGACACCATAACCACTGTAGACTCCCACGAACTGCCGCAGCTTGGTTGGGGTCTTGCCGTCTCCACCCATTCTGGACCCAAGACCAGGGTCCAGCTTCCAGTAGGTCAACCTCTCCGAATTCCAGAGAGCAGGAACAAGCTGTTAGCAGAGCTTAGTGATTATAACCTGGGGAGTATAGTGATTATAGCAATCCCCAGAGTGTAGTTCTCCAATCCCCCAAACATGAGCCGAAACTTCATGAAGGTACAAGATGATCTGCTTGGATTCTTGGTGCAGGAAAGAGGAAGATCCCGCCGCTGCGACCAGTTGTGACGGTAGCAACTGGTATCACCGTCTAGTATTCCTTTTCCCAGTAGCAGAGTATCGCCTAGAATCCACAGGAATAAATATTGCTGGTATCGCCAAATAATCCACACATGAGCCAAAGCTTAATGCTGGAACAAGACTGATTTACTGGAAGCAACAGGCATTCAATTTACACAGTACAAGCTCCTCCTCTGGGCCAGGCTAGATAATGGCGTTTCAGCAACATACTAAACTCAATTATCTGCTGGCCAGAAACATTAACAATTTTCAACACTTTTGGAAATATACTTTCTACATGACATATGAATATAAAAACCACATCCCTGGGTAGCTGGGGATACTGGGAGTAACATATCCAAATTTCACGAAAATCAGTTCGGTAGTTTCCGTGTCGCATCGTGTGGAAGTTTGAACAGCTCGCCGATTTAGAGTTCCATGAAATTGGTAGCAAGAGCCGGTCTCCGTTCGTGCAGAATTACACGAAAACCACCATAGTTATACGGCATCTGGTTACATGAGAATGCTCCCCTCGTTCGGTTGATTGGAACTCCCGAACGCCGGTCTGATACTGCGAGTGATTGCCATGCCGAAAACAGTTCCAGGCAATCCACGAGTAAGTCCCGCTGGCCACGTTCAGGAGATTTAAGATGGCCGCCATCCTTTGTTCTCGCCACGTGTTCGTATGCCGAATGGCGGCCACCTAGGAGCACTTTGCGGTTTTCGTGTGGTTACTTGGTGTTCTAAGTTCTGATTGCTACCCGGGGTGGTGTCCGTTCGGTAGAACAAATATATTTCCCGAACACATAAATAAAACGAATATTTCAAAGTCACTTAAATAGCAGGGAGAGGAAATAACCGAATATATACAGGTAAATACAGGGAAATCCTTTACAGTAGGTCTTCTGCCTTGCTAGAGTATATGAATGGAATTACTGCATAATGTGGAAGTATTGTTCACCTTGAGAATTTTGTTTCCCCCAGTTAGGATCATTTTATAGGTATAGATTTGTGTTGGAGTAAATAGTGCATTCGTGTAACACCAGGATGTGTTTTAATGGCCCCCAAAAAAGCCCTTACAAAGACTCTATCGTGCTTTAAAAATATCAGTAGATCGATGAGACCAGTCAACCAGAACGCTCTAATGAAATTTATGTGGGCTTTGGATGTGAAAAGCAGTGATTTTTAAACCAGAAACTGATTGTAACCAACCGATTTGTTGCAGATTCAGTTGTATTTGGCCATTTTCATAGAATTTTGTTCATCCAGACAAAAGTGGGTATTTAGTAAATTGTTTTTTGCTGGGTATTGTTTGTTTAGCGCCCCAAACACGTAAAAAAGCATTTCCTTTACATATTTAGTAAATAACCATGTTTATGAACAAACCAAGAACGTCAACCTTGCGTTTTGTTTCCTGAATTTATACCTGATCACCTTCCAGTTGACTATTAATTTAGGACTGTTAATCGTGCATGATCTCTAAACATAGCTATTTAAAGTGTGTTTGACCTGGTAGACACATTTAAATAAAAGTGCAAAAAATCCATCATATTATGAGAGCAGAATTGTTTGCAAATATTTTTTAAATAATCTATTTGAAAGTGCAGTCTATGCCCTCGCCTGTCATTCCATTCTTGGTATAGAAGGATATGCTGATAGCTCATACCTGAATGGCAATAATTGAGTGATAAGGACAGCAGTGACCATCCTCCTTAAAGGACCACTATAGTGCCAGGAAAACATACTCGTCCCCCTCCCGCCGGGCTCTAGGGGGTGGAAGGGGTTAAACTTACTTCTTTCTCCAGCGCCGGGCAGGAGACTTTCCTCCTCCTCAGCTGAATGCGCATGCGCGGCAGGAGCCGAGCGCGCATTCAGCCAGTGCATGGGAAAGCATTCACAATGCTTTCCTATGGACGCTGGCGTCTTCTCACTGTGATTTTCACAGTGAGAAGCGCGGAAGCGCATCTAGCGGCTGTCAATGAGACAGCCACTAGAGGCTGGATTAACCCTAAAGTAAACACAGCAGTTTCTCTGAAACTGCTATGTTTATAGAAAAAAGGGTTAATCCTAGCTGGACCTGGCACCCAGACCACTTCATTAAGCTGAAGTGGTCTTTTAAGGTTGTTCCCTTATGCTTTCAATCGCAGCAACTACAGTGTGTGCTTTTATTTATCTGACGAAGATGTTTTGCACTGGTAATGAAGTCAGTATGTCTGCATCATTGAAGATGTTTGCGTATGTGTTCACAATTAGGACCTGTGATAAATTTTATTAATTGCATATGTAAATGTTGAAGTGAACTGTGAGAGGTTCACTTTAAATCCAAATCGAGCATATTGAATTTTAGTGAGCACTACTCTACTTTGACATCAGTTTTCATAAAATGGTTTTGACGTATGTTTTTAGATCTGCATCGTAGCAAGTACAAAGATTTTCAAACTTTACTAAATTATTCAGTAAACTTTGACCTACTTGCAATTCAGTCATAATCAAATGCAAGGAAACAATAGCCAAACTGAATTGATTTGGAGTATTTTTTTTCTAAATTGACCTAAATTTTTAAATTCAATTTTAATTCCTTGCATTTCTAACTTGAGTGACTAACCCTCCTAGCTTCAACCCAACTTTGCCTCTTGTTGCCTTACATTTTCAATTCTCTTGTCAAATCTCCACAATTGTCAGGATTTTGTTTTCATTTGATATGTCAATTTCTCTTTAAATATTTTGTATTTATTTTTAGTATTAACAGCAGCTATGGTTTCCGTATTGATTATATACAAGTGAGAGGTCTAGTGTTTACATTTAGTCTCTGTTTCAATTTAGGGTGAAAGGATTTCTTTCATTCTCTGTAACTGGTGTTTTGTATTCAATATACAAAATATTTAATCCTGACATTAATAACTAATGCTGCTTGTATGATAAATAAGAGCCTCTCAGTTGTCGATCAATGCCGACTTGGGCTAATGAAATGTTTGACCCTTTTTATAAGATTGGAGCAAAAGGTTGATGGGTCCAAGATTGTCTTTTTAATTACTGACTGTTGGAGACTTGCTTTCTGATAGTAGTTTCACTTTGTGGTCTGGCTCCTAGGCTTTTTGTTTTATAAGTGGTAAATAATAGCATGCTCAAAAGCCCAAAATAAATGATAATGAAATATCTGCTTGGGGCTTGTAAAGCTTTTTCATTTTTTGTGATGTCACGTTTTCCTCTATTTTCCCATTTAACAAGTTTTATGGAAACCTATCTAAATTTTAAACCATGAATTCAGGCAAATAAATTACATGAAAAGATAGGGTCGTCCATTAGTGAGTTTTTTGTGTTTATGTATTGACACATAAAAAAATAAGAATAAAAAATAGGTTAATGATTACCTATGATGTAAGTAATGCATGGGGCGAGTCATAGAGCTGGGGGTTAAAGCCTGGAATTGTGGAGTGTTTCTGTCAGTGTGCTGTGGACGGTCTTGTAACTTTGCAAGATAGCAAGCAGGTATTAAACTTCCACAGAATATTGCAGAGGCATCCTTGCATGAACAAAATATTATGTTATGGTTACCTGGCACATTTTGGTGTGTGTTTTTTTTTTTTTAATGTTGTGAGACTCTAAGAGAGAACATAAATCAATTTTGTTATAAAGTGATAAAGGTAGAGTGGTCCTCCTTGTGAAAACTGGATTGTTTAAAGGAACACTGAGAGCACCATAGCTTTTGTGCACTGTAGTGGTTATAGTGCCAGGAATGCCCTCTGATCCCTCCACCAGTTAGTATGAGGCTGCAAACTTTATGCTTAATCCCTAGCTACGTTGCAAAGAGTTGAACCGTTTTAGAACATTTTAACTTCTTACCTAGGGGCCGAGGGGTTCTACACTTGGTCTGCATTACAGCTCTGAGAGCCGGAAGCTCTCTTTATTGTGCTAAGGATGGTGGTGCAATGCTTACCTCATTGGATGAACTGTAGAGAAAGCACAGAGCTTGACAGATCTCAGGTTAGAAGTCAAACCTTTCTATAACAATTTTATAGCCGTGGGTATGGTCCTTGGATTGTTCCTTTACGATGATCGGTCAACAGTTTATCCCAAAATAATTTGTTATAAGAACATATATTTGTGTTCTAAAAATATCCCAATTTTGCAATGCCCAGTATATATACTACCCATAGACTGTTACAGAATGTAATATACAGGGTGGGATACAATTTAGAGTAGAGTTTGAGGCATCAAGTACATTTTTCTTAATGAACCAATTTCAATGATAAAACACGGAGTGTTTAACATATGGACATTTGTTTGACTAGGTACAGAAGATTACATCTTTCAAATGCACTTTCGATTGCATTGTTCATAACTTTATGTAGCGGAGTAGCAGGGGTTAATCCAATAGCTCTCCGCTGGGAACAAAGATTCAGCATACAAAATCACAGGAACACAGCATAATCCATCTCCCCAAGGACTAGACGACACGTCGTCTGGGAGTCAACTGTCCGTTTTATTCACAGGTCTGCTTTTATGCATTTCTCCCATGCAAGGGAGGTAACTTTCACAATTAGTACAGTAACCAATCATATCATGGTCACCTCCCATCCCTCTCCTCCCCTTAGATTAACAGTTAAATAGATTAATGGGGACAGAGTTTTCCCCACTTTATGGATGTCCCCTAAATACAGGGGGTACAGGGTTAAATAAGGTCTGATCTGGGTGAGCAACATACTCAAAATTCACCCAGATCGGACCAGGGGTTCGGGAGTTACAGGCATTGAAAGATTTGACCGACCGAACGGCTTAGGCATCCAGGCATCTGTTACCGTTCGTATGAATCCCCTCGTTCGTGGGATTCCACCTACCGAACGCCGGGGCGTTCGTGTGTTTGGTTCGTGCTTTCTGAGCATGCTGGAGGTCTTAGCGGTACTTGGTTAGTCGAATGCCCGGTTTGAGTTCCAGGCGTTCGACGACCAAGTACCGCTGTTCGTGCGTAAGATGGCCGCCGCCACGTGTTCGGTAGGCGAAATGGCGGCCACACACACAGGCACTTTATTCCCTTCGCAACATTGTATCTTTCAGTTAATGGGCAACACACGACCACCCCGGCGTGGTCTCCCGTTCAATAGTTTCAGGGCATTCGCATACAGAACAGCAAGAATAACATTATAGTCCGTTCGTGCATTTAGTCACTGCTTTAGCACCCATTCGCTTGTAATAATTCAACTGTTCATTCGCACAGAATAGTTAGTCCAAGTGGCAGAGTTTGCCACACTTTAGTTAATGTTTAAGGCTCTAGCGCTCAAATTCCTGCACAGAGATTCAGAAGTGTACGTGGTTTGCTCACATACATCCACTCCTTCAGATATCCCCACAGGAAGTAATCTGAAGCTGAAAGGTTGGGCGCATGTGGCAGCCAATTAATCTGGGTATTGCTTTAGTTTATCTGCTCGCTGAATAGTTGTCCCAGTAGGTCCATTCTGGCCCTGGCTGGATGAGCAGTAGCCCTGTTGAAACCACATTTCAGAATGATTTTTCCACTACAGGACGTAAAAAAAAATAAAAAATTCAGTCATATGCATGCCATTTTGAAAATCAAATATCACGATTTTTACACGTTGCTTTATGAAAATTACCCATGATGAATAACTCTGTTATAATATGTACCTGCAACAAAAAAAATTAACTACTAACAAATAAGTGATTTACCTGTCATATCATACTCTGAATTTTGGCCCACCCTTTACGAGACTGAAATAGATTGCTATTCCAATTCTATAAACACGGATTAAATAGTACCCCTTTACTGTAATAATGTCCATCTTATATGTATCATGATATCCATAGGCGTGCGCAGCCTATTGCATTAGGGTGTGCACCCTAAAGCACACACACGCCGCGTGTGTGTGTATGTATGTATATGTATATGTGTGTGTGTGTATGTATGTATGTATATGTGTGTGTGTGTATATGTATGTATGTATGTATGTATATGTATATATATATATATATATATATATATGTATATATATATGTATATATATATTTGTGTTCGGGGCAAATAGCCGTATATGGAATAAGGTTCCAGCATAAGAGTAGGATAGTATAAAGGGAGCAAGTCGGTTGTGGTGTGCCGAGACCGACGATACGGTAGGCCTGTAAATAAAGAGGGCCCACCAAGGAGTAAGTAAGTAAAGTAAATGGAAAGAAAAGAGAAAGTGTTGAAATGAGGAGTGGGTGGGAGGGTCATTCTGATGCTGACCTCAAGCGATATGAGTCAGGTAAGGGGTGTCCCTTATATAGGGGAGTGAATTAATTTAAGCCCCTCCCACAAATACAGGCCAAATGGCCTTAAAACTTGTGTTCGGGGCAAATAGCCGTATATGGAATAAGGTTCCAGCATAAGAGTAGGATAGTATAAAGGGAGCAAGTCGGTTGTGGTGTGCCGAGACCGACGATACGGTAGGCCTGTAAATAAAGAGGGCAAAAAGAATAATCAAAGATTTAATACAGTCAACAATATATACAAATTAACCAGACATTTCCTTAAATGCATTACGGTATTTAATTCCTTTAAGGATTTTTGAAGGTAGGAATCTAGGACCGCAACTGGACACCATTTGTTGTGGTTAGAATAGTATGTTATCTCTACTGTTGGTGCGTGTTGACTCGTTTCGGAATGTGGTAGAGCCAATAGGTAATGATATATGTGTTTACATCTGTGGGATCGTTGAAGACAATGATCTGTCTGAGTGGTGGTTATGGTAGTGGATTCTCTGGCCTGAGAAAGGCATAAAAGGCAGTGTGCATGGCTGGTAATGGCCAACTTGGTAGTATAATTGAATGGTTGTAGCTCTAATAGGTCCGATAAGGATGGAAAAGTTGGATGGCTATTGGTAATATCTGAGAGGAACGTGGGGGGATGGATTCCTGAAAACCTCTGAGTATATTCTTGTCTGGTATGATAGCATGAAGTTATGGTAGTTTTGGCCATAGGTTATCCTATGTTGTTGAATGCCTGTAAAATATATAATTAATGGTGTGTGAGATGGTTTTAGTTTAAGGTGGCAAAAAATGAAGCAAAACCTAGGAGAAATGTTATGACACAGGTTGAGCTATGTCGTGTTCCAATGAGATTCTTTAAAGCCAGGTGAATAGGTGTTATGCGTTCTACAAGTATGGGATGAAAGTGTTAGGTGGGATAGTGCATGCTATGCTGCATGAGTATGTCTAATCAATGATTTTGTCTCTGGAACGAAAGAGTGGCCGTGACTGTATGGGCGGCTGTAGGAAGCGTATAATGAACGTGCCTGGAATATAAATGAGACAATTGTCGGCAAGGACGTATACCCCCGCCTGGTACATGAAAGTAAAAGAAATGTGATAAGTGGCCAACCTAGTGAGTTCCCCAGCAATACCATGATCGTATGGATGATGAGTGGCATTTGTTGATGATATGACATGTGCTTAGTTGTCTGAGTAACAACGGATTGATGACCCTGACCATGATTTACCCCATGCCACATCAGCTGCTTTTAGCGGGGAAAGGATTGCCCATTTTATGCCATGTAAGTGCCAGTTTGTAGGGTAGATGGTAGCCGTTTACTGTGTTGATGATATTGGTCTTACTTAACGAAGCTTCAACCCATGCTTGAGTGATAGCTGTAAAGGTAGATCAATGGTGTGTATAGTAAGGAAACTCCTTGGAGGATATGAGGGAGTTGAGACTTGGGGTAGCGAAGGTGTGTGGTCCCAATAAGTCTATGGTTAGTCTTTGTTTAAGGGAAGATTCCCTTGTGACAATACCAATGCGTCTGTGTTTGGTGCCATGCTGTAAATGGTGGAGATTGGAAATCCAAGTAAAAAACCCTCTCCAAATCTTGGCTATGAGTGTGTTTACAGCCGACGGTTCTGTTGTGCTGACTAAGTGAGGGCATGCTATATTCCTTGAGAGTTTATTTATGATACCTGTATGGGAGCCCTTTGAAGATCCAGAGCCTTAGTAAATCTACTACAAGTCTGGAAGGGTGATGAGTCAGTAGTGTTGAAAATGCATTGGTGTGTACAGATGGTGAGTACGTTATTTGTAAGTTGTATTTGGACACATGGTTTGTCATGTGCCCTGAATGATTTGAACATATATGCAACAGTCTATATGCAATGCAACTACTAATACCAATTGTCTCTGGTAGTTCAGAGGTTCTGGTACCTGGAGCCTGAGAGTACTCGCCCGTTTGTTTGGGAGAAAATCCCTTCTGTATGGGTACCTGCACAAATAAGCATCTCTACATATTCCAAATGGCAACACAACCAAGGGATGGTCAGTTCCCGATTTACCTAGAATCCCTGGGTCTGACCATCATAGATACATCATCATACATATATATGCCTTGTGTTCCCAATGTGCTGGGATCATATGTGCAGGGTTAACGTCTTGTACCAAGTAACAGAGTTTCGGTTGGTGCTGGTTGTACAGTAGCGTGAGGCCCAGCCTTGTGAGGGCTGTGACTGACTCGAGATTGCCAGTCTATCGTAAATTTTTTGGCTCATGATTTTATGAGTGAGGCTAGCATGGCCTGGGTGTCACCTGAGTTGGTGTTGCTGGGCCTCCGTTGATGTATGGAGGAGTTTGAATAACTCTGCTTTCCTTGCTGTGGCAGGGTAGGGGATTTATCGCCTCCTTAGGTCGGAGCCACATCTCCTCTGCTTGAATGTGTATCACATCTCACCAGGGTGCCAGGAAGAGGTGATTCTTCACCATCTTTTTGAGAAATACTTAAATAACAATAAGATTGCAATTATTATTTGTACCCAGGAGTCTTGTACTGGCTTGCTAGCTAAGCCGTAAGGCGAAACGATTAGGCTTGGTGTTTTTTGGTGACTGGTGAGGCCCTGCTAGTTGCCAAGTGGCTTGAGAGGCTCTATCTATGCTTGGCGCGAGGGGATTTTTTTGTGGCCACCGAACGTTGTGGCAGGATGTTGGCCTCTCGGTGACAGTAACCAGAAAATAGGAAGGGGAGTGACAGGTGAGGCCCTCTCTATGATACAATGCGAGGCGGCTAGCTCGAGTGGCCCGAGGGGTGTGCCTCCGAGTGTGAGGCGGGGTGTTGGCCTCGCGGGACCACTAACCGAAGCGTAAAGCAGAGAAAACAGGGGGTAATACCTATTGGGCCATAGAACCCTAATTGCCAGTACATTACTACTATTCCAGGGAAGGTAAGAGATGAAGGTGTATCACTTCTAGCCGTGGTGCTAGGAAGAGGTGATTCTTTACCATCTTTTTGAGAAATACTTAAATAACAATAAAGATTGCAATTATATATTTGTACCCAGGGGTCTTGTACCGGCTTGCTAGCTAAGCCGTAAGGCGAAACGATTAGGCTTGGTGTTTTTTGGTGACTAGTGAGGCCCTGCTAGTTGCCAAGTGGCTTGAGAGGCTCTATCTATGCTTGGCGCGAGGGGATTTTGTGTGGCCACCGAACGTTGTGGCAGGATGTTGGCCTCTCGGTGACAGTAACCAGAAAAATAGGAAGGGGAGTGACAGGTGAGGCCCTCTCTATGATACAATGCGAGGCGGCTAGCTCACGAGTGGCCCGAGGGGTGTATGCCTCCGAGTGTGAGGCGGGGTGTTGGCCTCGCGGGACCACTAACCGAAGCATAATGCAGAGAAAAAAGGGGGTAATACCTATTGGGCCCTAGAACCCTAATTGCCAGTACACTATTACTATTCCAGGGAAGGTAAGAGATGGATAACTACGTGAGCAGGTGTACGTACCTGGTAGTATGGTATTGAACCTGACAATCCGTATAGGTTTTTTAGTAGTAACTGTAACCTGAATGGATAAAATCGTATGGCATAAGGAAATATGGCATAGACCAAGCTTATCTTAAAACATACAGTATATGTGAAAGTAAAGTGCCGTGATATGTAAATATTAAACATCATATCCATACTGGTTAAATATGTATCAATCTTAACCCATTAAGTGCCGTATGTATGTGAACCATATTACCAGTTACGTATATACAGATGCGTGTGCTACTGTGTAATAATATGTGTATTTATAACAGATATTGATATACTGCTTGCTATGTGAATTGTTGTTTGCCTTATTGAATGACAAGTGAACATGGAGTTGCAAAATGCAAGTGCACTGGAAATCTGCTGAGTGCCCTATAGGTGGCAGTGTAGTTGATACTGATTGGTATGTGAAATGTTGTTTGTCTGTTGACCTATAGGGGTCAGTGTTTTGGTGTTTGTAAAACCCCATGAAAAACCCCATAAAATTGTCAATGTACTTGACAGACCTGTAGGTGGCAGTGTTGATAGAACCACTGTTAGTCTTAATGTGAAATGTAAACTATTGTGAATTAAACCTGAAGTTGAGCCCGTGTTGGAGTTTAATTCATGGTTTATGGTTATGTTTAAAACAAATCTTATGTGTAATTTATATTGGCTAGTAATTGTATATGACATGTGAAGACAGTTTTGCTGTTGACCAGTAGGGGTCAGAAATGCTGATTGTATGGTAAAATACCCTTTAACCCCTGAAGGATACATGACGTGTGACATATCATGATTCCCTTTTATTCCAGAGTTTGGTCCTTAAGGGGTTAATCCAAATGCAAGGTTAACGTGAGATTTTGAGAGTGACCTGTAGGGGTCAGTTTGGTTTATGTGAAACATTGTTTGTGAGCTATGCCCCAGCATTATAGTTGTGTGACAGGGAAACAAACAGTGCCCGTTTGACAATATACAATAAGTGAACATAATAGCTAACAGTCATTGTAACAAACCAAAGTTCTGTTCATGGGTTGTAAACGCACGAAGCATGTGTTTAGTACAACAGTAAATGCATGAACTAGTACCCGTTTGGTAGAAAATTGCACGAACCGTGAGCCTGGTATGTCAGGGAAACAAAACGAAACGAGCAGTGAGATTCGAAATGCACGCACAGAATTGCCTAGTATGTTTAGGCAATTGAAACAGAATGTGTTCCCGTTTGGGAGTATGCTAATGCTTGAAATGAGCCAGTGACAGATATAAACAAGTGAATTTAAACGAATGATATGCATGAACATCCAATGGTTTTAGGACAGATTTAGACAAAATGCAGCCGTAAAGTGAGGACCTGACCCGTGCATGGTGCCGTGGGACTGATGCCTGGCGTAACGGGTAGGTCGACTTACGGTTTGTGAGTCACTTGGACACCATCCACAGCGATAGATTGAAGAAAGAATGTGGAAGGCCGGAAAAGCCTGTGGCTGGATTCCTGACACAGCTCAGCTTAGAAAACCTCATGGAGTAATCAGGTAAAATGGCGTCTGGATGACCCGGAAGTGGAAATCATTCTGATGCTGACCTCAAGCGATATGAGTCAGGTAAGGGGTGTCCCTTATATAGGGGAGTGAATTAATTTAAGCCCCTCCCACAAATACAGGCCAAATGGCCTTAAAACATGTGTATATATATATATATATATGTATATATATATATGTATATATATATATATATATATATATGTATATATATATGTGTATATATGTATATATATATATATATATATGTATATATATATGTGTATATATGTATATATATATATATATATGTATATATATATGTGTATATATGTATATATATATATATATATGTATATATATATATGTGTGTGTATATATGTATATATATATATATATATATGTGTGTGTATATATGTATATATATATATATGTATATATATAGAGAGAGAGAGAGACATGCACTGCTGTGTGTGCTGTTAGTGTGATGTGAGGGTGCTGTTTGTGTGAGTGTCGTGTATTTGTGAGGGTGTGGTTAGTGTACTGTGTGTGTGTGAGTTGTATGTGTGTAGGTGCTGTGTGTGTGCTGTATGTTTGGGATTTGGCAGATTAGTAAATCCTTGCTGCCATGTGCCATCCCTGGTGGTCCAGTGGAGAGTGAACTCTAGCCTGCCGCAGCAACACTCTATCGCGAGAGGAACCTGGCGGAGCTTCTGTCTAGAACTCTCTGGGTCCTCTCCTGCCTCCCTCCATGCTGCTGTGGGCCGGTGAGGTAGATCTTTGGTCTCCCCGCCGGCCCATGGAGGCTTAGAGCAGAGCCGGCACTCAGATAGCGCCGGCTCTGTGTGTGTGTGTGTGTGTGTATATATATGTGTGTATATATATATATATATATATATATATATATATATATATATATATATATATATATATATATATATATATATAATATTACGTACACACACTCTCAGACACACACACACTCACAGACACATTCACACAGACACACACAAGAACAAATTATTACATTTTAATAAAAAAATGTCCACCAAGCCTCCTACCTGGAGTGCTGGCGTGGACTTTTCCCTGAGGTCCAGTGGGGCAGGCGCCTCTCTGCAGCTCAGCCGCGGCGAGGGAGCTGTGTGCTGTCTGCTCTCTGCTCCCTCTCGCCGCGCGGGCTGTCTGCTGTAGCTGGGAGCCGGAATATGACGTCATATTCCGGCTCCCGGCATCAGCGCGTGGCGAGAGGTAGCAGAGAGCAGACAGCTCCCTCGCCGCGGCTGAGCTGCCGAGAGGGGGTGCGAATCCATCACCTCTTGCCCTCCCCATGACAGGGGCAAGAGGTGAAACGGGGCGCTGAGTGCCTGCAGGAACAGCGTTCCTGCTCCAAAAAAGTGCAGGAACGCTGTTCCTGCAGGATTCAAACCATAGGCGTGCCACGGGGATTAGGGTGTGCCCCGGCACACCCTGTGCGCACGCCTATGATGATATCCTGTTTTCTAGTAGCATATACTTCTCCTTTTGAGAGATTTAAGGGGGGGGGGGAGGGAATCACTGAATGGTGACCCTGTTAAAAGCATCAAATAAGCAGAATTTGGCTATGTCAGGACATTGCTCTATCACATCAAGAGAATTCACAAGATAGCAGTGTTTGGCTATACAATTTACTCCGCTAGTATTTGAAATTTACTTTGTTTCTGACAATGCACACATTAGTGATTAACACTGATTGTGTGTGGTATGCTTGCTGTACAGTGTAGATTCCCAAAACACACACAAACAAACTTAATGGAGGATAACCCACCTACAGTGTTCTTGGCCTATCATTGTTGTCTAAAACTGTATGTCTTATAGGGTGATTAAATTCTGTATTACACACAGCAGCAGGTCCAGGCTATTGGTGCATAAAGCTCTATGCTTTTTTTTTTTTTCTTTTCTCCAATCTGCTCAAAAATGGTTTGACACAAGCCACCAAAAACACCCCTTACGTTAAGTGTTTACTGTGACTTGAGTTCTCTGTTTCTTGTACCTGTCCCTACAGGACTATGCAGGTTTTATTTTGCTCAGAGACAGATATTTGTGTGGGCGAGGTAGGCTGAGGCTGATTTATACATAGTATCTGCAAATGCTTATCCAATGTGCATGATTATATCACTGGCTCTTATGGTACTTTATGAAATACCATGACCACCTTGTGCAATTTAAAAAAAAAAAAAAAATTCCTTGCTGTGAAAAGTGTGTCAGGAAGAGATTACTTTAAAGAAGTACTCTAATATTATTAACTTAAGACTGGAGACTTAAATGTGTTTTTTTTTTTTTTACTTGCTTTCTTCCCACGCCATGCGGGTCTTGCAGTGGCCGCTGCTCCACCCTGGATGAGGTCATTAAAAATAATGACTTCAGCCAATCCAATGCTTCCCCACAGAGAAGCATTGGGAGGGCTTCTGCACATGAGTGACAACCCCTATGTTGCACTAATCAGTATCTCTTCATTAACCCCTTAAGGACACATGACATGTGTGACATGTCATGATTCCCTTTTATTCCAGAAGTTTGGTCCTTAAGGGGTTAAATGCTTTCCCCAGATATACATTGAGCGATCAGGGTCTTAATGTGTGATGTGGTTGTGTGTGTAATGGATTATGACCACTGTGAAAGGTTTGTGGATGCTGGCTGCATAAATCCTACATTTTCAAAAGTCAGCCCCAACAAACCAGAAAGTAACACGCATGTTTTATGACATTGTAGAGGATAGGTTTTGTTTATGTGCAAGAAATAATGTTAATAAATCTGTGTGTATGCGAGAGACACAAACGGTTTGCCAAAAAGCACTTCTAGAACCAGACTAAATTTTTCAAGCTCTTTAGTCAGACATTACAAACCCGTTAAATGTTATACTGTGGTTCTGGTAATTAATCCAAAACAGCTCTTAGAAAAATGTATTCTGGTTTCATAGCAGACTAATCTCTGCTAAATTTAGCCAATGTCTGTTTTTTTTGTTTTGTTTTTTTTGGAGAACATAATTTTATTAAGAAAAGCAGCTCTATTGTCTACTTCTTTAGGGTAGATGTAATACAAAGCTAGCTGGAAGCGTTCTGGTATATTTTGTATTGAACTGTCCATTAGAAACTGTGACACTCAAACACAGCCAGGGTCTGTCTCTCCTCCCACCTCTGGCAGATAGATAAACCTACTGGTGTCCCTAGAGCACCAAACCTCTTCTCTCTTCGTAGGCCTCAATTAAGTGAGGTGTTAGAGTAAGCAAAGATATCTGTGGGGAGATATATATATATTTTTTTATTTTTTTTTTATTTTACTTGTTGCCAAAGAAGTAATTCTAATTTTGACACCTTCTAAATCATTCTACTTCAATGTGCTACAACTTCCAGTAGGAATTTCAAGAAAGTGGTCACTGAAAGGTAGCAATGACATTAGTCTCTGTGGAGTAATGATCCTTTTTTTTTTTTTTTTTTTTTTTTTGCCACGTTAAGCTTCTTTTCAATGCAACTCATTAACTGTGAAACCAAGGAATAAAAAAAACAAAAGTTAGCGTTTAAAATGCTTTTAGCTGAGCTTTGTGTGGGGTGAATATCGTAATAGTATATTATTAACAGAGGATGAAATTGCTGCCCTGGATGCATATTAGTGGTTTAGTAATCCTATCTTCAAACATAGTTCAAATGTAACTTACTGAATCTACACTGATCTCACAACACAAATGCATATGTGACTGACTAATAGGCAGTTATCTAAATTGCTGATTTCAAGGGTTAGTCTATTCTAGGGTTAGAGCACTCTTAAAAGATAAAGCTGAAAAGTCATGGTTTTATTTCCATAAAATGGAAAATAAACATTTTAATATTGTTTACTTGGTACTTTATATAATGATGTTGATTTGTAAATAATATATTTACATACATTCAACAAATTGCGTATGTACTTGTGTATAACATCTTGTGATAAGTAAAATATATGCAGTACTAAATGTCAAACTGTTTCATTATTCTTTAGCGTAGTCTTGTATATAATGCCTGAAAACTAGACTACACCGAAAGTGAAATGTCTAACAGAAATCTAGGTAGCATAAGGCAATCTCTATGTAAGAGTGCGTGCTGTGACTGCTGTGTTTGATTCATGCAAGTTTTATTCAGGAACTTGTCATAGATGATAGAAGGTATATGATTACCAGTAGCCAACGCATTCTGAGTGAAAAATGTCTCTGGGTTGAATGGCGAATGTTTACTGCATCCTAAATGGAGCTCCTGGCAGGAAGCCCCATGTACCATCAATAGATACTGATTGGTGCAGCGCTGGGATTGTCACTTATGTGCAGGAGTTCTTCCCCTTTGGGGAATCTTTGGATTGACTGAGGTGATTTTCAAGGGTGATCTCATACAAGGTGGAGCAGGGGGCACTGGAAGACCAGCATGGCATAGGAAGCCTTAAAGGAACACTATAGGGTCAGGAACATAAACCTGTACTGCTGACCCTGTAGTGTTAAAATCACCATTTAAGTGGCACTTCCCCCTTAGCCCCTTTAAAAGTTAATGCAAAATACCTTATTTCCAGCGCCGCACACGTTTGCCGGTGCTGGCCCGGCCCACGATCTGCCTCCTTGCTGACCTCATCAGAATTTGATTTCAGCCAACTCAATGCTTTCTGTATGTGCTGAAATCGGCAAGGAGGCTGGGCAGGGTCAAACGCTGGTGTGGCCAATCCGCATCTCCTCAGAGATGCATTGAATCAATTCATCTCTATAAGTAAAATACACCAGAGCATGGAGATGCTGAATAGCAGTACTGCACACTGTGAAGCACTGCCCCAGGAAGCACCTCCAGTGGCCACTGGAGGTATCTCTAGGGGGTAATGTAAACACTGCCTTTTCTCTGAAAAAGCAGTGATTGCATGAAAATGCCTGCACGGACTGATTATTCTCCTCAGAACAACTACATTAAGCTGTAGCCGTCTTGGTGTCTATAGTGTTCCTTTAAGTTAGTAATGTTAGAGTGCTTTAGCAGAATGTCCAGCGTCTTTTCAAATTCGGCAAAGTCCCCAGACCGGGACAGTGCCACTAAATGGGAACCTGACAATGATCTAAAGCAAATTGGTATTTTTGAACAGCCCATTTAACAGTTTTCTCTGATTACAAACTAGGGGGAGAAAAGAAAAAAAAAATCAGGGTTTCTATAAGGACACACCTATGTAAGACAGCGCTACGAATCTGATGGCGCTATATAAATAATCAAATAATAGGTTGCTGTAGGAATGTCTGCTTGATGCTCAACTACATGTTGACTGTGTATATTTGTCTATCAAGAAGGCATGCCTGCCTCACATGTAGACTTGCCAGTCACTAATGTCATTTCAGAGTATTTGTTAATTAGTCTGTCCGTATCAAAAGTCCATTTTCTCCAGTAGTCCCAAGAACCTGAACTCAAGAGAAAACAGCTGGATGATAAGACAGTTGCAAGCCATGTGTGCAATGTAGGATTGTTAATCAATCTCGCATTCAGTAAACCAACACACACTAGAAAAAAAAGAAGCAAAATATTTATTCTCACATGAAAGGTGCCTTGTTTCTAACCTTTATTTACTCTGTAAGACTACTGTCTGGAGTGGATCCTGTTTTATGAACCCGCAGTCTATTCATTAGGAATTTAAAATAAGTCTTCCATACCATGATTGGTTACTACACCAACCTATATCAGGAGTCCTCCAACAGTACCATCTAGTGGTTATATGTGTGTTTGGCAAAGCTATTGTTTTAAATAGAATACTGACAGATATTTACTAAAGTGGGAATTGTCAGAAATTCAAAGTGGATTCCAAATGTAAGGCCAAAGGAGCTGAACTGAAAAGTGTTAGTCATCTATGCTTCCAGTTTGGCAACCATAGCGTTAAATGTTACATTCACTTTGCAATCCCAACATTTCTCATTTTGGTAAATAACCATATGATTAACTGAGCACCCAGTTTCTCAATGATTTACAAATAGACATTTGTTTGCACTGCCTGGATTTTGTACACAGTGAAATAGATTCTTTTAAAATATTTTCTCTGACCGTTTATTAGATATGGATGTTATCATTATGATCCGTTAAGTGCCAAAATGTTTCATAGAGCTTTTCAATTCTTGAATTCAGTGGTGTGGGTCTACAGATACATAAATAGAAAATGATTGCATGTGCCATCACTGCTGATTCAGACTGTGCAGTCATCGGTGCCTATATTTTTGAATTTTGATTACTGAACAGAATGTTCATTTTCATTTATAATAACAAATTGTCACTGTATGCACTTTTGAGGCAACATTACAGATGTCTGTGGTTGTTTTGAATTCCAGAAGGAAAGACCAATGCATTACTGTGGCATTTTTAAATGCCTCACTGGTGCATCAGTGGTCAAACTGGTCATTTACCCACATCCTGGTTGTAAACTAGGTACACTGTGCAGCATTTACTGCATAAAGGTACTATTTCTTTATTCACATGAAAAAAAAAATAAACAAAACTGTCTACTTTGCTAGAAATGTTGCTTATCCAGTAGATATATCTTTATGAATATGGGTATCCCAGAGTCCAGAAAGCTCATGTTAAACTAATTTTAGGCAGATGCAGTATGCCAGCCTGGAGCCTAATTTAATGCTCTTATAAGGCAGAAAACAAGTCTTGGTAACAAAGTTATCAACGGAAATTTGTATCCACACAACATTTGTTATAGTAAAGGAAAACACAAGCTTAAAGGGTTACTCCAACCATCTTAACTGCTGCAACCAACTGTAGTAATTGTGATGTTAGGAGTACACTCGCACCATTCCCCAGTAATGGTGTGAACTATTTTACAATGGCTTGCCCTTTTACCTTCATACCTGGTTGAGTGTTTTGAGGTTCCACTGAAGCATAGTGTACTCAATCTGCCTTCTGCAGAGCTGCAGAAGTCTGATGCTGATCCTGCCACTCATTAATTGCTCGCAACTAATTAATTATTTGCCCTGCATCAAAATTTGCACAAAACTTACATTAGCCAGCTCATATTTCTAAGCATAAAACAAAAAGCGCAATGTAAAAATATATAATGGTCTGTGTGACACGAAATAAAATGTAATTCAGAAATAAAATTCAAAGCTGCCAGACATAAAAGGTTATTCCTAAAACCTGTAAACCAATTGTTCAAATGGAGAGGAATGTCAGCGCTGTGCAGTAATCCCCAAAAGATTGTTCAAAGGGGAAGCTTGATAATATAATGGTTGAGTTCAAATTCCTCCTCCATAGCGGTGGATAAGGGAGAATTAGGGGTATTATTCTGTGTTAGACAGGATTAAAACTTTGCATCCAGTACCAGTGTTAAGTCACGTACCTTCAAACCAACACCAGGCAATGATCTTTCACGACTTGTCCGTCCTCACACCTTATCACTCCTTTACTCTACTTGGTCCAATCAAATGCTTCTCTTTGAGACCCATTTTCAGGTTCAGAGCGAATGTGCGTGCTGAAGATGCTTTTGGTATTGTGCTTCTAAAACCACAAAATAATATTCTCTCTATATTATTGCCAGCCAGGCACTCGTGCTTCTAAAACCACAAAATAATATTCTCTCTATATTATTGCCAGCAAGGCACTCAAGAGAAGATTTTGTGGTTTTAGAAGCACATTCATTTTGAACCTGAAAATGGGTCTCAAAGAGAAGCATTTGATTGGACCACGTAGAGTAAAGGAGTGATAAGGTGTGAGGGCAGACAATCCGTGGCAGATCATTGCCCGGTGTTGATTTGAAGGTACGTGACTGTTACCGCTGGTACTGGATACAAAGTTTTAATTCCTGTCTAACAAAGAATAATACCCCTATTTCTCCCTTATCCACCGCTGTGGAGGTGGAATTTGAACTCCACCATTGTATTATCAAGCCTCCCCTTTGAACAATCTTTTGGGGATTGCTGCACAGCGTTGCCATTCATCTACATTTCAGCTCATATTTCTCGTTACTCCTTTGGTAGCAGAGTGGTTGTACAGCTTTTAAATGCGAAATTCTGCACATAGACACCAGACATCATGACCACTACAAATCACTGAAGTAATCTTTTAATATGCTGATGCATACTCGTTAACCCTATGAAATTGCCACCTGCCGCAAATTTTAGTCTATAATTTTTATGTCGAGCTCTTTACAGGGCTATTCCTTATTTTTTACTTTTAAGAGCTGTTATAATTTTTGTTGAACTTTGCACCAGAAGGCAAAAATCATTTTTGTGTATTTCTCTCAATATACACTTTGCACCAGAAGTCAAAAATCATTTTTGTGTATTTCTCTCAATATACACTAAAATATGTATGTCTGATTGTGTCCTAATATAGCTATGAATTATTTGTGATAGTGTGTCCTAAAGTACATTGAAATAACAAATTTGTTTGTCTTATTCTAGGTTAAAATGGTCCCTGAATGTACTCGGAACTGTGCTTATCAGGAAGAGAAAGGATAACCTGTTTTAATCCTAAATTTACCTCTGTATTTGGTGCAAACTCTTGTGGACTTTTTTTTACAAAAACAGCATGGAGCACTCAAGTCGACATCTGAAATTCAAGTTACAGAGCCTGGCACGGCGTCTAGATGACTTGGAGGAAGCAACAAAGAACCTTCAAAAAGCAGAAGATGAAGTTCTGGATCTTCAGGATAAAATTATACAGGCAGAAGGGAGCAACTCTAGTATGTTGGCTGATGTTGAGGCGTTAAGGAAAAGAGTTCTAAAAATTGAAGGGAAAGATGAAGAAGTAAGGAAAGCAGAGGATTTGTGTAGACTGATAAAAGAGAAACTGGAAAATGAGGAAAATCTTACCCGAGAACTTAGATCTGAAATTGAACAGCTTCAGAAAAAGATGACTGAACTTGAGAAGTTAGAGGAAGCTTTTAACAAAAGCAAAAATGATTGCACTCAGCTATGTCTTAGCTTAAATGAAGAAAAGAATATGTCTAAAAAGTTATCTTCTGAACTGGAAACACTTAGAGCTAAGGTTAAAGAACTTGAGTGTTCAGAAAGCAAACTGGATAAAGCTGAACAATTTATAACAGGTGAACTGGAAAAAATTAAGTCTTTAACGATTAGTTTTGTCAATGAAAAAAAGTGTTTTCTAGAAAAGGAGAAGCAAAATGAAAAGTTAATTTTAGATCTTAAACAACAGTTAGAGTTGAAAGGGAAAATAACTACAGGAGATCAAGCCAGAACACAGTCTAACATGTTGGAGAGGTCTTCTGGTCATACTATAGAACGCAACAGCTTTAGGATTGAAGATGGCTTAACATCTAAATCGACCAACACAGTTGGCTCGGATTATATTAAGCAGCCAGAAAACCAAACAAGTAGCAAAAATGAAAATGAGAAAAACAAAAATCAGGAAGACAATAAAATTCGAGATCTGAATCAGGAAATAGAGAAACTAAGAAATCAAATAAAAAACTCTGAGGGTGTGGAAGATGAGTTAAAACAACTGAAGGAGAAAAATTGTAAACTGCAGGAAGACTATATTAGTGAACAAGTCAAAAGCAAGCAGTTGACTGTTGAAATTCAGGCTTTAAAAAAACAAGCCAATCAATACCACAGTCTAGAAAATGGAGTTCTTGATACAGATGACATAACGCCACATGGTAGACTTCGAAATGAAAGGAAATACAAGCCAATATCCTCTGAGCCTCAGACTTCCAAGAATGGCTCTCGAGATTTATCACCTCAGCAATCAAGAACTGAGAGGCATTTAACTAAAGACTATCAAAATTCAGATTCTCATTATAAAAAAACATTGTCGGGTAGTAGTTCAAACAGTAGGAAATCTGGAAAACCCACACTTTTGGAGACCTCACTAAGCAGTGTTAGGAAAGATGATCATGTACCATTATCTAGTCGTGTTTATGGGACAAAGGAATATGGAACAGCAAATGAAATAAAAAAGTCTAAAGATCAGCCATCTGTATTAAGCCGGTATCCACCTGCTGCTCAAGAACATACAACAAAAAAGTCATGGAAAAGCTCTACAAGTAAGCACCAAAATAGCTTTGGAGAAGACTATTCAGTTAAGGTGACACAAGCTGTTATTACTTCAAGAAAAGAAGTCTCTACTGAAGAGCAGATGATTAGGGATGCCCCCCCTTATTTCAATTCTGAAAATAAAGTTAATTTGAATCTTCATGAAGAAGTTCAGTTGCTTGAGAACTGCCCACTATCTTCCACATTGTGCACAAAAACGTATTCTGAACTCGAAGCAGTGCCTGTTATAACTGAAGTGCAAGAAGATATGCCTAAAACAATTTTGAACTCAGACGAGTATGTTGCGGAAAATACACCCCCAGACAAATCTATTAAAAACTCTCGCTTCTCAGGTAGAGACGAGTTTACAAACTATTCTTTTTCGGAAGAGGCCAAATCCTCAAATTACAATAAAGATAATATTCCAGTTGGCCAACAAGAGTTAAATTCACAGAAGTCTTACCATAACCAAGAGAGAGTACGTCTTAAATCTTCTATAAAACCTCAGATTCCTGAAAAGCCACATATTCCAGAAACCGACCATAAGGAACTGGATAAAAGGCATATTGCTCATGGGATTCACTCTAGAAAACAAGCTAGTCCTAAAGAAAAAACAAATTTTCAAGATCGGACACAGAATGTGGAAAATGATAACCAGATCTCTCAAAGAGTGTTTGTATGTGAAACAAAAAGAGTATCTTCTGATGGTTTAGAAAGTACTGAGACACAATCTCATGCTGGCATCCGGTCAAGAACATATAGTCCAAGGGAGGCTTTACAGTCCACAGTGATAGTTAAACCAGTCATCATTGAAAAGGATATGAAAGAAATCATGAGTGATTACAGAGTAAGGTCTAGCTCAGACATTAGTAGATCACAGGCCAATGCAACACCAAGCAAAGTTTCGAGCAGTATCACATTTTTTCCTTCTGATGCAGTCTCTTCTCGTATGAACACAGATGTGATGCCAAGAGAGAGACACACATCTACCAGTAACATTAGATTATCTGCAAATGATCAGACAGTGTTAAAAAATAATATTAGTATTCCTTTTGAAATATCAATAAAGAAAGAAGATATGGTATTAAAAGTGGCTATTGATGATGATGATGATGATGATGATGAAAGTGACTTGAATCTTGAAGAAATAAACAAGGTATCTGATCTAACCATCAGCCAACAGCAAAAGAAGATTAACGAACATAACCTTGAAATGGAGACTGTATCTTGGAAAAAGCATAGCATCGTCGACACAAATTATTTTGAGAGTAAACGAGGTTTTACGAGAAGTACTTTGAGAAAAGGCGTCTTAGGTTCTACAGAAGAACTAGATATACTAACTACAGAGAAAGAGGACTCAAGAGAAACAAAATATAGACGTAAATCTGTTTTAGATGAAGAAAAACCTGTCCGATTACGTCATGATGGATATTCGAGAAACAAAACCTCTAACTTATACAGTTGGTCATCTCTAGATCCAGTGTCTAAGAGGAGCCAAAGTAGTCTGACTGCCACGGAGATCATAGGAAGACGAACTCCTTCAACTGAAACTTTTTCTTCTGGCTTAAACACAAGGAATCGGTATAGCATAGAGGTAAGAAAGTATAATGTTCTATAATGTTCAAATTCTGTTTTGTTGCCTAATTTTAATATTAAACCATATGCCAGTCTCCCTCAACTTATTCCTTCCTTCTACTTGCGTTAGGAGATAAAAGCTGAATTTGAGGAGTTGTCCAAAAATTTGATATATTGCAAAATGCATGCCCTATACAAAATACAGTTGCATTTGTCTATTTTAACAAATAACCCAAAACTGTTAACATACAGCAGGAAAATGAATGTAAACAAAGGATTGGCAAAGGGAGAAGAGTGGGTAGGGCAGAATAGTGTATCATCCAATGTCTCCCATGTTTTCAGGAATAGTTAACTTATTTTCATAGGGAAGCTTTCCATAGTGTAAAGGTTACCAATCCTTGAATAAGATTCAGGTCAAAGTGGTAAGGTCAGCTCCCCTTTGCTTGTCCATTAATAACATAATTGAAGTGAACATTTTATGAACCAGACTCATTTGCTGCTTGGGTAGCTTGTGAGTGTGAAAATTACTATTCAATAGAGGAATAATGGGACAGGTGTGATAAGTGTATACTGATATGAGGCTGAAGGCAATGGTACACAACAATGCTTCCTGAGGGCAAGTCCAGAATCTATGATTGCTTGCAGAGGCTGTACATTTTTGTACAAAGGCCGATGTAGTGTAAATGATATATTAACAGCATTATTGGTCCAGTCCTAACAAGAAGGAACATTGAAGGAAAATTTTAAATATTTTATTTATAGTGCAGGCTGTTATCTTGTGTGAGCTGTAATTATATTTGACCAGTCCTCCTCACACAGGGCCTTGATGCAAAAAATAAAGCTACATATTCAAAGCTTTCATCTGTGGCATCTGGCACTAAGACATTAGCAGCAGATCCTTTAAGTCATGCAAGTTGCAAAGTGGGGCCTCAATGGGTCAGATTTGTTGTTCCAGCACATCCCAAAGATACTCAATTGAGGTTAAGGCAACACTTTGAACTTCGTTAAAGAGAAACTCTAGTTACCCAGACCACTTCAGCTCATGGAAGTGGCCTGGGTGCAGTGTCCCTGTTTCCCGTAAGCCTGCAATGTAAATCATTGCAGTTTTATAGAAACTACAATAATTACATTGCAGTACGAAGACCACCTCTAATGTCTGTCAATCAGACAACCACTAGAGGGACTTCCTGGATGTGAACAGTCTCCAGGTTACCTAACTGACGCTGGACATCCTCACGCTCTGCATGAAGACATCCAGCGTCTGTAAAAAAAGGAAAGCTGCGCATTCACCCTCTCCCATCCACCCATTCAAACCCCTGCCCACCCCAGCAGAGGAAGCAGCATACAGACTCCGCACTAAGGAACATTGCCGGTGGAATCAGGCAAGTGTAAAAAGGTGTTTTACTTTTTGTTTTTTATCCCTTTATATGCATTTGGGGGATGGGGGGGGCTGTGAAGAGGCGCACCAGAGGACACCATAGTGTTAGGAATCCAGATTTGTCTTCCTAACACCGTAGAATCGCTTTAAACCATTCCTGAACTATGTATGCAGTGTGTCATGGTGCATTATCCTGTTGAATAAGCCTCTGCTCTCAGGGAACACCGGGTACGTGGTCTGCAACAAACTGTAGGTAGGTTGTACTTGTCAAAGTAGCATCCACATGAATGCCAGGACTTAATGTTTCCTAGCTAAACATTGCCATAACAGTCCAATCAACCTCCTTCTATTGCTCCATCGTCCAGTTCTGATGTTCATATCCCCATTCAAGGCGCTTTTGGAGGTAGACAGAACAGTCTATGACTTTGCAGCCCCATACACGGCAATCTGCGATGCACTGTGTTGGCAACTTTCTATCATGGCCAGCATTAAGTTTTTCAGCAATTTGAGCTACAGTAGCTTGTGTGTGTGTGTGTGTGTGTTCCAACCAGACGGGCCAACCTACACTTGTCATGTGCATCAATGAACCGTGGGTACCTATGACCATGATCCTGGTTCGCCGGTTGTCATTCCATGCACCACTTTTGGTAGGTACTAAACACTGCATACCAGGAACTCCCCACAAGACTTGCCAATTTGGAGATGCTCTAACCCAGTCATCTAGTCGTCATGATTTAGTCCTTGTCAGTCACTCAGATCTTTTTGCTTTCCCATTTTTTTAACTTCCAGCACAAAAATTAACTGTTCACTTGCTGGCTAATATAGCCCACAAAATTTCTGGAAGACCCCACTGTTCACAGCATAGTTAATACCTTTAAGGGCAGGGGCAATTGTACAAGTCCTGACTAAACAAAAACTTAGAATTTGAGCTATATGTTTGTTCAGCCATAGTTTACCTTTTTCATATTAAGGTTCCCACACACTTATTATATATCGGTTTGTACAGGAGAAATTGGGCTTTCATTTCACATCAAATATTTATATATGGAACACAACTGAATATGAATTTTTTTAAAAGTATGAGCAATTAAAAATTGTTGTTAATATCCAAGTTCTCCATGGTATTTTACCAGTGAATGTCATAATTCTGTTAGATTTTACTGCAAACAAATTCCAAATATTTTTATCCTGCCACGAGTACAATGATTCCCTCCGTGTAGAGATTTGCCAGATTGGTTTGTTGGACCTATGTTGCCTTTAAGACCATATGGCAGCCCAGGAATGAGGACTGCCCTCATCACAGCATACCATTTGCAAAAGTAAACAACCCAGGGTATTCATAAAAAGGTATGTCTAGTCTTTTCAGTAGCCGCTTAATAATAATTTTGGCCAGGGTTTTGTTACTAATGTTTTCTTTTGTTTTGTTTTTTACACACAAACAGCACTTTCACGGCTGCTCTAAAACATTTATATTTGTGTTCAGCAATGTTTCACAAGTACAACAGTCTTGGTTGTTCAGTTTTTATAGTTTTGCAGAGTATATAATTGTGCTAGTTGGGACCTGTGATATATAGATCCACACAGGAATATTTCATTTATCTCAAAATACCTTGGTGAAGCTTATTTTTTTTTTCTCTGTTTACAATAGTATGCTGCTGGAGAAAGCATTGTACTTGTAATTTTTGTGATATTCACTTTTTTGGGAGTATTCTCTAGCTATGTATAAAATCCAACAGAGTTGGAAGTCCAACCATGTGTTGTTATGAATAAAATGTAACAGAGCTCCCTGTACCCCGACTGGGTACTTCCGCAAAGGACAGCTTCCTAGCTGGAACAGGGGTCAAATCACAGTACTTGACTGGGGTCCTGGAACCGCTCCTTCCTGGAGCCGAATGGGGAATTAGCCCTAGTCCTTACAAGGACTTTCCCCATTGAATCCCCTGCAAGCTGGAACAGCAGACACAGGAGTAAATCTTTTTTCCCTCCAATAACAGGACGACACGCCGTTTTGGAGTGTAAGCTGGAATAGATTTTAATGGTGCCACACTTTGCCTTTTATGCAAGTCCCCAAGCAAGGGGTACGCCCACATGGACCTTGTTGGGGACAGGGACACAAAACTTACAAACCAATAATAACACATTTACAATGTAATGCACGCCAACACATGACACACAATCCCTCCCCTCTGCTTGAGACATAATTGGATCAGTAACTGTACTAATTCTAATCCGATTATCTCCAAGCACAGAAAAAACATGCATTTCTAAAAAGTCCCAAAAGTACCCCAAAACACATGATATCCCCACATGGTCCTATGCCCAAAACAGTTCTATGAAATCAGTGCTAACGGTCGGTAAAGTTTGGTAATCTTTTACAGGTTTCCCTGCAGGGCCCATAGTCTGTGGGCAGGAGGCTGGCAAGCAGGCTCCTCCAGGAGCTCGTGGCAAACTGACTTGGAGAGGGGAGTTTGTCACATATAATTTTTCTGGATAGCAGACCACTGCAACTCATGTCAACTTGTACTGCAGAATGTGTTTCCCTTTAGCTAAAATAAAAGGATGCCATTTGAAATATGCAAACTTTTTTTGAAGTCCTATTAAATGTTCATTTGTGCGTTTTTGTGAAAAATAGGTTTGTGAATAATATTTGCATATATTCCTTCAACCAATAAGCAAGTAAGGAAGCAAGGTCCATTTTCATGATCCATGCATGTGATTTATTATGCCCATGATTGTTAGGGCCTTTTGGTAAACAAACTCATTGCAAGAACTTAATGGGAAACTATAGGCACCAAAACAAAGTATGAATCAGTTTTGGTGTATAATTCATGCCTCTGTAGACTCACTGCTCAATTCTCTGCCATTTAGGAGTTAAATAACTTTTGTTTATGCAACCCTAGTTACACCTCCTTGAATGTGACTTGCACAGCCTTCCTAAACATTTCCTATAAGGATACATCTAATGTTTAAACTTACTGCATACAGTAGTACAGTTTGTTTAATTCAGAATTTCTCATCTCCTGCACTGTTAATAGCTTACTACACCTTGCAGGAGCCTCCTGTGTGGGATTTAAAGTTCAATTTACAGAGAAGGAGATAAAACCTTATATAAGTAAGTTTTATATCTAATTGAAAGTGAAACCATTTGTGTGGCTAGAGCTGAATGGACAGAAACAAGTAATTTAATTCCTAAATGGCGGAGAAATGAGATTGCAGGGGCATGTGAGGTGACAATTAATGAAACTCCATTGTGCCCCTATTTGTAGACATGCATATACCACCATTAACCAAAAAAAGCAAACATGCATATACCACCATTAACTGAAAAAAGCAAATGCACCTCCGTGTAAAAGGGTTCATTTACCTGGGTGAAAACTCCCTGTGGCTGTAATAAAAGCTTGATATTTGAAACATCAACTCGCCAATATGTTAATCTCATTAATAATTCAAACATTTCTGAATTCTTCCATTTGCTTGTTCAGAATCTTGTTCAACCAACACTCTAATACAGATACCTGTGCTATCAAATTTTTTATTTTATAGTAAACCTAATTTTGTCTCATTTTATTTATTTACCTTTTTTTTTTATTTTTTTTTTATTGACCTTCATTTCAGGATGGAGACATGCTTCGCTCCAGGAGGAGAAAGTATGAAATTGGTAAACTGACCAGCATTGATTCTGTAGAAAGAAAGCCATCCTCCAGGCAGGAACTGCTGCAAAATCAGCGGCATTCGAAGAGCATGGTAGGGGAGCGAATACGGCAGCTGGAACATTAGCCGAACTGGAAATACCTAAAACAGAAGGTAAAGTTTTTAAGTCATTTGACTTTTCTAGGCAATCCGTAACCCACCAACTATTGATTGAATATAAAGAGAATTTGATGGGGAATATTTGGCACTTCAGCTCTTGTTGTCTACAATTACAATGATGCCCAGCCTGCCATTGGACTTATTGGGTGTTAGTCCATAGCAACTAGAATTCCAACCCTCAGCGGAAGAGTGTGTTTTTTTGTGGTGCGTTTTTTGTGACTTATGTTTGATCTGTCAATGTTGTGTAAAATATTTTAGCCCAAAACATATTTTAATAGTTGGTAAAGCACAAAAAAAAACTGCTTGCAACAAATGCTGCAGACCATCAGTTTGCAGCCTTTGCAACCTCTTCCTTCTTTCCAAAGCACAACCTTTCATGGATCCGTGAGGGCAGATTTCCTTTTCTTCTTAATCAAATGGTGACAGCCGGGAGGTGTTTCTGCTGCAATTATAAAATTTCCAATTTCAGTAGAAATAAGCACTTTTAGTTAGTGTGTGTGTTCCTTTTTAATGTACCAGTGTTCATGGTATTTTATTTCCTTACAGGTTCATTTGTCACACAGTGGAATAGACCAATGTTTTCTAGAGAAAACAAATCTTTACATCTTCATCCCAATTGCTATTGAGATATATATATATATATATATATATATATATATATATATATATATATATATATATATATATATATATATATATATATCTATATCTATATCAATGAAGGAGCACTCCAAGGGATTTTTCAAACTTGTTTATAATCCGGTGTTGAAAAAATCAATCATCAACGTTTCGACCCAATGGGGTCTTTATCAAGATAACAACAACCTCAAATTAATGTGCATATATACAAAAATACAAATGAATCTAACTTACCCCACCTGAGAAGTGAAGCCCGCTCACCAAGTGCCGCCGAGTAGTGCGCATGCGTAGTGACGTCACCGGAACGGTGCGTCATGACGTGTGTGCGTACGTGCGTGATAACGTGATCATGTGATCCCATGGACCGCAAGCGTGTCCATGGAAACCTGAACCGATAAAAACAAAGCAGAAGGAAAGATAGGAATCTACAGACCGGACAAGTCATCAAATATTGATAAGCCACAATTGAAATAAATGAATAAATAAATACACAGAGTGTAGCTAGGAGAAAAACGTGAAGAAAAGAGAAAATAAAAACATAAGAGGATAATAGGAAATAAAGACGAGAATGTGTAAAGAAAAAGTGAAAGAAAGTGAAGAAAAAGAGTGAAAAAACACAAATAAGAGCCTCTGAAAAGAGACAAAATCGTGATGTGTAAGAAAGAAAAGTGAAGTGTGTGAATAGACATATACATCTGAAAAAATGTGAAAGAAGGAGAATAGAAGAGAAATAAGACCTAGTACACCTCAGAATCCTAAACACATGTAATCCAATCATATAAAATCCATATATAATAGAGACAAATACCGATCATACTTCCAGGTGTACATCAGATACAGAATAATATTACTGATAGACATATATATGTATGTTAAGTTCCTACACATACAACAGTAAATAAACTTCACAGATTGCATTATGGTAATAAAGAAAAATGCAATAATGCAGAGGCCAAAAAATATGTATATATAAGGCCTAAAAAATAAAAAATAGACTAGCGTCTCTCCAAAAAAGAGTTAAATGAAACATATTCGTTCAATCCTTTGGGTTGTAACGTGTCCAATTGTTTGATCCAGAAGGTCTCCCTTTGGAGTAATAACTTTGACCGGTCACCTCCCCTGATTGGAATAGGTATAACATCTATAGCAATAAATTTAAGCATGGGTAATCTGTGATTAAATGCGAGGAAGTGTTTAGCCACCGGTTTGTCCGTTATACCTTACCCATTGCACTTTTAAACGCTCTGTTCATGTGAAGTATCTACTTTTGTACTCCAGACAGAGAGACCGACCGTTAGCCCTAATTCTCTGGAACTATTTTGGGCATGGGACCATGTGCACGGTCGGTCAAAAATAAGACTTCCAGGAAATTCTTGAACCCCTTAACTGATCTGGGAGATTACCCATGCTTAAATTTATTGCTATAGATGTTATACCTATTCCAATCAGGGGAGGTGACCGGTCAAAGTTATTACTCCAAAGGGAGACCTTCTGGATCAAACAATTGGACACGTTACAACCCAAAGGATTGAACGAATATGTTTCATTTAACTCTTTTTTGGAGAGACGCTAGTCTATTTTTTATTTTTTAGGCCTTATATATACATATTTTTTGGCCTCTGCATTATTGCATTTTTCTTTATTACCATAATGCAATCTGTGAAGTTTATTTACTGTTGTATGTGTAGGAACTTAACATACATATATATGTCTATCAGTAATATTATTCTGTATCTGATGTACACCTGGAAGTATGATCGGTATTTGTCTCTATTATATATGGATTTTATATGATTGGATTACATGTGTTTAGGATTCTGAGGTGTACTAGGTCTTATTTCTCTTCTATTCTCCTTCTTTCACATTTTTTCAGATGTATATGTCTATTCACACACTTCACTTTTCTTTCTTACACATCACGATTTTGTCTCTTTTCAGAGGCTCTTATTTGTGTTTTTTCACTCTTTTTCTTCACTTTCTTTCACTTTTTCTTTACACATTCTCGTCTTTATTTCCTATTATCCTCTTATGTTTTTATTTTCTCTTTTCTTCACGTTTTTCTCCTAGCTACACTCTGTGTATTTATTTATTCATTTATTTCAATTGTGGCTTATCAATATTTGATGACTTGTCCGGTCTGTAGATTCCTATCTTTCCTTCTGCTTTGTTTTTATCGGTTCAGGTTTCCATGGACACGCTTGCGGTCCATGGGATCACATGATCACGTTATCACGCACGTACGCACACACGTCATGACGCACCGTTCCGGTGACGTCACTACGCATGCGCACTACTCGGCGGCACTTGGTGAGCGGGCTTCACTTCTCAGGTGGGGTAAGTTAGATTCATTTGTATTTTTGTATATATGCACATTAATTTGAGGTTGTTGTTATCTTGATAAAGACCCCATTGGGTCGAAACGTTGATGATTGATTTTTTTCAACACCGGATTATAAACAAGTTTGAAAAATCCCTTGGAGTGCTCCTTCATTGATTATACATACCGAGGCTTGGAAGCACCCGGGTAATTTTTGTATTTTATTTGCATTTAAAGGAAGAGTGCCAGAGTTTGCTTTTATTTATATATATATATATATATATATTCTGTTGCCATTTATATAGCGCCAACAGATTCCGTAGTGCTTTACAATATATATAATATTTTAAAGAAACACTCCACAAAGCAACACTAGTAAAAATAATTGGGTTAGAGCATGAGCTTTGCATTTAAATAAGATGTATTCTTACATTTTGAAACCACTCAGTTACCTTTAGAATTTGTTGCATGTTATACAACAAGGCCTTGTGTTCCCTGCTTGGAATGTGGCAGGCCAGAGACATAAACCCCCCAATCTCCCACACGCTAGCATTGTCTTCTCCTGTCTTCAACACATGGTGCTTATCCACCAGGAGCAATGTGAGTGCTTTACACTCTGATGTTTTTGAGGGTCAGCATAAACCTTAATAGATAAGGTCTCTTAGCAAAAAAAGATTGTTTAATTCTCACAACCATCCCAAGTATCTAGTGAGAGAATTGTCAATTCAATAAAATTCCAGTGCAGTCAATAAAAAAACATTTAATAAAGCTTTTATCTTTATAAAATACTCAGAGCTGCAGCTTAAAGGAACACACCAGACCTCCAGAGCACATTATCTTGCTGAAAAGCTTTATGTGTAAAGAGTGTGTCCACCTTTGTTTTTTTTTTTGTTTTTTTCATTCATTTAAAAAAAATTTTTTTAAAATACCCTGTTACGGACCGCCTAGCACCCCGACCGGGTTCCTCCATCAATTGCTGCTTCCTAGTACTTGCGAGCACCATAAGCACTGTACTGGAACATCATAACCACCGTAGACCCCGCGAACTGCCTCCACCCTCCCTGGACACAAGACCAGGATCCAGCTTCCAGTAGGTAGACCTCTCCTAGTCCAGAGAGTGTAGCAGGAACAGCTGTTATAAGAGCTAGTGATTATACTCAAAGGAGTATTGTGATATAGCAATCCCCAGAGTGTATGTAGTTCTCCAATCCCCCAAACATGAGACAAGACTTCATGGAAGGGTAAACGAATCTCCGTTTAATGGGAGCCATACTTGGCCTTATATGACAATCCCCATGCAAGGGGTACGTCCACATGGACCTGATGGTAGACTGATTTGCAACTTCACCGACCATTAACAATAAGGTTACAAGGCACGACACTCCCACACACAATCCCATCCCTCTGCCTGGGAGATAATTGGATCAGTAACTGTACTAATTCTAATCCAATTATCTCCAAGCACAGAAAAAACATACTTTTTTTTAAAACACCCCAAAGGTACCCTAAAAATACATAAAACCCCACAAATGTTACATCCCGTGATAGCCCTGATCTGGGTGACCAACATATCCAAAAATCACCCAGATCAGTTAAGGGGTTCAAGAATTTCCTGGAAGTCTTATTTTTGACCGACCGTGCACATGGTCCCATGCCCAAAATAGTTCCAGAGAATTAGGGCTAACGGTCGGTCTCTCTGTCTGGAGTACAAAAGTAGATACTTCACATGAACAGAGCGTTTTAAAGTGCAATGGGTAAGGTATATTGCAGGGCCCATAGTCCTGAGGCAAGAGGCTGGGCAGAAGGTTCCTCCAAGAACCCGTGACGAGGTTCAGTTCGGCACATACACCCACTGAAAAAAATACATAACTAAATGCATGCAAGGTTTCATTTTGGGCATATCTACTCTACTTGAAAGGGCTCAGCTGAAAATGTTAGATTGGCAGACTGCAGGAAAAGGCCAGATGTTTTATTATAGTTTGAGATCTCTGTTGCCGATAGTTGCAGGCCAATTGCTGTACACCTTCCTTTTTAACTATGTATTCTAAAATAATCTGTTTCAGAACACCTTTCATCACCCAAGGCACATTGCATTAATAGATAGTTTTTGATTTATGTGAGGAGATACTGGTAAAATGTATTGTTTTGGGGTTGGGGGTGTTTACTTTGAACTTTGATAAACTATTATATCATGCATGTATCCTCATTACAGAATGAATTTCAAAATGTCATATAAAATAAGCAGGATTAAAAAAAAAAAAAAGAGACCCTTTCTTGTAAGAGAAGTGGATCAGTGGTCTGGAGATCTCATTTTTGTTCTTATATGAGCAGTAGGGAGTTTAGTCCTAGCCAAAAGGAATAGAACACAAATTTGGTAGGAGCATGTCAGAAAGTAAAAAGGACATGTAATTATAAAGGTAGATCATTTTCTCTATGCTAACGATCTGATTTCACCATTGGAAGCTAGTCCTGCTTCACCAATCATCTCCAACTTTGAACAGCAAGAACTCTTGAGGAAACCACTTTTCCTCAGTGATAGACTGAGATATGTAGCGTTGACCCTTACAGCCTATACAGATTCCAACCCTTTCATAAGCACAATGCCAACTATGACTTTTGAAATCTCCACTCACATATATGGCTAACACTACTTGTATTGCCTTGAACCACTCCCTTCCCATATTTGTAGGAATAGAAATGAAGAGTTGTGGCCAGGGTGTGTTTTTTTTTGTTTTTTTTATTATTTTTTAATTTTTATTTTTTTTTAAGATGAGACTGTTATATTGGACTTGCCTCCAAAATATGTCTCTTTTAGCATCTGTCCTTGCTCCATACATAAATATATTTAAGAGAAGTATTTATCTTGTTACTTGGAAACTTATTTGAGTCACGCAATTGGAGAGTTGAACTAATGGTGTTGTTGCCAAACATGACCATCAATGGCAGCCCTTTACACTTTTAATTTAAATAGAGCAAATGTGCTTGGCATGGTCTTAACACCGTTTCCTGTTTGTGGTTTCAGGTCTTGTTGAAAAGTAAAGACAGTCCCGTCTGCACACTCCACTGAATGCTGAAGATGCTGCTTGTTCAACAAATTAATCTACTCCACACACTTCTAAGCATTGAATTGTGACCTAAACAAACTTGTACAGTTTTTATTTTATTTTATTTCATATTATTTTGCTTTCCATTATATTTGGTAAGGGATAAAACTGCATGATCTCTCAGGGTAACAAGGAGGGCACAGGTATTGTAATTGTGTATATAAGATCAGTGCTAAATAAAAAAGCTATTGGTATATGTATGTCTGTATATATTTTTATATGAATATATACATACACAATAGTTTGTGTGTGTATATGTGTGTATATATATATATATATATATATATATATATATATATATATATATATATATAACAAAGATTGTTTGCTGCATGGATGCTGCTCTTACATGCATAGGTACCGTAAGTACATTGTATTTCTTAAAATCCACTTTAACCTTTAACTAGTAAGTGGCATGTTGGAGCAGTTTTGCAGTGTTTTATTTTTTTCATTTGAAATTCTCTGTACAGTGTGGTTCTGTTTAATTGATATTAAGCGTGTACCAATGTATAAATAACGTATCAATGTATGGTTTCTTACATCAGCTTTAATGGATGTGTAAATACAAGTAAAAAGCAGACTCCTAGAAGCATGTGGCATATTGTGTTTTTTGTTATGCTTTTAGCCATCGCCACTTGGCAAAATTGGAGCCTTATCGTAAATGTGGCTATATATATCATTTCCTGCACAAAACAATCTTTCATAGGTCTTGTGGTTTTTTTTGTTTGTTTTATTTTTTGTTTTATTTTTATTACAGTCAAAAATGTTTAAAACACTACTGAATAAAACTCATGTCTTATAATCAGATGTAGTAGCAGTTCAACAAATTTGCAGGATTTTTTTCGTAGGCACTTATGAGTAATAATGTATATTGATTACTTTTAATAATCAATACAAAGAAAAGCACTAAGACAATGTATATGATCCTTAAGTCCCCATATATCTTTTTTTTTTTATCTGTGTTCTAAACAATTGCAAATCAAATAAAAGGAAGCATCAAGGGATCATACTACTTACATGTCTTTTAATAATTATGTAAAAATATCACAAACTAGGTTGAAGGGGCATTTATCTGTTATATTAGTTTTACTTTTTGTTATCAATCTGTCCTGTGAGATGTAACTTGTATAAACACACTCACATGCCAAATACAAGAAACTTGGACTTCAGGAGATTATTTGCTAAACACTGTGTTGTGGATTGAAATAAATTGCAACATTTAGGCAAAAATATTTCAACTTTAACTTAAGCATAGTTGGGGAGACACACACACACACACACACACATATATATATATATATATATATATAATTTCTCCAACATAATCTATTTTAACCAAATTGAGTTTTCCATTTACTACAATTTGGTGTTTAGAGAATAAGCCTTGTAGTTGACTGGTTAAGTGTACTGTATGCATGTATAATGCCTTATCAGATATGCAGGATTGTCTTCCAAGTGAGTGAAATAATTGGGTGACCCTCACTGATCTTTTTTATGGTGTGGGAATAACTAATGCATTTTAGTGTATGTTCTCCACAGTGGAATTTTTGCCTTGCGCTACCTCCTTAAGAGGGATGATCAATGTTTCAGACTCCAGTCCAATTGTCTCATTACTACCTTGTTCTATCAATAATTCTGTGTATAGGGAAGTACTGCAGAGCCTCACCGCAATATAATTATAGCAATTCGTCTTAAAGGACAGCCACATCCCCAAGAACACCACTGAAAAAATGTGATCTTTACTAAATTGGCAACTGTGTAGGATTGACACCGGAATTGCAACTTTTTGTACATACTAGAACAGGGTTAGGCAACGTTTGGCACTCCAGATGCGGTGGACAACATCTCTCACAATGCTCTTGCAGCCATAATGCTGGCAAAGCATCATGGGAGGTGTAGTCCTGTACTCGAACGAACAGAAAAGTAAATCTCAAACACCGCTAATGTTCCAAATTGGTTATTTAGGGATAACCTTTCTAATTCCCTCATCAATTCAACATAATTCTTAGTTTTATAAAATAAAACCGTATGTGTTTCTCTTTATTCACGAAAAAAGTCGATGTGCATTAAAACTGCTGTCAGAATGCAAATTTGTCCCATGTTACCATGTATTTAATTATATTTATTTAGCTTAACGCATACTGATACTTGTAAGATTCATTCCTGACACACAAAAGGTCAATCTATATTTTAACATGTGCATCAATGTTTAATGTACTGTAATCTACTAAAATAGGTAATATGTCGGTATAAGATACATTTTGCAGTATAACTCACTTGATGAGCTAAATGCTATCATTTTACACTTAGATTCCAACATTACAGTATTTTTGTAATAACCCGAACGTTGATTTATTTTTATTTCCTTTTTTTTTTTTTTAAAGAACTAGCTGACTGTGATGTCCTGTATATAAAATAATTATAACCCGAAATACCTATTTTTGTAAGAAATGAAAAGATTGCTGATATTTGACGACACCTGTCTTTGAGTTTTCACATAGTATTTGTTGCATCCATTTTTAAATTGCCAGTTTCTAGCAAACATTTTATATGGTTTTATTATAAGAACAATGCTCTAGTTATGGGTAAAGTCTAACATTCATGCTCAATCAGTAAGATATCAGAATCTGAGAATGTTGCCAATTTTCAATTTAATTCCCTTTTTTTGCAGTTTGAGTTTACAATATTTTGAGTGTGTGTGTATACGCATGCACTATATTTTATATATATATATATTAATATAGTAATTATTTTGAAGGACCAATCATGGTCAAAAAGGGAATCCTTTTACTTGCTGTAAAATTTGAACTTTGTATTCCTAGATAGGATATTCAAAACAACATGGTTTCCCAGAATGTTTTAATAATGCCATTAAGCCCTGTGCGTAAGAACCTTTCGAGCAATGTTTTTATTTTCACCAATGTTTGAAGTAAGGAAACTCACAAAGCTGAGCCGCAAAGAAGTGCACTTTTTAAATAGATTGTCTGCTTGTAGAATCTGTTTGAATGTATTTTCATAAGATTGCAAAAGACATAAACTAAAGCATTCTAAAAATGCCATCATATGTTTGTAGCATATTCCAAAATGTTGGCAAAGTTTTTCTAAAGCTGAAATTAGAATAATATTAATCTTGCAATATATAAATAACAAAACATATCTCTTCTGAGGTTCACTTTTTTCTGCTGTTTCCTCAGCCATCAGGTTTTGTTGGTACAATTTTCATCTAAAGGTGCCTGTTCCACCTACAGAATTGATGGCTCTAGTATCGAATGGGAAAATCAAAGGAAAAAAAACCTTTTATTTACTTCATAGTTTTAAACACTCACCAAATAAAATCTGAAATGCTTAGAAAGCAGGATTGGAGAATAGAATTATATTCGGCATGATACCAATATTAACACAAAATGTGATCTACTTAAAATATCATTTCAATTTCATTCTGCATTTAATATGTGAAATTAGTGTGATATTCCTTGCGCTATCTAATCATAAAATTTTATTTAAAAAAAATGAAATTGCTCCTTTAAGAAAGACCACGCAGAGAATTACATTTTAAATACATTTTGTTTTAGATTCTATTTTTGAGTAATTATGAAATGTATCCACGGTAAGCAAGTCCAAAGCCTATCCAGAGCATTTTTTTACTTTTGAAATTTAAACTATGACCAACCAGTTACTCCGATTATATAAATGTAAATGTGTTTGCAAGAAGAGTAAAATACAAAATAGAACAAAACTCCGACATCAGCACTTTTACTTTTCTAAGTGAAGAGATCTATGTTTTAATTGGTGCATAATGGTGTGACACCAAGGACATTTACGCAAGGCATTGTGGGACTCTATTGTGGTTTGCTCTTACTGATCTCTACCAGTACAGGAGTTTTGGGTCTTAAAGCTTGCGCATTTATATAGAGCTGTATACATTTAACCTATGTATGGTTTGTTTCTGTTAAATACCTGTCATGTCTGAAATAGGACGCCTCCTCATTTAACTGTATCTTGCACCGGCCTAATCCACTGATTTTCTCATGGATTGGAAATATATATAAATGTATGTAGAGGTTTTTTTTTTTGTTTGTTTGTTTGGTTTTTTTTCCAAGCTGCTTACTCTTGCAATGTGCAAATCTATCTCACATTCAAACCTGGAAAATGTGTATTTTTGGCATTTTGTTCTGTATAAACTGTTGATACATTCCTCTATCCATGAATTGTTTTATCTTAATTGTGACTGTACAGATTATGGTCATCAAGGATCTTTGATAATAAAATGCTTATGAACCATTTCTTGTACCTGGTGTCTATAACTATAAACGATCTGGTTTGACTATTTCTCTAATTTAATTCCAGGGCACTGGCAGTCCCACATGGTGCTGTGCATGGTATTTGTTTTTTACTTTAATTCAACATTTTTCTAGTATGATTGTAACGGCCCCCTCAGCATAAAAGATTTAACCGCCGTTTAGTAGATCTTCCCCTTCTAGAGATACAGGCACAGCTACTGCAGAACACCAAACTCCCGAACCGCATACAAAATAGCACTCCAAACTCCCGAACTGGAACCTCACGAATAGCTGCTAGCAGACGAACAGGAAAAGCACCCAAGCAGCTTACACTCCTGGCAATCAGTCTCTATCAGCATACAGTAAATCCCCCAAAGACGAGACAGAGCTCAGTGTTCTGGGTCAAGCAGTGGTCTGTTTTAATGAGGGCTACCTGCCCAGTATTTATACAGGTCTCCCACCTGGTGGACACTCCCCTAGGGGACCAAATGGGAGACTGACAAAGGATAGACATGAACCATTGACAGACACACAGAGGTAAAACATCCCCACAATGCATCCTAACTTCCCTCCCTCTGTCCTGGAGATAATTGGGAAGTAATCCAATTATCTCCCAGGACAGAGGCAAAACTCTATTACCCACATGGTTACAGTAAAACACTAAAACACAATATTACATTTATCACACAAAATATATACTTGCAACCCATCCCCAGATAGCTGGGATCTGAGCGCACAAAAGTACCGAATAGCGCTCAGATCCTATGAACACAGTCCAATCGTCGTGGAGTTAGTGTTCCTAGAGCATGTTCTCCATACGAATAGACTCCACGGGATGTCTATCTGGGGTAATGCTGTTCATACGGTTTAAACTACCGAATGAACAGGCATTCGCTTAACTGACCGAATGCAGAAGCAAGGAGGCTGATGGCTCAGCGGTGTTCGCGCAAATAAGTGTCCGTTTACAGTTCCACAGTTTGGGCGCTGAACACCGCATGGATTTTAAAATGGCCGCCGCCACGTGTTCGGCAACCGAACAAAGGCTACCCAGCATTCATCAATTAAGCTGCGGTTAACCGCAGCTTCTGGGAGGTTAATTGCCGACACACTCTAGCTCCCAGGTGGTCCAGTTATTCGTGCGTGCGTTCGGTAGATTGAATCTACCAACCGCCGGGCAGAAAGGCACGAATAAGCCTTTTCTGCAGGGGAAAATAAGTCTTTTAACATGGTGCCATAATCCAAAGGCAACAGGCGAGCAACCAGGCTTCTCCAATGCAATGTGGTGAGATTGCTCTCGTCACAATGATTGTATAGTACAACTCAAAAATATGGAAAAATACACGTTGACAATGGTTTGTATTGGTTTTAAAAACAATATCCTCAAAAGGTTTACATTGTAAAATTTACATTTAGTGGAACATTAAGCTATCCAACGTTGGTTCAAGGGTTCAGCAAATCTTTTCCCCTTTAAGTGTAGGGGGAAATTACCACATAAAAAGTGGCAGAGGAGGACACTGTAAAAAGCATGGGACAACATAGGCAATCAAACACTGATAGAAAGATGAAATGTATGTTTTGCAGTGTATAATAAAGAATGAGGAGTAGTAAGCCTTAAGAAGCCAAATTATTTCTTGGAAGTCTGAAATAAGTTGGTAGAGGCAATAGAAGTAAACTGATTCATATATAATCAAAGAGCAAATGGTTATTTGGATCAGGTTGCAGATCTTATGAAAGGTGAAAATTGGGACCTGTCTGTGGTGGAACCGCTGCCTGTTCGTGGAACTTCTGTTTTACGTGTATTCCCCTGTGTTTCCCATTCAGGAGTGCTTCCACGAAGGTATGTTAGAATGTTCACACCTAGCAACATAATTCACAAAACAGCAAGGGAAACAATTAGTGAGTACTTCCCTGGGTGGCCGCCATCCGTACAGACGAATGACACCAGGGGTAGCATTCGTGGATTGTTTCCCGACTCGTTAGTCTCCAGAACGAGGACCACCCTGGTGCCCCATTAGGACGTTCGCATTCGTAACATAGATGTGAACCCACAAGGAACGTAATTAATGAGTGGTGGCCACCCAGGGGAGCACTCATTAATTACTTCCCTTGCGGTTTCACACTTATGTTGCGAACGTCTTGATTGGTGTGAACGTTCTAATGGGGAACCGGGGAGGTCCTCGTTCGGGAGATGAACAAGTTGGGAAACAATCCACGAATGCTCTTCCTGGTGGCATTCGTATAGACTAACACCAGCCAGGGGGAGCTTAGGTACCCCGAAAGGAGACGCTTCAATTGTCTAGGGTTACACACCAGGACCTCTCGAATGGAGACTAGTCGATCGAGGGTCCCTGAGATTGGTGTGGGCACTTTTGGTGCACTGGTGACTTTTTGTAGGCTCTTCTGAGCCTAAGGGACACAGACCAGCTCTTTTCCCGCGGGCGTTGGTGTGGGGCAGTTGGTGTTGGGGACCCTGTGGATTTAGCGGCAGGCTTTGGGGACAAAGGAAACTTGGTTCCTTTCTGCGCTGGGACCCCAGGCACTTGTACCAAGGCTGAGCTGAGTGCCGCTCTCATGGAGGCTGATCGGCAAAACAGTGGGGCAGCTGTACCCCAGCCAGAGGGCGAAATGGATGCCATTCACAAAGAAGTGACCCAACGTACTACAAAGATACCCCCCCCGGGGAAATCATGAACAAGGTCTTCTCCGAGGTCTAAGCCTGTGTCTTGGCTCAGAAGAATGGGGTGAACTCCACAAAGCCCGACGAACGAAGCGCGGGAGTCCAGCAACCCCGCATGAAAGCATAAACCGCCCTTTGGCTACCTTCTTCAGGGCTTCCATGGCCAGTGCCTCCTATGAGACGTCGGCCCCGCAGACTGGATCACCATCCTGGCCCGGAAGCTAGCAGGGAAGGCGGCAGAGGGTAACCGGGCCGTATCAAAGGACAAGCTCCGGGAGTATGACTTTGTGAAACAAGTCCTGCTAGCCTGATATGCCATAACCCTGGAGGCATACCGCAGGAAGTTCAGGGAGACTAAGAAAGGGGAGAAGGACTCTCCATGCGGAGTGGGCCTGCCGCATCACCCGAGCCACCCAGAATTGGATAAACTCACAGTAGGCAAAGTCTCCTGATGAGATCCTCCAGCTGTTTATGTTGGAGCACTTGTAAATGGGCTCCTGACCGAGGTGCAGGAATTGGTGAGAGACAGACTTTAGCAGAAGCAACCAAGTGGGCCGAAGAGTTTGCAGATACCCGGAGGCCCCAACCCCCCAGTGCCTCTCACAGCTACCGGCCCCCCATAAGACTCTTTCCAACACCTTCACCTGCCACAACAGTCCCGCTCCATGACTCAGATACCTCCTTAGAGGGCACTGACCAGATCAGCGATGCTTTCAGTGCCTTAAGCAGAATTGTCCCCAGTTCCAAGGCCAAGCCCAGTGGCCCCTCCTGCCCTGTGAGCAGCAGCCCTCTGTTAGCAGGCTGCTCCCACCATACTTCCTGCATGAGGCAAACCCCATCCAAGCCGCCACTGACAACAGAGACCACCACAGACAGCCGATTCGGCTGAATGGGCGCACTGTCCAAGGGCTGCGAGACACCGGAGGCACCGTAACTCTATTGTTCAAGCCCAGCTCATCGCAGAGGAAGAGAGGACCGAGGAATCAGTGGCAGTCCAGGTAGTCATGGGATCCATACACTGCCAACGTCCAACTTGACTGGGGCGCTGGAGCCCAGCGACTAGAAGTCGGTCTCATGGACCAGCTGCCCGCGCAGATGCTTCTCGTCAATGACCTGGGCCATCTTTCCTCCACCTATGTGCTCCCCTGAGGAGACCTACCCAGTGACGACCAGGCAGCAAGCCCACACCACCCAGCACGGCTCACACTCTGAAGCTCAGGTAGGCACCCGTCCCCATACCCCAGTTGCACGCAGGCACCCCTGTAAGCAGACCTTGGGATACCTCTGCTGAGTTTGGGAGGGAGGTAGTATCTGACCCTACCCTCCAGACATATAGGGATATGGCAGCCACTGGTCAGGTGGGGAGGGACGGGGAACGATTTATCTGAGATAGGGGATTGCTATACCGCATAGCGGAAAAGGGGAAGGCAGGAACAGCTCCTACTACCACCAAGCAATTGGTGGCTCCCAGGAAATATCATCATGACCTATTGAAGATAGCTCACGATATCCCCCTGGCAGGGCATTTGGGAAAGGGTTGTACTCGGCATTGGCTTACCCAAAGCTTTTTCTGGCCAGGCATCTCAAAGGCTCTGAGGTGGTATGCCCAGACCTGTGATGTCTGCCAGAGAGTGGGGAAGCGAGGAGATCAGGACAAGGCCCCGCTTCAGCACCTACCCATCATTGAAGACTCCTTCAGCAGAGTAGCTGTCGATATCATAGCTCCCCTGGCTAAGCCTCGCCCCTCTGGGAAGAAGTATATTCTGACCATTGTGGACTACTCAACTCGGTACCCCAAAGCAGTCATCCTGAGCAACATTCAGGCAGAGACTGTGGCTGAAGCCCTGATGCAAGTGTTCTCCCGGATGTTTTTTCCCCGTAGATCCTTTCGGATTGGGGCTCCCAGTTTACTGCCGAGATGACTAACTGTGGAGGTTATCCGGCATTAAAGTGATCCTAAGCTTCCCCTATCACCCCAAGACCAGTGGCCTGTGTGAGCCCTTCAATGGCATGTTGAAGCAGATGCTCCGTACCTTTGCAGTGAATAGCAAGGATTAGGAGAGATTACTACCGCATCTCCTGTTTGCATATTCGGAGGTGCCTCAGGATTCTCTCCATTTTAATTAATGTTCGGATGGAGGGCTAGAGGACACCTAGATCTTGTCAGGCAGCACTGGGAGGGGGAGCAGGAAGGGACCCCCATTGTCCCATATGTGCTGGAGTTTTGGGACCAGCTGGAGGAACTCTCTCACCTGGTGAGAGGGAACCCGCAGGTGGCACAAAGGTGCCAGCGCACATGGTATCTGTTACGATTGAACCCGGTCTA